CATCAAAGTCAGGAAGGCTGTTTTTTTTTATTACAAAGAAGAAATAAATATTGATAAAATTTAAGTCAATAGTTACCTTCCTGTACTTTGATAATGTACAAAAATTGAAATTGTTCTTTAGAAATGTACAAAGCTATTAATTGTAAAGCAAAAAAAAAAATCATACGATAATTATTTAACTACTATTATTAATTAATACTTTACATTATCGTAAGATTTCTATTAGGGCCTTTTATTATTAATAATAGAGTGTAAATTATGTTATATCTAGTAAAAAATAATTGTAACATGAGATATTATGACATATCGTATTAATTATTAGTTGTTAATAATAATAGTAAATGGGTATTGAAGAGCGAAGAACAAAAATTAAATAATTAGTGTAAATATTTATTTCTTCTGCATCGTTAATAACTTTTACGTCACCTATATCAACGTTATGCATTCCATTTATTAATTATTTTGTAGATGTTATTATTATTGAAAATTATAAAACACTAAAATGAATGAAATGATAAAAAAAAAATAATAACAACAAAAGACGGCACTAGTCAATAGTTATAATGTATTTTTTTATGAAAATGATTTAAAAATAAATATTCTATTAATTAATAAAAATTTTATGTCGAGAATCTTAAGTAAAAAAAAAAAAAAATAAGATAGAGCTTTAAAACGAGAAAAATTTTAACATTATTTCTTAACATTTTTTTTTCTCTTGATAATTTAATAGGTAAGTAATTAATGACGAAGTAATTCTATGACACAAATTAATTTATTTCTATAAGCATTACACAATTATTTTTACTTATAAAATAATTTTTTTTTTCACTTGGAAAATATCTATTTAGTTTTTATTATTAATGTTATTATACAGACTTTAATTTGTTTGTTTTTTTTTTTGTTATTAATTTTTAAATGTCTAAGACAAAATTTCGGAAAATAATCTACGTATATATTAATAATTTATACCAAATTGTGATACATATAAAATAAATGTATTTACTTAAAACTATTTCTATTAATCATGCGATAGATAATTACATTTTTGAATGCTCATTATTTAATATTATTTAATTGTTCATTTAATATATATGTATATAATTATTCTCTTTTTCTTTCATTTAGTCCGTTTCTCTAGTTTTGTTTTAAATATTTATCTGTTACTCTACTTTTATTTGTGCCTTTGATTTATTTAACTCAATTTGTTTTTTGTAATATATTTACAAACGACATGATTGGTTTTTTGTACGTTAAAAATATGCATCACGGTTTTTAATCTATTTTTATTTGACTTAATATATTTATATTGTATATTAAATAGCAATGTGTCATTTTGTCTTTGATTTAATAATTATTCGCAAACTGACAGACTACATTTGTATCGTCATCATACGTAACACTCATACGTTCTCATTAACACGCATAGCATACGTAAAATTAATTATTAAATAAAATAATAACTAAAACGGAATGTTGTTCTTGTATATTGACTCAAGTATTATTTATACTAGATTGGCGACAACGGAAGCACATAAAATATTTAAATTATTAATTTATTATTTTTATAATAAACAAATAAAATATACCTTGCAGGCTATAAATGCATTGAATGCTACGATTAGATATAAAAAAGTATGATCACAATAATAGAGTTATAATGTCGCGTTATCAGATTTGTTTTTGTTTATTAATAGAACGAGTGAGAAAAATTTTAAAGATAATTTATAAAATATTACGAAGGATCTTTTGTACTTTCCATATCTAAAAATGACTTGAGATATGGTTTGAGCAGCCTGTTTCTTTTATCTCATCTCTATTTATCTTTCATTATTGTTTTCAATTACTTATACCATTTATTTCTAATAGAAAATTATTTTAATTCAATTGACAAAAATATTATATATAAATTATATAAATTCTTATTTTTTAATTACTTCTAAGTATAAACGCTAGAAAATATTTTAGTTTATTTATTTATTTATTTATTTTTTTTTTTTTCTTAAAAAAAGAAAAACTAATCACCGGTAAATGCAGTAAAAAAATATAATAAAAAAAATAATAGAGATTAAGTAAAATAAAAAATATTTTATAAATAAAAATAAACTAGGCCCGCGTTTTATATCACGTTCAGTAAATATTTTTAAAATAAAATTATCAAGATGGTAATTATTTCGATTAGTCTAATTATCAACTACTAATTCCATGTATCATTATTATCATTTTTTTTTATTAATGACAATTTAACGATAGAGAATAAAATTAACCAATAAAATATTATGTTGTGATACCCGCAGTTTTGAATACTTTGGTGTAAGTGAATTACTCAGTTAAACTATTACATCCAATATGTTTCTGCAATGTAAAATTTGTTGAGTTTAAATATAATAGTATTAAAAAAAAAAAAATTCTATTCTCTATCGTAATGGTCTTGATAATAAAATCAGGACCACCAAGCACTTCTTATTTCTAATAATTATAAATTAGAATAAGAAGAGGGTGGTCTGCCTTGCTTGCTACTTGGTCGCTTCTGGAGGACAGTCGGGCTGATTATTAGGATGAGCTGCTGTAAATGCCGGGTGGTTTTCTAAATGACGATCGACCCTCAGAATTGTTGGGAAAGGTCTTAGGTCAACGTGAAACCTCCTTGCGTTGAATATTTGCGGTACTAAGCAACAATCCGCCAAAGTTATTTCATCTCCCACGCAATATTTACCAGCACTCGACGAGAGTAATTTTTCAACAGCTAAAATAAACAAAATTCAATCTTGATCATTCAATCTCCGACGTCATATCATAAACTGCTTATTCATAATAAAAATAAAATACCTGTAAAACCACGCGTTATCCAATGTTGTGCCCATTCTTTTTTACGTTCCTCGCCGACATAAATTAAAACAACTAAATTTTGTAGCGGCTGAATACCGCTAGATATAACTTCGCATATTTCTCTAACTCTAGCTCTTTTAACAGGATCTGCTGGCAGTAAAGGCCGATGTGGTCTGGTTTCTTCCAAGTATTGCATAATGTTTAACTAAAAAATATAAAACCATGTTTGCATAAATTATCACTTATTATCAAGTATGACTTATCAACTATGAATAATTTATAATTATTTTATTTATATTTTGAAATTTTAATAGCTACTACTACTTACTGATTCTATTAACGTATGATTATCAATATGAAGTGCCGGAACCTGTTCCATCGGATTAATCTCTCTATATTCATTGCAATGTTGTTCACCGCCAGCTTTTACCAAGCTTACTGGTTTTATATCGTATGGTATTTCTTTTAAATTAAGAGCTATCAGACAAAATATTCAATTAATAAGTTATCTATTTTATTTATATATATTTTTTTATTAATACATTGATAAATATGACACTAGAATAACCAGACATCTGATTATTTATTTTTATTGATCATGGAGATAATTCTCCTTTTGACCACAAATCCAAATAATTACAAAAATTGTTGAGAATACATAAATTGAAAGAAATTAAAATAATAATAATAATAAGATTTTAATTATTACTTAAAAAAAAAAAATATAAATTTTCAGATGTATTTTATTTTTAGTATCATTAATAAGATAAAAAATAAATAAAAGTAATTAGCATACCAATTCTCACCCTCCACGAACAAGAGCTCCGCCAATATGAGTACAGGACCGGCTGCAATATAAAATTATAAATTCATTAAAAAATATTCATCAATAAAATTGCCCATGCATATCAAATATATTTTATCATAAAATATTTCCAATGGTATTTAAATCAAAAAAATTTGAATAAATAAACGACCCAATTGGAGTTGCAAACCGAGCAAAAAATTCTTAAACGCACAGATTGTAATTATCAAGCTCCAGCAATCGCCGGCAAAGGGGTTGAGTGTCTACAAACTTGCGACTAAAAATTCATCAATCCATTAAATGTTACATGCAATATTAAATATTACTGCAAAAATTTACCTTGCCCATCACGGACATACTGCCAAATATTTATAAATCGGACGGATAACTCCAAAAATTTATCACAAAAAACTTATTTATCCTGGCGTGTGTATACGTTGTGTAGTAAGAAATCTCTTTGAAAAAAAAAAAAATTTATAATCCAGTCAACGCGCGAAACTCTGCTCCTCCTTCCACCTTTTATTCGATTCCAGACATCCCATTCCACTATTCACTGTGCAAACCAGACGCGATATTATTCCTCACCAGCATCAGCCAATCCCAATCAACTTACAGACATCTCAACCACGTAATATAAAATTATTTGACCCGCCTGATCCTCACATTTCTTCGCTTCTCTGTGTTTTCATTAGCACCGTTAATTATCTCTCTTCATCACCAGCCAATAAATCTCGACCAATTAAATTCTTCTATATCTAAAAAAATAATCAAGTACATCAATCAAAAGCAATCAATAAACTGACAATTGGATCATAAAATTGATGATTAAAATCCAGTTTAATTTATATTTCATCACCGGGCTCCTCTATTGATTGACACTCCTGACATTTATATCCAATAGAAAATGTTACTATTATAAAAATATACATGTGTGTGTCTGTACGTGTAATAAATAAGTGTACATACCTATAATACGGCATATTGAGCATGAGCATGAAAATGAAAATGGAAATCCAAGCAATTTGGCAACAACGTAATTTTGTCGACGATTAGAAACTAGTTTTCTTTTTACCAATACCAATACGTAACATCTAACTCGTGGTTCGGTCTCGTAACCTTTGTTTTCTTCAATAGTTTTTTAATTATATTAAACTGACAGTTTATTTTCATAAATTTACCTTGTTAAATAAATATATGCTCCTGCATAAATTAAGCAGGTACTTTTATTGATAAATGTCATGAATTCTATAGATATTATGTAAATAATTCTATCTACAGTAGTTGACATTTTTTGGAGGTTAAAAAAAATTAAAGTTCAATGAGAAAATATTATTTTAAATATATTGACAGTAAGAACAATTTATAAACAATGTTTTGGCGGTGGGCAAGGTTTCGTTTACGAAAGTATTTTAAACCAATACCGGCTGCTTATGCTCAACAAAGAAAGCATCAATTAACAAAAATTTATGCCTTTGCTGCTTGGAATCTATTCGGGTTGACTGTTTATTCTTTTATTAGAAAAAACTATCCTCCGACAGAAGAGGAAGAAAAAGATACAAGTAAATACTATACCTTGATTTAGTTTTTTTTATTTTTTTTTTTTTTTATTGACATGTTTTATAGCTGTCATACTTTTTTATTGTTCAACTTTCTCAATAAATATCAGATGTCAACTATTTTAAATGAAAACTAATTTAGCAGATATTTGATAATTAAAAAAATTTTTTTTTTATAAACAAATTGTGACAAAAATAATGAAAAAAAAAAAAAATTAGCATGTAGAAATTATAAAAAATTAAGAATACAATTTTTTAAAAATGATTTTTTTTAACAAATTTGTTTGTTAAAAAAAATTAAATAATTATCAAGTGACTGCTAACTTTAATGTCATTTGTTTTAATTATCATAAAATAATAAATTTATTTTAGTAATTTTTTACTAATGAAGAATTGATCAATAATAATTCTTTATGTTTCAGGTCGTTGGTTTATTAGATTATTACAATTAGAAAATGTAAAACGACATAGCATGTCTGGATTCTCGGTGCAGATGGTGGATTATATTAAAGAACCTGGAGAGTTAATTGTAGATGGACAGGTAGTAGTTAAAAAGAAAGAATTAAACGAGGCAATTTATTCTAAGCTTGAATAAAAATTATCAATTTTTTAATGTAAATAGTTGATAATTATAATGTACAATACTGTTTAAAATTTTTAAAGTAAATTTATAATACATAAATAATTTTGTATTTTTTTTTTACTGGTGTCGAAAGTGTAAAATAATTATTGTGTTTACTAAAAACTATCAACAATTGTAAATAGGATAAATACTTTTTGTATGTACAATTAATTAATTAATTAATATTAAATAGCATAATTTCTAAATTAAGGCAAAGATCGTCGTAGAGCAACTGCACCAGCTGACGATTCATTCTCAGGATTTAACTCCTTCAATCTTTGCTCCATTTCACAGAGCAATGCTGACCTACAAATAGTACAATTATGATGAGATGGTATCAGGATACTGAGCAAAATACTTGATATTGCTATTCGATAATACTTACCGATACTCTTCGTATCTCATAACAACTTCCTCTAATTCTTGCTTATAAAGTCTGGTAAGCATCGCATTGAAACAATCGAGTTCTGGCAAACGGAATAATTCCCATCGTAATTTTCTATCAAGTGTTATCGATGCTCTGCTGTACACATATAGCCAATGAGGTATTTCTTCATTCAAGTAAGGGTTTGCTGGTACTAATACACTGTGGGAATGGAAATGAGTATGCCGTGGTGGTGATACAATGCCTACTTGCTGTTGTAGTTCCGTAGGATAACAAGGATGCTCATATTGTGCTTGCCTTGTGATATGACTAAAATAATATGTCAGGTTTCAATAACTTGTTTTTAGAAGAGTATTAATGATAATACTGAAGTTAGGTTACAAAAATCAATTTTTTTGAATTTTTATAATAAATCAATTACAATAAAAAAAATTTCCACTAAGATAGAAGACCCAGTTGTTGACACTGGCCTGGTTACTGACACTTGCAATTTTATTTTAATTAAAAAAAACAAATTAATGAAGATAATTTTTGATTATAAATTTTAAGACAAATGGTTTTTTGAGAACATTTTATTTTTTTAATTAGAATAAAATTGCAAGTGTCAATAACTCGGTCTTTTACCATAATAATTTTTTTTAATTTTCACAAGTGGAATTTTTTTCATAATAATTTCATTGCTATAAAATTATTAAGGGCCAGTTTTTCAATCCAGAATAAAATTTTATCTAGTGATAAAATATATCTATATATTTTTTATAGATAATAATAATTTTACCCTGGATAAAATTTTATCTCGGATTAAAAAAACTGGCTCTAAAAAGTTTCTCATGTCAATTAACTTCCGTAACTTGATTAATTAATTAAAAAAAACATACTTGACATAATAAACACCATATTCAGGTGACTCGATTCTCTCCCAACCAGTGGGAAGTCCTTCTTTTTCCAACGGATGAGACCAATGAGTTGTTTTAGTATTATGATCAATATAATACTTTCTTCCTCGCAGTGTAAAATCAACTGACCACCCGGGAGGAAGAGGTAACTCGGCTGGTTGCTCATTACGTGAGCTCGATCTTTCTGAATGCGCTCGACTGTATCTAAAAAAAAAAAAAAAAAAAACAATCATATAACTTCTCATTTACATCGATGTAAGTCTATCAAGCTAGCATGGACTCGCCCATCATGCATTGACTTATTATTCAAGCAACATAATTTAATTTTGGTGCTAATTATTTGCTCCATTTAGAATATTGTTGCTTGTTTAGATTCCGAGAAATCAATAATAATAACCGTCCAAGATGGGTCTTGCCGCTGCTAGCTTGACGACGCTCATTGATGTTGAGTAAAATAATTACCCAGGGTTATGATAAGCTTTATTGAAATCATCATAAGCTACGTCACTTTCAAAAGGTATATAAGGCAATTGTGGTGTTTGAACACGATCAAGATGATACTCTGAACCTGCATACTGATTAACATATGTATGTGAGGAAGATATGGTCGGTGATAACCTTGGGTGATATAACGGAGTAGCTGTTCTGGACACAGCTCCTTCAATAACTCCTGGATTAACAGACAAACTAGCGAACCTACCCCAAAAATAAATATTTTAATATTTATATCTGTCTGTTGATATTACTATTATTAGCTTACCTTTGAGCTAAATCAGGAACAGAGCTATTTGGTGTATATTTTCCTTCATGACTTCCTAAACCTACAGCACTTGTCGTTGTCTTGGTGTTACCAAATTTTTGCACCATACTCGGTTGTTGTGGTACTGGCTAATTGATTAAATAAATGTCAAATGACCATACATATTTAACTTAATGAAGTTTTGATGGAGAGGTTAATTACCATTGCAGCAGGAATCGCTGGTTGATTATGTTGTCTTCGATTTCTTCTATTAGGCTCAGTAGTCCATACATTAATGACTGAATAATTAATGTAAAAAATTAATAAAATAATAACAACCATTGACGTTTAGTTAAAAATTAAACTTACTTGGCATTTCAGGTGGAGTTTCTTTCTTGACATATTTACCTACAACACCTTCTTTAATTGTTCTTAAATCTTTGTTCTTTCGTGATAACATTGTTATAAAATTAATTAAATAAAAACTAAATTCATTATTGAAATAAATAAAACTTATATTAATAAATATCGAATTTGTGTTAAAAAAAATTCACTGGATACTTTAACGTTATCATATTTGGAATTCCCAGCTGATAAATCAAAATACGTTTTGTTTTTTTGATTGTTATTACAAGAATCAACTAATAAATTTACAAATAATACATATTACTTTAATAAAATAAAAAAAAATAAAAAAAAAACTAACGTATGTTGACTTTTTTGCTATTTTAACAAAACGCCATCTTCAAAACTGAACTATAGCGCCACTATAAAAAATTATATCCGCGATATTTAAATTATAAAATAATCCCATAATAAAATTGAGATGAAATGTATGTGAAACCAATTTATTCGTAATGTGATTGGTCGAAAATAAATATTCTCATTCTGATTGGTTGAAAGTGAATATAATATACATAAACGACACATAAATATATCATGACAATAAATATGACGCGCGCGCTTGCGCGCGAAAATTAAATTCTAGTTCTAGTCCCATAATAAAATTGAGATGAAATGTATGTGGCATCAAACTATTCATAACGTGATTGGTCGAATATATCATAAGCATGAAAATATGGGTGCCAGAAACTCCACTCAAATTATTTTCATTCGAAAATACAAAATCTACAAAGTCATAAATATCCGAAATGAAAACTATTCGAAGTTAACAATATTTAAAGTTAATTATAGACAAAAGAATAAAATGAAACAGGGGAAAATTTATTAATGAAATCTAGTCGAAATAACACTCGTCAAAGAGCGATATATACGAATGATAAATTGTTCGAAAGTTCATGGTAAGTTACCATAAACTTTCGAACAATTTATCGTTCGTATAGATCGCTCTTTGACGAGTGTTATTTCGACTAGATTTCATTAATAAATTTTCGTCTGTTTCATTTTATTCTTTTGATTCGAAAATACAAAATCTACAAAGTCATAAATATCCGAAATGAAGACTATTCGAAATTAACAATATTTAAAGTTAATTATAGACAAAAGAATAAAATGAAACAGGCGAAAATTTAGTAATGAAATCTAGTCGAAACAACTCTAGTCAAAGAGCGATCTATACGAACAATTTATCATTCGTATATATCGCTCTTTGACTAGAGTTGTTTTGACTAGATTTCATTACTAAATTTTCGCCTGTTTCATTTTATTCTTTTGTCTATAATTAACTTTAAATATTGTTAATTTCGAATAGTCTTCATTTCGGATATTTATGACTTTGTATATTTTGTATTTTCGAATGAAAATAATTTGAGTGGAGTTTCTGGCACCCGAAAATATTTGCAAACTCTATAGTCAAGCGCGCGCGAAAATTTGAATTCTAGTATAAATAAAATTGTAGATGAAAACATGTAAAAAAAAAATCAAACTTTTAATAAAAACAATTAAAGTAGAAAACTTAATATTGAATATTGATATCCGAGTAAAATTTTACGTTTTTTTTACCGTGTTGTTTTTATTCATCATCTGTACAGCGAGTTCTGCGGAATGAAGATAACTAAAATCATTATTTATTTATACATCTAATTTTTAAATGTTAAAAATATATTATACTACGGTTAAACAATTTTTCAAATTCATATTTTTATCATTATCATTGTTATTTAGTATTATTATTAATTTTTTTTGTTTTTTTTTTTATTTTTTTTATTTTTTATTGTATTTGTTATTTGGCTAACACATTGAGGATTCTACACCTTTACATCAATCATGTCATACGAGTTGTTATTAAACTGTTTTTATTTAGATTGTTTTTATTCACACGCGTTTATTTAGCGTTCACCTTTAAATATTTAAATCGCTTACGGGAACTAATGTTGATGATAACAAATTATAGCGGCCGTGTGCCTGAAAGCGTATTGATTTCGTGAGTCGTAATAATTATTTAAAAAAATAAAAATGATAAAATTTAATATCTTAATAATAGGGAAAGGGTAAAGAGAAAAAAAAATAATAATAAAAAACAGGCTGAACAAGAGTAATTAATGCCGACAGCTAAATTTTATCAACAAACAAATAAAATGTGAGCAGTCATTCATTCACATGTCAATCGTATTTGTTATTATTAATTTTATTTTTAGTTATTTATCTCTTTCTTAACTATCTGTTAATCATTCTAATGCACAGTCATCATTATGCAATGGTAAGAAAAATTTTTTTTTAAGTTTTAAAAACTTCCCACGTACACTTTCACGGTGGCCGGTGGGAGCCCAGCTCCGAATAAATTCTTATTATGCATTTTATCTCTATTTATTAATTATATTTATAAGTAACCATGGATAATTTGGTACAATTATTTTTTTTTCCTTGTATAACTTGTCCCTTGCATATTTTTCTATCAATTATATTATTATTATTATTATTATTATTATTATTATTAATTTATCAATATTATTATTATAATTATTAATAATCATTCTTTCGTTTTAAAAAACAACATGTATCTTTTTATGTTATAATTGTTTCTCTCATTGAATTTCGTCTTTATTACTTCAATTATTTATTTATCATTATTATATTAACTCATAAGTGTTATTATTTATTTGCACGCACTTACATACACACTAAGACGCGATTATCGTCCTTTTAATTAAAAGAAACAAAAATATATAATAAATTAAAATAAAATTGCGCGACCGGTTACGAATACACGGTTGATGCACTTGTTAATATAGATAGCACTGTGGGTTTTGTTTATTTAATCCTTTAGGATTTAATTATTTCTTTTTCCCTTCTGAATTAAATATATTGAGTACAGTGTGTATGTGTAGGAGTAAATGTTTTTATGTTAGGAGTGTTACATTTTGTAATGTGATTTTTTTTTTTTTAAATTACTGTGTTGATCAGTATTATCATCATCAATATAACTATACTTTTTTTTTTTTTATTTTGTATAATAATGTATAATTATATATATTTATATTTTTATCTAATTTATTAATTAATCAAGTTCTTGTTATAGTTATCATCATCAATCATCATTAATACGTATATATGATACATTTCAAACAACGCCCCTCCTATCAATTGTTGACGATGAGGATTCATATGAGATGTCAATCTTTTCAGTTCCAACAGAGAATTAATAAAAATTGCTTCTCTGTATTCAGTTTTAAATATTAATTTATTTATTAATTATTTAGACGTGACAATGCAAAAATATCACATCTAAAATTAATATTAATAATAATAATAATTGTTAAATTTATATGTATCATCAATCGTACACTTAATATAATATTTGTTATTTGAATCGTCTCATTTGAATCATCTTCTTCAACAAAATACAAGCGAGCTTTATTAAGAAGGGACTAACATTCTCATATTGAAATCTTTTTTTTTTTTTTACGTGCTGACACTGATTATACACCATACAACATAATTCATTGCCGTCAAAATTAATAAAAATTAATATACACAATAAAATTATCAGAAATTAGTCAAGGCCTCTAATACGACCTCAAGTGAACATAGTCACTAAATTTCTTTCATTCTTTATTTTTTATTATTTTACTTTAGTTTAATTTAATTTTTTTTTATCGTCCCGCACTGATTACTTTAATAGTTCTGGGTGTCAAGAGTACGATTGTTGTATTTTATTTTTTCTCAACTTCTTTGTTGGTAGCCGATAGTTCTTTTTATCCTAACCCTGCAGCTGTTCAGACGTAATTAACAAGAGGAATAATTGATACTTCACGTTAGTAACGTCACTGCTTGACATACTTATGTTTAAATTTTTTTTTGTTTTTTATTATTATTTTTTTTTTTGTTTCTTTTCACTAACAATGACAATTTGTATTTTCAGCTTGTATACGGAAAATTTGACGTAAACTAAGGACTAACAATTGGGCAGCGTGGTACTTAATTTTTACCTGAAAAATAAAAAATAATCAAAAAATGAATCCCGAAAAAAATAGACTCGGAAAAAATTTTTAAGTTATGAAAAATTCATATTATTTAATTAAAATTGTAAAATAAAAATTATAATAATAATAATTTTTTTTTTGTAAAAAAAAAATGGAGCAATAATTCTGGGGTTGATTATTTTTCACGAAAATTGTAGGTATGATACAATTATTATTACAATTTTTATTTTATAATAATTTTAATGAAATATGAATTTTTCATAACTTTAAAATTTTTTCCGGGTTTATTTTTTCCAATTACTTAAAAAAATAGGGGTATAATTTTTACTTAATTTTTTATAATTATTTAATTAATTTTTTTTTACCAGTTCAGGGACGAGCTCGTGTCGCAGATACAGGCGTGGCTGGAACTGGAGTATTAGGTGTTCCCATAATTGCGCCGCGTCGTTCAATCTCTAATTCATTCAACTTTTTCCATAGTTCATCTCTTTCTTTTTCTCGTTTTTTCTCTCTGTTAAGAGAATTAATAATTAATAAATACTTATAATAATAATAATAATGAATAAAAGTAACTCTTTAAGTTATAACAATAATAACAAGAAATAACTTACTTTTGCCTCTCAGATTTATAACTGGCAGTTAGTTCATCAAAAAGCTTGCTGTTCATTTCCATAAAAGTTTTAAGAACATTATAAACAAGAGCAACAATCGTCTGATTCCAGTGCTCCTTACTGATCCTGTACAACGCCGGGAACATTATTCCCATTATCACATGATTGTTTTCTTCAATCAGCGACATAATGTATTCATTGTTCCAGAAATACAATGCCCTTTCTGCAACCTACAGTTACAAGACACAAAAATTATAATAACAGTAAGATAAAGAGCTCCTTGTCATTATAATATAATTAATTGTAATTAAAAAAAATACCTGAAAGTGCGGCGACGAGACACAACGCGCTATTTGCCTGAACAAAGGCTCTTGTATTTTAACAAATTGGCTAGGTTCTATAACATCAAGTATCTCTTCAATTTCCCCGAGAAACATCACCTCTTTCTGGCTGCAAGTCTTAGGCCAGAATTTTAGTAGCCCTCGCACCACAGGTTCTGTTAGAGTTGCATCTTTTTCAAGAAATTGCACCACGCAGTACGCCAGTTGCGCGTGATATAGCGATAAACATTTAACTTTATGCAGTGGTAATAGCACCTGTACATCAATTTTAAAATAATTAATTTATTAATGAATCAAACTTTTTAACGCTAATTGCTGTCAGTATGTTATAAAATGATTGATTGACTTACCTTGACTAAAAATTGCTTATGCTCTACTTTCAGCGGGAGTGCGAAACCGTTGATAATGCTACCTAAAATTTCCAGTAGCTCGCCGACACCATTAAAGTGCTCTGTCTCGTACACAAACCTGTCAAGTCATTCATTTATAATTATAATTTATTGCTTAATAACTTTGCATAAGTGTCGGATAAATTGAAAATAATATAAAAAAAAAAAAACATTTTTATTTCTTACCTGAGGAAAATGTTGTTAATCTGTTTGCGTATAAAAGCTCGCAGGCCAAGAAATTTACCGTAGATACGATGCAAAACCGTTTTCAAAAAATCTCGCTCTCTAGGGTCTTCTGAGTCAAATAATTCTAACAGCTACAAAATAAAAATCATTTAAATTAGTTTATAAACCACAAAATTATAAATATTTAATTTTATTAATAAAAATAATTACTTGTAAAACGAATTTTTGGTCAATAACTTTTTTTCCAATCGTCGGTTGAAAATCCGATGACTCTAGAAAACGTAAAAAGAATTCATAGACCAATTGTAAATGGGGCCAGCTCGCTTCTAATGTTGGATCATCCTCTTCAGGATCAAAGTCTGGATTTTCACTTGGTGGCAACGTTCGAAATAGGTTTGCCGAAATCTATAAATAAATTAAATAATCTATATTATTAAGAGAATAAACAAAATTTTGTGGTCAGTGTACTTATATGATAAAATGGGTTTTTATGGTTAAATTTGATATCGTTGGAAAAGTCTTGACCTGGAATTGTGCCTTTTCAAGGTTTCATTTCATTCTCACCAATAGTCAATTTATGATGATAAGTATTTAGGCTGCATTCGAAAATGCTTTATCTCTAGATACATAATTAAGAAATGACCTTGTATCTTGTAAACTATTGACATTTTTAAAGATATACGCTCATTCTGACATTACACTCATCGAGACCTTTCATTTGAGTACCCACATCAATTTTTCATATATTTATATATATATTATAAATATATGTATATATGAAAAATATATCAAAATGCATGTGGATACTCAAATGAAAGCTCTTGATGAGTGTAACCCCGGGATCAGCTTATATCTTAAAAAATGTCAATAATTAAGAACTGACTTTGCTATCTTGTCAACTAATGACATTTTTAAAGATATAAGTTCACCCCGACATTACACTCATCGAGACCTTTCATTTAAGTACCCACATCAATTTTTCATATATTTATAAATATTATATATATGTATATATGAAAAATAAATCAAAATGCATGTGGGTACTCAAATGAAAGCTCTTGATAATTGTAACATCAAGATGAGCTTATATCTTTAAAAATGCCAATATTTAAGAAAGTACAGTGCAATTTAACAAAAGTCATTTATTATAGTTCACAAGTCACGGCAGTCACATAGTGACTGCAAAGTTACTAAGTATTTATCAATATTAATTATAAATTTAATCACTTATATTAAAGGTAATTAAAAAAAATTTACCATCTTGATGATCTCGGGGTAAACAGGTTCAGTAAGCACCCCACGTCCTGCTGTGATGTATTCCACCAATTCATTAAGGGTGCTACGCTTGATTTCTTTACCCTTGAGATCAGCAACAGGATCCATGAAGTCGAAAGCGACACAACATTGCTGTAGTTTCCTAATGAACAACTCTTCCTGCTCTGACGGAGTAACATCTGTAATACATAAAATAATACACCATTAATATCACAATTATTATTTTTTTAATTACTGTTATAATTTTTTATAATTATAATTAAAACTAAAACTATTTAATTAAAATAACAAACCATTATTATCAAAGTATAATTATAATACTATTAAAATTAATAAGTATAAAAATTTTTTTTTTTTTTTTTTAATATTAATACGGTACTTAAGCTACTTTTTCCAAAAGAAAACCTTCAACTTCAATAAATCCCGAGGTTTGATTTATTGCATACAAACAAACGCAGTTATATAAGGAACTTTGTAAGGTCTTCCCGCTTGTTAGGTAGATAAATACAATGCCTCCATCACTCATCGACAACCACAACAATCACTGGCTGCGACAACTAAACAACCAACCAGACAAGATAAAGATGAGGAATAATAATATAAATAAATGATATGATCCTAAATAAATAGCCGTCTTTACAAAGTATAAATCACCGAGAAAAGAAAAAGAGAAAAAATAAGTGAATTTAATTATTTAAAAATCTCTAGAAGACATTTATAAATAAAAATTAATTATTTAAAAAGTAAATAAAAATAAAATAGTAAATAAGCAATTTAACGGTGAATGTAGGTCGATAACGTTCAACGAGACACGATTATCAGAGGGAAAAATATTTATTCAACGTTAGCGAGATTCAACGCGAGATGAAGATGAGAAGAGACACATAATGAAGCAATTGCCGTTGTAGATGTGGTTGTAGTTCAAGATGTAATTGAAATCCGAGATAAAATATATATTTTAATATAAACTGCTAAATAAAATAAAGTTTAACTAAATAACCACCGAGATTTACATTATATATTTTTTATTTTAGATTTTTTAAATCTAAATTAATTAAATTGCTCTACCACCGACCAGAGAATAGTCAATCATTTTATAAAGATTAATAAAACTAAAAAGTTGACCTGATAAATAAATAGCCGAATAAATAAAACGAGTAAGAATAAAAATACATAAAAAAATAAGAAACTTCCGGTGAATCTTGGTGGTGGTGTTGATGGCTTGGATGGCACTCGATACCACCTACGTAGATCGCCAATGCCAGTGTAGTGGGGTCAGCAGGGCAGTACGGTTATTTCAGTACACCCGTGTACTATGAAATTGTCCTTTGAGTGTTCTATTCTCTACACTCGTCTATCTCCAATACACAGCCACATAGATGCATCCACATATCCACTGATATGATATCATTCTATAGTTACACAGTACTATCATAGACATAGCTGGTACCACTATTTACTAATACAGTCGGCTATTGTACATTTAGTTATTGGACGTACATTATTAGCAAGAAATCAAAGACAGATCGCTAGTATGTACAAAGCTTTTCATCTCTTTAAAATAAATATATCTGTTGTACATGTGTACATGTATGTTTCACCAGTTACACAGTGTAGCCTAGTAAAACTTAGTCTTGCTTCTTATTCTTGGTTTAGTTCTCTACTCCGTGTCGTACAATATAAGACTACATGTAATGTAATATAAGAATTTATAACACGGAGTAAGACTTGTATAAAGCTGCTGGCTACTGGCTACTTTAAAACTTGCAATTTTTTTTTTTTTTTTTTTTTTTTTTCTATTATATGTTATATTCTTCCCTGCGGCCACTGCGACAAGAGTCAATTTTCACAGCAATAAAACTAGTGAACAACTTTTGCTGAAAAAAAATTGAGAAGAAAAAGATTTTATATAGTATAATAAAATCGAACAATGTAAAATAAGTTAAAAAAAATAAAGAACAAAGCTAAAGAAATAATAAAGATAAGGTCGAGGGTTCCTTTTGATAAAGAAAGATATTTTGTGGATAGTTCGCGTGCTGAAAGCCATCCACAAGTTATTCTTATATTATACATTAGCATGTTGGTAATGTACAGCAGCAACCAAGTGGCTCATAGTAACGTTCATATATGTACACATATATGCTTCACTTTAATTTAGCCTTTTTTATCCATTCATATAAACCGCGAGGAACTTTTGAGCTCAAGTATTAAGTCTCGAGATAAGATTTTTTCGTGGAAAATACTTTACTTTATTGATTCTCCAGGTGGTTGAATTTCTCTCTCTTTTCCACCCGTTCTTCATCATCGCTCGGATGCTCTTTGCTCAAACAAGCCCCTGCTGCGTCTGCTAATTCTTCAGCTCGACACGCTACGATGCAGCGAGTTGGAGTCACCTCGACAAATTTAACTGTACATATGTGGGCATGTTGTGTGTGTTTATAACGTTCGAGTCGATGACGAACGAACAGCAGTGAGGTCAAAGGCTAGCCACCTTCGATGCTCTCCGCTGAATTTCATTGGCATCTGTTGGGTAAGAAGCGCCGAAGATTGAGGAAAATAGTGTCGAAATAATTTAAAAAAAATAATAACGACGTTACTAAATCAATAGAGACAACTATTTCAGCAATAATTACAATAATAACAGTATTGACAAAGATATCTATTAATAAATAATAAAATTATATTACTGATAAACCGTACATCAAATATGTATTTCATCAGTAATAATAACTTATAGAACAATAACCGACGCAATAAAGTTTAACATTTACGTAAATACTAAACTGTATTTATAAATTCATTCATCAGTAAGTTAAAACTTTTAAAAAGAATATTATAATAATACCAACTAAGCATGTAACCGTCTAACCAGGTTAATAATAATTAAAAAAAAAAAAAAAAACTACTGCGTGGATGTGTGAGGTGGTGAAGGTTGATTATCGAGGAGCAATAGTTTGGTTTATAATAGGAAACGTAAAGGGGAACAAGGTAGCAGACGGGTGTAAGTGCAGCGAGGGAAGTTTTTAAATGTAAACGACGTGGAGGTGGAGGTGGAGGTGGTGGTGGTGGTGGTGGCGGCGGTGATGGTTGCTGGCGACGGTGTAGATGCCGATCGTGGTTCAACGTTATGCTACTCTACAGTACGCCAGCCAGAAGTGGAAAGCGTGGAAGTAAAGAGACGGCGGTCGGGGTGGTAAAGAGTCGAGAGCATTCTAGGCGGGTAGCCGAGGGCATTTTGGATCAATACTCCCACTATATATTCTACCACCAACAGCAGCAGCAGCAGCAGCATTTGCCGCCGCTGACGCTGAAGCCGAGACTGACTATCATTCTCTGTACTCCTATCCACTCTGTATTCAACTGTACTCCTCTACGACGGCCTCTATCCCAAGAGTAAACCTTCCTCATCCACCGCTCTGATATTCTTCGTATCATATCGTACCGTGCAGTATGGCATGGTTATTCTTGCTCTCTATCTTGATGTACAGTGTATATTCTGCTGGTCACCAACCTGTCTTGCCAACATAATATAATATCAGCGCTATTATAATTAATTATTATTGTTAATATTAATACTGCTATCATTTTATTATAATTAATATTATTATGATTGATATTGGGTCTAGCAGTATCACACAAAGAGCTGGGTAGTACCTAACTCCATTCTGTACTCGGTGTTATTCTGTTATTCATGGGGATTGTCCTCGCATTATAGATAGCACTTGTACTTTGGCATATATATTATATTATATGTAATACTACTGGACTGGTGTGGTACGGTATTATTGTGTGGGCGTAAACGGATACGGAAAAGCACGAGGATCCTGTCTCTCGGCTCTCCTGTGTGTATATATTCAATATTGCTCCTCAAGCTCTTCGTCGTGGTGTTCCTCGTTCCTCCTCGGTTTACGTTGTTGTATGCTACAGTAGTTACCACGAGAGCGTATGAGCATCCCCGCATCGATCGCAGCAAGGACATTGCGCCGAAGAATTACGTCACGTCGATCGACACGTGCTCTATGAAAACTCGATGGTGAACTCTGCGGTGATAGTAAATTTCATATATGTGTATGTTTGTAGCTTTGTCTCTTTTCTTCGGCCTTTCGTTTAATATATGTCTACAAATATGAGTGTATGTACACGCAACTGCCTGAAACAATTTTATACTGTTTGTCAATGTGAACATATTTTTTTTGTATACATTTACATTGAAATATAATCATTGAATTGTACGTTTTTTTTTTTTTTTTTTTTTTTTTTTTTTTTTTGGTTTGTAGATAACGATTGCTTTAAACTTGCGTTCCTCTTTTAGCTGATAATGATTTATTGGTTGTAGTTGATTGGTGAACAAATTATATTCAGCGGCCTTGGTGTTGACAAAAAAACACAACAAGTTAGCCACGATAAGATGAGATGTGATGAGTAGATATACAGATAGAGCTGCTAGATGTTGATATGTAATTTCTGCAGTTGTGATCTTGACAGTGACCGACTAGATCAATGCCATAGTCCACTGGAGACACAGCTGATGTATCATAATGTCTAATAATTATCTTTATTTATTTCGTTGGATTATTAATTTCGATTTTTAACTAGATCATGTTCTAGAATAAAATAAAAAAAAAAATAATTAATGAGACTGCGTACTTTTATGACAATTATTTAAGGCCTTGGAAATGTACACGAGAGACAAAATAGTCTTTAAAAGAGGTTTAAGTGAAATATTAGGGGGTGGTACTCCACCTAGAAGCACCAGGGAGAGTAGATGGACTGTGAAAGCATTAGTATCGTCCATTAAACATTGTAATTAGATATGAGCTCCAGGGAGTTTCTATGTTCAAACATACTATGCAAGTTTGTATTCTCATATTTCCACTTTGTTTAATGATTTAATGTCATTATGACTATTTTTTGTTTTCACATACTTTTTTTTTCTTTATTTAGATGAACATTTCGACGGCTGAAAATAGAATTATTTTATTCTTATCTCTAAGATTAAAAGCTAATTTTTAATTTTAATAAAAAAGCTTGCTAAAAAACTGAACTATTAAATAAGAAATTATTAAATATAAGTATTGTATTACTTGTACCCGCGTAGGAGCGATTTAGTATTAAAGTTAAAATTACCACGTGAAACAAATCAGGGAGAATCCAAACAAATTGGAAGGACAAGTGTTAGTCATAGTGTCAGTGAGTAGGAAGATACTGTTTAAAGTTTACGTAGGCTTTAAACCGCTACACTGGATATTTTGTAATAATTGCAATAAAGAAATACATAAATCCACAATCTGACTCGTAAATAAATAATCTGTCTATCTGTTTAATGCATTTATCAGCAAATAATCTTTTATAATTCAATTGTTACAAGACAAATAACAGTTATTATTATTATTATTACTATTGTCAGTGTAGTTCAATTATATAATTAATTAAAAATTAATCCAACGTATAATAATATATTTTTAAAACAATCGTAATAGAATTTAAAATCAGGTGATGTAATATTTAAAGTAGCAATCTACTGCTTTAAATTGAATTTTATCTCGTCAGATTGAATCACTTGATTATAAATATTTAATAAAAAAATATTTACTTTTATAGACAGCATAATTTAGTTTAATAAAAAACATTTATAAAATAAAATACTCCAATAATGAATAATTAAAATAAAAATAGTCAGTATGATTAAGTATCATCATGGATTTGAGTTGACTCTGCGAGAGCAGTTTATTGGATAAAATTTTTGACGTTAAGGATTTATTTATAGTTTAGTTATTATAGATCCTGGCACACAAAGTCATAAAAGTTGTTCATCGGTAGAGGTTAGGTATAGCAGCATGCCAAGAGTCCTGTGTATATAAAACTATGTCAAAATACCGTTGACGATATAAAAATAATCATAATGAAGAGCTTGAATATAAAAAAAATAAATCAATTTAATTAACTTAATGAACTTAAAATAATATAATTGTATTAAATTATGAGTAATTAATTAAATAGACTATAAGACTAACCTTTAAGCTGAGGTAGCTGCTGAAGCTCGACGTCTTGCGAATTGCGATACCGCGACGAGCCTTGTGATTTTTTCGATTTCTTTTTAAGGGATCGCTTGGAAAATGGATCTATCCGATCAACAAAAGTCGCAGATGACATGTTGGTTGTGAGATTTGAGGCACTGCGGATGCTGGATGGATTATTTAAATCACCGGCGTCACGCTCGTGCCTCGAATCCGTATCTTTGGCTGAGATCGTGGCGGCTATACTTTACAATAATAAGGACCACCCTGATGAGCCGGTGGCTGCATTCCTCAAATTAAATTACACTGTAGATAATTAACACCAGTAGTAACCGATTATTCGTAATGTTTATATTATTATATATTATACTATACTCTATTATTATATTATTATCCAAGTATTAATAATTATAATAACAGCAACAATAATAATAATAATATTACACTTAAAATGTCTATCAACACGTTTTATGTACTAGAGTACAGGTTTTTTTTTAATTTTAAACAGTCAATATATTTCCACAAGTGTGTTGCACTGGGAAAAAAGTTGTTTTCAATGACTGAAAAATGAGTCCACGATGATGATGACGACGACGATGATGATGATGATGATGAGCTAGGCGTTGTCACTAATACACAACTGCTGGCGAGATAGAGCGCCTTTAAGATTTACTAGCTCCTCTTCCTCTTGCTTTTCCTTGTGTTTTTTTTCCTTTATCTTCTTTTTATATTATCTCACGTGCGTTCAGTATGTGTTTTTATGTCACAAGAGAGGTTACCTCGTGACCACGCGTTCCATCTACAAAGTATAAGGTACTCAATGAAATTACGTTGCAAGTTAATAACTTTTTATAATTAAATAACCTCCTATTTGTTGATACTACTACTACTACTACTACTAATATTTTTATTATTATTATTATTATTATTATTATAAATAATCTATTAAATGGAGTTGATTGCAAATGTTGCTACCACGCACTTCCGTAAGAACACGCTCTCGTTCACTCACTCCTTCACAGTCCTCACCGAATATTAATTAATGGCCACGGTGACGTAGACGCGAAAAACCGTACGTTTAATACCGTGTTTTATTGTAGTACGCGCAGAAAAAAACCAAAGTATAAGTATTATATGTATAAATATATATCTATGTCATGTATATATAAATATATATAAATATACATATACACACAATACACGTACGGTATACGCACACGCCCCGTCGTTCACCTTTTTTATTTTTTTTATTCACTCGGTGAGAATTCGATAGCCGGGACCGGCTACGCGCCCGTCCGGATGCCGGAGTCCCGGAGAGAAAGAGTAAGAATTGCCAAGAGAGAAAATAAGAGTGAGAAAGATTAAGGACAAGTGTATGAGAGTAAGAGAGTAAGAAATAGAGAGAGAAGCACCGTTATATCACGCCTCGTACGGCCGTACGTTTTTCTCTCCTCTTTTTTATTACTAAATCCTTGTCCCTACACACTAGTACTAGGTCCTCCTCTCTATTTTATTACACATATACTTATATACATACATATATTTATTTATTTATATATATATATATTAACTACGTACGTATGTATATAAGTATTTTAAACTATATATTGAATTGTAATAATATATAAATCACAATTTTAATTTAGACGGGTGACAATTTAATATTGTCTAGTTGAATGTGATAGATATACTGTACCAAGTATAGTTATATATACATATATATCCACAGATACATGTATATATATATATATATATTTTTTTTTTTATTATCAACAGCAAGTCACTACTCTTCTTGGATGATGAAAAGTAAAAAAAAATCCGATCAACTGATTAAAACGACAGACATGGAGGCTCTCTAGAACAGCACTCGGCCGCCATCAGCTGCTCGTTGCGGATGAGCTTGTTTCATTTTTGTACCGCATCGAGGGCGCCGAGACCTCCCGGGACGCGTTCAACCATTGTCCACCGCGTCTTCTTTTTATTCCTACAATTTATTATTATATATTTTATTAAAACTTTAATGTAATGCTATGCTGCATCAACGTTTCTCTGCACACTGTACTGTGTATGATTATATTATACTCATCCCCTGTACAGACATAGACCGAGAGACACACATACACACACAACAAACGAGACGATCTGACGACAGAGACGATGGTTTTGTTAAAAACACTTGGTACTCGGTATTAGTTATAGTGATTGTTTCAATTATTCTTGGGGTATTATTTATGTCTATGCTTATGGCATTTGGCTGACACAAGCCACTATTAATGCCTTTTTTCTAAATTAATTAAACCAAAAAAACTGTAACAGTTCTTGCACACCCGTCGCCCTTCACTTATCAAGAAAAACCCCCGTCGAGAGGTGCCCCTTCTGTGCCTCAAAATAGTAATGTTCACTCGGCAATCATCGTACGAACTTTCACGATCATGCGCAATCATTAAAGATGGCAGCACACCACGATTGTCTTTTAGGACGTTCCAGCTGCGCATATTCCATTATTACGCCGTCGATCAGCGCATATGTTTATTAAATCAAGGAAAACTCTAAATATTCGTCTGAAGCAACGGAGGATTTAAAATTTTTTTTTTTCTTTTACTCAGGTAATTTATTGATAATACAGTTTGACATTTAATTTTATTCAAATAGACTGATTGAATAATTATTTTCAGCTGATGGTGACAAAACTTTATTCATTCAAAACTCACTTGTCAGATTGACAAAAAATGTTTCACAATAATTATTGTGATGATAATAAGTGATTAATAATTACTTAACCTACAATATTTGTTATTCTTAGAAGGTAAATACTCCGATTTCGTGTCATTGATTTTTAACTCCAATATTGACGAGATCTGAATTATAAGTTGACTGTGATAATTGGAAAAATGTTGATATAAATCACTAAACCTTCGAGAATTGGTCGATGTATATTAAAAGCTCTAGGATTGGTTAAATTTTCAAAAATAAAAAAAAATTATTACTATTATTATTATTATTATTATAATGATCTAAGATAATAAAACACAAATAATGAATTTTGTCGAGCGATGTCCGGGTATGTATTGTGGTCGAGAGTTGCTCTCTGATGGAAACTGGACAGACTGTGGTGCATGTCCTCGAGGGTTTCGTACCAACTCATCGTCAGCATGTGTACCTTGTGATGAAATGCCAATTTTTTACGACTGGCTGTACTTAGGATTTATGGCATTACTTGCACTAGTATTACACTGGTTTTGCATTGATATGGTAGCTTTGAGGCGTAACATACCTAAAGAAGTTATTGTTATTCATCTGTCAGCTTTATTAGAGATTGTTTGTGCATCACTGATTACCTTACAAGTGACTAATCCAGTTGGAAGTTTTGAAATAAGATCATGCAGAGCCAGAAAGCTGTCTGACTGGTATACTTTGCTGCATAATCCTTCTCCAAATTATGAGAATTCATTGCACTGTACGCAAGAAGCTGTGTATCCATTGTAAGTATTTATATTTATGTAGATATTTTTTTAATTATTAATTAATCTAATTATTTTTTTAGGTATACAATGGTTTTTATTTTTTACTCTCTCAGTGTTACTATTATGATATTGATAAGGCCATTAATCGTAAGAAAATTTTTACCTAAACAAGGTAAATATTCTATTTATGCTGCTTTATATTTCTTTCCTATTCTCGCATTGCTACATGCCGTTGGAGGTGGATTAATATGTAAGTATATTTATCTTTATCATTAGACTGATAAATAATAAATTTTTAATTCTTCTTTATTTTACAGACTACTCATTTCCATATATCACAATTATTTTATCAGTCTTATCAAATGCAGCGCATTTTGCATTTAAATTAAACCAGGTAAATTATTAATTATCTGTAATTATTATTAACCTTGTTTTTTCATGAACAACATTAATATTTCAGACTATGAAATCATTATTATTCAGTTCAATATCCGATGTAAGAAACGTTATCGTAATTCTTGGACACTGGTTGTTACATGGATACGGAATAATGGCAGTAGCAACATTACGAAGTGTAAATATTCACCCTACGATGCTTCTTTTAGTACCTTTACCAGCACTTTTCTACATAATTACTGCAAGGTTTACTGATCCCCATAAACTTCATGCTGAATAATTTACCAAGTAATTTAGGATAGGACTTTATTTATTATTTGTTGTGTTTTTTAAATTATATTTAAATATATAAATTTTATATTAATGCTGTGGTTAATATTTTATTATCATTTTGGCTAATTAAATATACTTGAGCCACAAATTTGAGTAAATGCATTTATATTATCATATGGTATTCGAATATCATTCATTAAAACTAATTCTTCTTTTCTGGTACGAATGACAGCACCAAAGTACTCTTCTTGGATAATGGAATCTTATCCGATGGATATTGTGCTCTAAAAAATAATAAAATTATATTTATTTATTTATTAGATCTTTTGCAAATAAAAATTAAATTAAATAGAATATTTAATTATCTTGTTTTCATTACTTACGGAACGTCTGTTGAATTTCCAGCGTAATTTGCACTGTAAGCAATTACGTTGAGGTCTGCAGGTATTGTATCCAGCCCCGAAATGTCAATAACTATATCTTGATCAGAGCTTTGATACGCCACAAGATATCCCGGCAATCCAGACCTTACCCTATTGAATTATTTATTTTATTAAAGCTTTTCAATCTAATTATCAACAACTAATCGAATTATATTGTTTGGTGTTAGTATTTATACATCGCACATGCATGTTAGTGGATAAAAAATAAACTCACCCATTCCTAAACCACACAAGGTGCATGAAACAAGGCAAACAAATAATTAATTATTATTAAAATATAACCCTGATATATAGTCATTATCAACAATTAAAATCTAAATAGACATGAATTTTTATTAAAAAGTACACAATGATTCTTTGATAATAATTGTTGATAAATCGTGAGAAGAAAATAACTCAGGATACATCCAATTGAGTCAATTAAATTGATTGATCACGTGATGAGAATAATTTAAATTATCACCGCCATTACCCATAACTCAATGATATTTTGTTATTAAAAAACTCCACCACCCAAATTAATTAAAATCCAACCAATAATATTAACAATATACATTGCCAATAGTTACCTGACGTATGCAAAGACTGTCTCATTAATAACATGGCTTGAGAAATTGCCATATAAAAATTGGTCTTCGTATCGAAGGGCTGCTAGTGTAGAAAAGTGTTTCTTTGCTGGCAGTACGTCGTTTAGTTTTAATATTGGTGTCCCTGGTAAAAGTAATGACATCAATATTATGCTATCTGCTATGTCTGGGTTCATACGGCTCCTCAAAGGTTTCTTGCCATTAATCTGCAAAATGAATTTTTTTTTTTTTTTTTTTTTTTTAAATTATCAATCCATTTTATCCATCAGGTCATACAATAATAAATTACATACGACCTTTTGCAATTTTAATAAATTAAAAAAATAAAAATACTCACATCCCATCCTGGCCAAGAAACATTAACACTTGATATCCAAGATGATATGTCAGTCTTCAACGCTTGAGCGCTAATACTGGCATCAGCTTCTCTGAAGAACTGAGAATTCTGTGGTAGGTCAATAACCCTCCGGTTTTCATTGAAGATTGTCAAAGTATCATTTTTAACATCATCCGACATTGTGAATAATACATCTTTATTACTTTCATTAGTATTAATATTATCACGCCATTGCTTAATAACTTTAGTATTGTCTACATGGTCTTTGGTACGAGCGTGAGAAAGATAGTTGTAGTCGTCTTCATCAATGACAACTTGATAGCCCCGTTGTTCATCACGGCGGTCGGGATCTTCAATCAAGTAACGCGTGTTACCAAGACGGAATCCTTTAATACCAATATCCAGCCAGAATTTGAAGATATTATTAAACTCCTCAATAACTTTAGTGTTATTGAAGTTCAGATCCGGTGTTGATTCATTGAATTGGTGTAAATAGTATTGTTGACGAATATCATGCCACTTCCAAGCTTTACCATTATAAACACTCAGCCAGTTGCTGGGTTTCAAAACCTTACCCTCAGAATCAATTTTACCATCAGCCCACACATAGTAATCAGTGTATGGTTCTTCACGCCTAGCAGATTTTTCAAACCACTCGTGCTTCATTGATGACTGGTTGGGGTCAAACTCAAGCACTACATTTATCTCTCGGGTGTTAGCTGAGTCGACTAGTTTTTTAACGAAATTAACGTTACCAACTCGAGGATCGATGTCAATGAAATCCTCCGTGGCACTAGAACCACCCTTCAGAAACGAGGAAAGTGAAATAACTTGGACATGCTCTTGTTTTAATTGATCTAAAATACTTTCGACGTCTTCAAATAATTTCCCACTGACATCCTCTGGCTCCAGTTGAACAATTGGGCTCTTTTCCCACCATTTTTTAGGCGTTGGTGCTTGACACTTTGGAGCCAGCACAATAATTGCTACTGCACCGAGCAACATAGCAATCCACAGCAGCCAAAAAGCGGCAAATAACATCCATCTTAGCTTAACCCAAAATGGATCATCAGCATACATCATCAATTCTTCTTTACTCAAACCCGCAACTTGTTTTTTCACTTGCTTCATATCGATTTTTGCATCTCCGTTTTCAGAGATAAATATTACCTAAAAATAAAAATAGAGAAATTAATAATAATCATCAATTTTATCGAACTTAGATAATGCAATCAATACAGTTGAACTAAAGAAAAAATAACCTAAGAATAGATTTATAAAAAATGTAACATTTCATAAACTTGAAAAAAAAATGTACGACTATTGATTGTGACACAGTAAAGACTTCAATCATCTATAAATAAATGTTCAATAAACGATTAAATAATAATAATAATAATAATAATAATAATAAAAAAAAACTAATTTTTTAAATTACCTCAGATGCGTTTTTCGTCGGCTCAACATTTGATTGTTCATTGAGCATTTTCTCATTAGCCCCATCTCCAACCTCACCTTCAGCATCATTTTTCCCCATAGTTACTGTTGGAGTTGTACTAGAGTTAGTTTTGTCCAGTTTACTATCGACTACTGCACTGTCCTCAGGCAATGCCTTGTACGTGGCAACTGAACCATTGGTAGTATTATTCACCTCAGGCGCACTCTCTAAATTCAATTTCCCTCTCTCCATTATTGTATAATCTTCAAGGACACTTTTAAATGGATATATAAAGACAGTGCGCTTCGCAGAGAATTATTTAGATAATAAAAGATTCCTCGCGCTCACATACGTTGATTATTTTTTTCATTTATAATATGCTGCACTCGCAAGCGCTCTATATTGACGCTCTCACTAACTGCTTACTGCATACTGCATTCTAACTTACATTCAAATTGATAATTATTTTCACTTACTTACTTGCTACGCCAATGAATTGGCGTTTAAAATAAAAAGTAAAAAAACGATAATTGTCCTTTGCGCAATTTTTAAGATTAGGGAAAAGTATTTATATTTTTCAGTAAACAATTCTTGAAAATAAAAAATATTTTTCTTCACAGTTGTAAATATAAACTACTGAATTAAATGAAAATGAAGTGAGTCGACATTGTTAGAATTTTTTTTGTTGAAAAATTTTCATTTGTAAAAAATTTAAAAAACTGAAAGTGAAATTTTTTAGGTCTATTTTAATAACTGAAAAAAAAAATTAAAAACGTTGACTAACTTTAGTATTATCTCAATTGAAACTTTAATAACTTCCGAGTAACTTTCAATTGATACTGCCTAATGATTTCGTCGCCGATGATTTAGTATTTATATTACTCTATAAATGTAAATTACTCAAGAGGGGGTTATTTGTGTTATGATAAACTTAAAATTTTTCCTGTCTGCGTTTATACATGTTAATATTTTAGATTGGTATTTAATCAAATGTGAAGCTGATAAAAAAATAGTGTGAACAAATCATAAATAACTCATTATGACACTTGTAAAAATAATTTATATGATTGTTCTAAATTTTAGTTAAAAAAAATGCACAGATAAAAAAGTTTATTACTTCATTAATTCATAAGATATTTAATATACTATTTTTACTGTACACGTTTTATGGTAGTATGAAGAAAAAATTTATTTCTTGATAACTTAAGTGTACTTAAAATAATTTATTTTTCATTGTTACTCTAATTATTCGTCATCGTCATCATTATCATCGTCGCTTTTAGGGCACATTGTTTGGATTAAGCAAAAGTTACATATTATTAAAAGAATAATCACTACAACTAATGATGACCAAAAGACCCAGAATAGAAATAATCGAATTTTAATCCAACATGGTCTTGCTACAAAATAATCATAATCTTCACCTAGTTCTAAAAAAATAATTTTTTATTAAATATTACTTTAGGACATTTTTAAATAAAAATTATTTCACTTACCACTTTTAAAAATTTTATACTTCAAATCATCATAACACAACCGATGATCAAGTAAATGAAGTCTTTCGTTATTCCACATATTTGATTATTAAAATTAATATTATTTGTTTTAAAAAAACTGTTAGTTAATATAAAATAAATATTTTAATAGTCGGATAAAAATTTATTTAAAATGAGTTTTATTAGTTTAAATTAAAAATAGCGTTCATGTCGCTTCACAATTTTACTAGACACTGAATACACCCACAAAGGAGTATAATAAAATGATATCCTATCACAATATTATGCATTGATAATATACAATTAAGAATTAAATATTAAAATTTGAATAATCCTCTCAACAAGCATCATCTGTTTTTTTTGTTTTTTTTTAAATATTCCTAACAAAATCTGCCTCACATTGACTTATATGTATTTACAATCAATTATTCATTTATTCTATTACTGTTTGGTAAAAATAGTTATAATCCTTTCCTACGGACGTAAATATACAATCTGTTCTATAAATAATTATTACTGATTTTTTTTTCCACTTCTTTTGCTTCAAATAAAAAAAAGTATATACAAATATATCATTTAAATTTTATTTTTATGTTGATAATTGCACTCGCAGTGAGCTAGTCAATAAATAAAATAAAAGTATCAATTGTTTACTGAATATGCAGTGGCAAAAGAGATAATTCGTTTTAAAAATGAATAATACGTGCATAGAGGTCGACAATGATAACGCTTCTTCATAAAGTTGATTACTCTAAGGTCGTATTAAAAGAGCTTAACTCAGTATAAATACTAAATGTTTAACATTTTTTGCACAATGTAAAAAATTACTTATTCCTTGTCTAAGTTTGTTATCATTTCATTAAAAAAAAAAAAAAATTCTATCAATTCTATGGTCTATCTACAGTAAATAATTTATTGCACTTTTTTCGTCTCAGGCCCGCTTATACTTTGACGTATTTTTGGCACAACTTCAGTAAAGATAATAGTCCCTAAAAAGACTAAGGATGTACCAATCCAATGGTAAATGCTAAATGAATTTTGGAAGTATAATATTGAAAATAATAATGAGAAAAATTTACGTAGTGTCACGACTAGCGTTACTGTCAATGATGAGCATTCTGTTGTCAGCACAAACACCGAGCTGATGCACATGTATCTGATATATTTATTAAAGAAAATATATTGTTGCTATGTATTGTAAATATGCCTTGTCATAGTGACAATTACTTTTAACGCGATAAAGATTATTACGTAAAAGGATACTGTGTTAAAACATTCCCAATGAGGTATACAATACTCTTTGGTGCAGATAATCCAAGAATTGGGATCAATAATGGGTCTGATTTTAATGCCAGTTGTGCGTGGTCCCATATATTTGAACTTAGCGTCAAGAAAAATGGAAGAGGTAGTAAATGCTGTAAAAAATAAATAAGTATATTAATAAAAAATCACTCAATAGCAAATAATTGCCAATTAAATCTACTTACAGTATAATACAGAGCTTCGTATGGGTGTTTACCGTATTTAGTGTATAATTCTTCTTGGTACAAACCCATTCTAGCAGAAATAAACAGTGCGACAGTTAATAATGCGATTCCAACACTCCACCAAAATAAAATTTCCATTTGTGTGGGCGGAATGGCATCCTTAACCATTTTTTGGGTTGACTTAACTTCATTACCACTTACTATTGTACATATTATTATCCCCATAGTTATCATAAATACTGAGAGGTATTTGCTGAATACGTATTTCTTCTTTAGAATAATTATACCCATTATCATGTTAGCTATTAAGGAACCCTGTAACAATATTTTGTAATACTAATTATTAATACTATTAAAGTACAGTAGTTTTTAAAATTTCATTGATGAATTTTGGATCCTTACCGCTCTGAATATCATGTGGAGAGGCATCGGTATATTGAAGTCAAATGCATAGTTATTGCATACACTTGTAATAAAAAACATAACAACCATTATCATATAATCCTTGATGCCTATTCGAGGTCTTACAGTTCCAAACTTTGATGTGAATATAAAACCTTCTAATGATATTAGAAGGAATTGTGAAAATGTTATTAGGTTTCCACTACCAGGATCTTCTCTGTAAAATAAATAAAAAAATCAAACGTTTGCTTAATATGTAAATTACAATAAATCATGCCTTATTGTTATTATTTATTATTATTATTATTTTTTTTATTTTTATTTTTACATGCAGTCAAAAATTACGTCATATAAAAACATTATACTTCAACATATAGGCTTGACAATCGAAATTAAAAATGATAAATAATTGTACTTACTTTACTAATAATTCGAGGAAGATAACATTTGTACAACATCCTAAAAATACTAAACTTATTGCAGCAGCTACTTTCATTTTTTAAAAATTAACTAGTATAAAAAAAGTCTAAGTATAAGCTTAAAAAAATATTATAACCTAAAAATGACTCGAACACGAAGCAAGATCGCACGAGACTGACGTTGAATGTTGACGTTGTGGTCGTGACGTTAGCTCAATTTTTTTATTATTATTATCGCACACGCGCAAGTAAAAAAATTTTCATGTAACGAATGATATAATTTCACTTCAAAGATTATCTTCAGGGTTCACTTTGATTTCTTTATTTATTTAATTATCACAAACTAATTAATTGTACAAAATTAACGATAATTATTATATATTATGAAATATTGCATTGATGTTCTAATATCAATTACTTATATTAAATACAAAAATAATTAATTTGAGTTAACAATTAAAAAAAAAAACATTACTAACTAATTGTATACATTATCAATTAAAATTAAAGGCACAATTTACTATAAAATATAAAAATAAAATAGTGCTATTAATTTATTTATATAATTATCTATTATGCAGTTCATCACTGAGTGTAAAATTAAATTTTTTTAATATATTAAGCACTTAATAATTAAGAAATTTAAAAATTGGTACAGTAACAATAAAACAAAAATTAATACTCCGATTTACTTATAAATTAACAATATAAATATTATACTTATGGTAATTTAATAAAATAAATTTAATCCTCTTTCGTTTTAATATCACTTTCAGATATCACGGTTGACGTACTATCATTTTGTCTTGGTGAAATTTTAATACGTATTCCATACTTATTGATAAGAACTATCGAAGAAATTAATCGAAGTTGATCCGAACTATCCACGGATTCAATTTTATAAGCACGTAGTATCGACAAAATAGATGCTTTGACTACCATAGTAGCAAATTTCCATCCGATACAGTTCCGTGATCCTGCACTGAATGGAATGTATGCGAATGGAGGTGGTTTTGGAGTATTTGATAGAAACCGTTCTGGTTGGTATGCTTCAGGGTTTGGAAAATATCTTGGATCTCGGTGAAGCATGAATAAGTTTATTAATACCGTTGATCCAACTGGTATGTTATGATTCACTGTAAAATAATTAATAATTGATAAATAAATATCCAATAAGATCAATATAATAATAATAATAATAATAATAATAATACTTACTTAATTTAATAGGATTATAAATTTGGCGAGCTATTAAGGGCGCCACTGGGTACAACCGCCAAGTTTCTTTGATGCACGCTTCCAGCCATGCTAATTTATTTAAATTGTCCATCGTTAATTCATTGTCGCCAATAATTGCTTCGAACTCATCAATTATTTTTTGCTGCAGCATAAAGTATGTCAATTAGTTATTTAATTTATTTATTTATAAATTAACGCAAAAGAAAAATAATTTCTTAGATTACCTGATACTCTGGATGACGACCCAATGCATACAAAATCCAAGAAATACTCATCGCAGCAGTATCATGTCCGGCAAATATAAAAGTGTTCACTTGATCTCGTATGTCCGAATCTGTCAGACCGACATTATTTTTTTTTTCTGCATAATCGAGCAGCAAATCAAGGAGAGCTTTTTTATTATTAATCGGTTGATTGAAATTACTATCACGATTAGTTTTCCATTGAATTTGCCGTTTCAATATTATCTATAATTATTTATCATATATTAATTATTATTTTCCAATAATTTACGTTAAAATAAATAATCTATTACTTATAAATATTTACATTGTCAACAAAGTTGTGAATTGTTTTCAATGCTTTGTCATGTTCTTTGCCGAGTGAAGTTAAATTGAATATCGTATCATTAGCCATCCAAATATTTGTAAACCTCATTTGGATAATTGACGTCATTCTAAATAATATAATTATATTAAATATTAAACATCTTCACTCATTAAACTTTACATAACAAATTTTCAAAGAATACTGACTTCTCAACTGACGAAACATAGTCATCTTCAAAATTAACTTGTGAGTTAAGATGATATCCCATGGTCGTTTCTACAATTAAAAAAAAATTTATAAATTAATTATATAATCATTAATAAACAAAGATAATTTTTTTTTTTTTTTTTCAGGTTCTTACCACAAACTATATCCAACGCAGCACGTTTAGCGTAAGGTACAACATCAAATACATTATTAGCTTCAGCTTTTAGCGAAGAAATCAGAGTTGTTGTTTCACGTACAACCGATTTCAAATACTGTTGCTGTAATTCGTTATGAAATGTCGGTGTAAGTAATTTTCGTAATGTTTGCCAATGTGTTCCTAGAAAAATAACAGTTCAATTGATATCACATATTGTTTATTTATCACAATATAAAATATAATAAACAACAAACAAATATATAGGAAGAAAAACAATTCAGTAAATAAATTTATTTTTTTATTCTAAAATTATCATAATTGTTGTTGTTTATATTGTATTGATTGAGAATTATTTCAATCAAATACAAATTGTTGAGCAAAGTGTGACCTCGATATTGCACGTGGACTCGAATTAAAAATAAACGAACCGATCGCGTGTTGGTAATCCTAGACACTTATTAATAATGTAAACAATTTTTTTTTTGTTTAAGGACAATTAGTCTCCGGCTGATTGAAAAAAATATAAGCGATCGGATGAGATCTGAAACAAGCCTCCTGTCTACTGGTTTCAATTTAGGCATTGACTACTACACGCGTGGTCTAAATAAAAAAAAATATAATAATTTCAAGATCACAAAAACTCGATTTTTCTAGAGACCTGATTTTTTTTTCTTCGTTGTAACAGTAATATAATGAGGATCAAATCGACAATTTCGCCAGGTCATCAACATGATTATTGATAATTTTGGTAACTAAAAAAATGTTTTAATAATAATAATTGAGGTAGCCAAAAAGAAAGGTAGCTATTATCAGAATGTTCATTTGAAAAATTGATATACCAGCATTGGAAATGCCGGTCATTAACGTCTGGACACCTGGTTAACTTCCCTCTTTCTCTGCTTAAACTTCTTTCGCCCAAGGCTACGCAAAATAGTTGTCGCGATTATCTGAATGTACACTTTTTAGGTAGACAAGTCAAAAAGATCCTGATGGACAAAAAATTCTAGCAAGTCCGCCGAAAAATAACCAGTAAATTAATATATTTGAAGGACACTTGACTTGTTGAACTTCAACGGCAATCCGATTGATAAATAAGAATAAATACAAAAAAATTTATGCATAAATATACAAAAATTTAAACAAATTATGTTTTTAAATTTCCTGCTCGGCAACCAATGATTAATAGCAATAATTCATATCATAATTTTTTTATATATCAATTATCAATAACTACTGTAGACGAATGTTTTTTTTTTTGCGATAAGTAATCAGTAATGATTTATTTATAAATATGCAAATTGATTTGTCATAAATCAGAAGAAAATTCAATATTAGCTTAAGCAAAATGAATTTTCTTTAAATAACTTGTTGATCAGATCGTTTGAGATAAAATTAATAATAATAACAACAACAAAAAGAAAAATAAGTATGAAGAAAAGAAGTTGAAGAAAAAAGAAGCTCAAGGTAATGGAGTATGACAATAAAATATAAACTTACCAGTACTCGTGACAAGGCCATAACCAAGCCAGGGTTTCAGATAAGAATACTCCAAACTCTTGTCAATGTGAATACTGCTACTCAATAATGGCTGAACATCTTCGACCCGGTAAACGAAAACAAAAGGTCTGGGTCCAACCCACAGTAAATAGATGTCACCAAATTGTTTACCCCACTCGAGGAGTTTCCGAAAAAACTCTGTAAGTAAAAAAATGAATATTATTTTTATTAATGAATGAATGAATGAATAAATTATTGATTGAACTAATAAAAATTTATTTTATTGCAGATTGAAGAAATTGAGGTCTTAATAATTAAGGGAATTGAGGCTTATGGATATTGATAAGATGAAAGTGACATTTAAAAAACTAAGGGTAAAAAAGAAATGCTATAAATATATATTAATGCCGCGTGATGATGGGACCATAAGAATGCATTCTCGCTGCATAGGTCGTTGGCTTAGAATGCCTCGTGCAAGAATCCAAGGCATCAAGTAGGCCTTCAATAATAATAATAATAATAACATCATCAAGAACAACCTATCTCTATCACTTGCAGCAATTAAGTGGTATAAGTTACTTGTCTTCCTCCTTGGCCTCGTCGACGGTCGTCAACGCTGTGACGATGACCGACAGTAGCATCACCACCAGTTACAGCAGCAGCTTAGCTATATGTATGCTGCACGTGCCATTATTCACTTGCATTCAACAATAGAGAAAGAGATGACAATAATGCAAGTGGAAAAAGGACAGACAGAATGCGGCCATTGACCGGAAAAAATCTTGGGCATTTTTGCAGTAGAACTAGCTGCATCCAAGGTCTATCTATTTTTTTTTCACCGCCTTTAAAACTCCACGTGTTAATTTATTTTTTGTGCCTGAAAATACATTTTATTTATTGGAGCTTAGCCGAGTTTTTAATCGGCCATTGAATTTTAATTACAGAAGAGAAGTAAACTTGAATGAAAAAAATATAATTTTACATACTAAAAAAAAATTATTTTTTGTGCAGAAACGAGGACACAGAAATTGAAAGTAAAAGTCAGGAGTTGCATTGAAGATACCAATGGAGACTCAGAATGAGAAGAAAAGAAAATAAAGGAAATACTTTGTAAGAAGTGTGTCTCCTCCCTTACACCGATGGTACAATATTTGCCGATGGAGAAAAAAAGATTCGCATTTATGATTACTCAGTAATGCATACCAACCGACCTCGACCTGATTCTTCATCTTATTCTCATTCTTTCTATTATTCTTTTCTTCTTCATGACATTTTATTTTTTATTGTCTCTTTTTCTCTTTCTCTTCCTCTTTTATTTTTATTTGTATTATCATTCATTGACTCTCATTCGCCTTTCTTCCTTTGCCAGTCAATTATTACCCGTACACGTGTCTCCGCCAGATGACGATCATACTGCTGCTGCTGCTACTACTAACGATAATGATGATCATGATAGTGATGATAAAAAAGAAGAAGAAGAAGAAGAAGAAATAAAGTCGATTGACCCTTAAGGCATGTAATATGAGAATAATATTGAACGGACGGAAATTTCATTGCATCACTCCTTTGTACTGGGTGCTTTTACTCGGTGAATTGGGGCTCATCTCGTTGCAGTACTTACCACGGGTATAATTTTTCCATTTAAAACTTTCACATTTCAATTACATTAAAAAATGTGCTTACTGACTTACCTTCCAGGCTACAATTCAGCTGTACGGCGTTTCCAATTAATGGCAGGGCCACTGGTGACGGCACATTTCTCAATGAATAAAGAAATTTAGTTCTTTTTATAAATAACGACAAAACCACAACTAGTAAACTCAACAATAAAATAAATGTTACCCAAGAACCCGTAAAAGGTACAAATGTACTCATACTCATAGCTACCATATCAACAAAAAAAAATTAATTAATGATGAAACTAACCGCAGTGATTACCAATGCTGTATAACGTTTTTTATTTCTCGAAACTCTCTTCGAAGGAAACGAAATTCGTTATCACTCGGCACGTGACAATCAAATTAACAGTAAGATGATTAATCAATAATCACTCTTTCTTAACTTTTTAATTTATTTGTTTAAAATATCGCAATAAATAACAGGCTTTTTGGTTAATTTTTAGGATACTTCCCGATTACACTTGAGAAGAAATAGAAGGTGTGTTAGTATCACTTGTCAAGACTAGACCACCGAAGACTGATGCTACTCGTAGTCTCCTCTCGCGAAGATATCGAGGATACTCTGACTTGGGATTTTTATTATCTTACACTACCCAAGTGGTGGTGTGCGAATGCCCACACCACTTCTCTTGACGATCCTCTGGGCTCTGCTCGAGAGATTGGTAAACTGAGTGAGTTAAAAGATTGCAAAGTAAGTGAGTGTGTGACAAAGACGAAGAGGAAGAATAATAAAAAAATAAAGTAATAATAAATAAATTTATATATCTTATATATATTATATATATGTTTGTAAGTATATGCACACTTATGGATCAATCTACTAGTACAATATGCAATATACTTCAGCGGATACGTTATTTTGCGATGGATGCGCTAAAAGACTGCCCTTATATACGAAGAAGAAGTAACCCCCCAGCGTAGCTACCGGACGCTGGTTTGCTTCTCCACCAATAGAATGATACACGTGGAAACGATGACCGAGTCTCTGTTGTTTGCTGGTGTGCTGTTTGAACTTCCAACGTCGTCGTCGTTGCCGTTGTCATTTGCAATCGCCCACTCTTGAACAGAATTTCCATATCGAGTTTGATTGGTATCTTTTTTGTCGGGTATTATTCATTTTTTACTTAACATCAAATATATATTTCATAATATTTTAAATGTCTATCATAATTGTAATACATACATTAATTTATTTTTAGGTATTTATAGGAGATGCAATGGAAAAATGGAATTTAATTTAAGATCCAACAATTAAGCGTGTGCTAAATTTACCACCGTAGATCCTTTAAATTTGTATTCTTCTTTCGTTATAGGCAATATGTGACACTTGAAAATAGTGAACCGAGGTCGTCCAGTCTCCTAGTGTCCATCTCAAATCACCGTGTGCGTCTCAATAAATTTTTTTTATATTTTTTTTTGATTTTATTTAATACTTTTTATACGTCATAGTGATGAGACTTGGCCGTTATCTAATTCTCGTAACAGGGCTAGCATGAAAACAAGGGACGTCGTTGCCAATTCTTTTTTTTTTTCTTCATTTTATCATATTACACCTGGGTCAACTAATATCACCGTGCGGATCCGATAATTTTCAGGTAATATATATTTAATACTATATCTATTAAATTATTTTTCAGCCAATAATTTAATTTATAATCTTGATATTATTATTTAACACCAGGGTATTGGATAAACTCATGGCGCCGATATTTTAATCAAGGTAAATGGCAGTATAAATTTATCTGAATCGCATGTTAAATAGGCTTCTTTTAAATTATGCCTTGTATGGAGTTACTCTAATTAACTGGATATAAGATACAAGATCCAGAATACTAGAAGAAGAAATCTAATTGAACAGAGTGTGAAGAATATAGTAGGGCGCTAGAAGCTACACTAGATCTTCACTTGACCACGTGCGCGACCTTTCAATAGCAAACCAACGCACACTTGTGCTGTCGTATGTATAAATAAAAAAAATTAAAAAACAATTGGGGAATAAAATGTACGACGGAAAGCCACGCGAATTTAATTATTATTTATCATTAATATTAATGTGTATTGCGTAATGGATAAACTGGTTCTTTTTTTGGAAATACCAAAAGTATAATACCGTCAATTGAGACACACCTTAAAAATACATCACATGCACAGATGTATTTTTACCGGTACCGAAAGAAAGCGGCATGTGTAATTTTCAATGAGGAAAAAGGAAATCCGTTTTATTGAAATAGTTACACATAAACTTTTATTGAAGAAATTTAATCTTTGATTATTTCAATTAAATTAAACATTTATAAATTTATATCACACTAAAAATTTTTCTATTTTAGAATTATTGAGGAAATATAATTATTAATTGCTTTTTAATGTTTTAACTTTTGGATTAAATAAATGGAAAATGTAAACAAAAATTTATTATTAAATTAAATAATTTTATTAATTTCCTATTTTATTATCAAATCGGTGTTATTTAATGAATGTTTATATCTTTAAATTAACGTCGACTTCAATTTTATTATCATACATCAATTAGATTTAATTCTTAAGATGAGATATGGATTGATAATATTAAAGTATAGTTGATATATATCTAAATTAGCGGGTTTGAAAAAAAAAATTGATATTCACTTAAGATGTCTGAAATATTGAATGAACCAATTGATTAAGATTCCACGTGTAGAAAAAAATGAGGAACAAATTTAAACAGTATTAAATCTATTAGTAAGTGCGAAGAATTCTTGACACGTGTTGTCAAGTTTTTTTTTTTTTTTTTGTTGGCGGTTTTAAAAATATCCGTATCATATTTCCATTATTAATGAACTTTGATATTTCTTCTTTAAAAAATTTTTTTTTATTAGAACAAGACAAGGCAACTAATATGTTAATGACGGCATATTATCGATATTTAAGATTAATAAAACCAATAACATTTAATCTTTTGGCTATTTTAGCGAATCCGCCATTAAACTTTAGATTAATCTGACCTTGAATTTTCGCATTCGCTTTATTTTACACGTGTAAGCTTATACAATATAATATTAACAATCTCATCAGATCAAGAGTTAATAAGAAGAAAAAAATTTGGCGCGTGTTACCTCAAGTATAGATTTATAATAACGCGTAATTATATTATTTAATCAGCAGTCATGTGCCCGTACTTCAGGTGTTATCTAATAATTTATCAAAATTTTTGAGGAATATGTAAATTTACTGAATTTTTATGTAATTTTCAAGAGTATAATCACTTTATTATAATTTTATTGAGTTTTAGTCTGTTAGTTGGGACTTCCGAAATTATAAATGAAGTTGATTTAATTTTAATTCCATCATTATTCTTGTAGATAAAACGAGTTATTAAAAATTCTTAAATTATTTTATAGTTTTAAAGATAATGTTAACTACATTGATTGTATTATCAACGAGATTACATCTTGCTTAACCCAATTATAATACAGTAATTATTCAAAATTTCGATTATAAATATCAAATTTCATAATTTAATTTACTTTGATAATAATTTAAATTATATGTTAATATTTGTTAATAATAAATAACAAATAAAAATTTATCATGAAAAAAAAAAATATTTACATGCGCTGGAAAATTATTTTGTTTAAATAATATGATTTAATAATTTACTACGCACTAAAAAAAAAAAAAAAAGAAGAAGAAACATATATATATATATATATATATATATATATATATATATAAATCTACACATGCTGAAATACTCATCAATGCATTTCATTTTTATTTTATCTGACATGGTTTCGTTAATACATCAAATGACCCAAGACATTTTAGCAATCATCATTCATTACCCCTTTTAATGATTAATTCAGTGTTTTATTGCTATAATGAGAAAAAAAAATTTTATATCACTTAAATGAATTGTATCGTGAGAAAATATAGGTGAAAGATTTCTTTTTATTTTCATAATGCTGAAGTAAATGTAGTTGTATTATTTGTTTGATTAATTACATTTTTTGTTATTTTTTTGATCATAGTATAATCAATTTGACCGAGTTCTCACGAAACTTTTGTAAATTAAGTATTAACCAGATTTTCTAAATGTTTCTCAGGTATTTTTGATGTCTCTTGTGTCAATGGAACATCCTTGTGGCGCAATGATAGACAATAGCTTGTAGAATTGTCACGCAATTGCAATTTCCATGGCAGTTTATTGTCCAGTATGTATTAAGAAAGTTTAAATATTAAATTCATTAAAGCCTTAGATAGATGAAGTTAATTTTCTTCTCTTGAACTTAATATAAAAATTTAAGTTTCATACTTTATAACTCCAACTACATAAAGTTTTTAAGTACAATTGTGGTATATTGAAAAAATAATTTATTACATCGAAAGCATGCTTTACAAAATATCTTTACGCTTAAAGTATATTTAATATTTAATTATACATCTTATGGCATATATGAAGTATCAATAAAGCTCCTGTAGTTATCAATAAACTTGGTTTTACGCTGTCAATCCCGCCGGCTCGATATTTCCCTGTAAATTACACAATATGATTATAAATAATGAATACCTTTAAACAAACATTAACAGAGCTAATAAGAATATAATAAAAAAAAATTTTTTTTTAAAACTTACACACAGAACCTAAGAATGAAAGACAACAGCAGTCCCTTAATCTCTCGTATTCAGCACAATTGTCGACTTTTGTTTTACACGCTTGTCTTCCTATTCGACAAGTATGTTCTACAAACGGAAATACTTCTGTAAAAATAAATTTTATATTAGAATTTTTATTAGCATGTCACTTGAAATTTATGACTTATAACTTATAAATAAGAAAATGTTTATATTAACAAAAATATATAATAGGCCTTGTTATGGATATATAGAAAAAAGTTTACCATGTAACATATACACAAAGACCCACTATTCGTACTCACAATATCACCTTACATGGAGACATTTCCGGTGAAATAAATATCAATCAGTTATGGATAAGCTCAAATCATAAATATATCACGACAATGTAAATTAACGCGATACGATAAAAATTCTATAACATAAACTTAAATGAAATTACTCTGTTAAATATTTATTATTATTTTCGCTAAACATTTAAACGTGAGCCGTTATGTTACTCTGATGGATTTATTAGTCTAAATAGAATTATAATTCTAAATCTCAAACTAAAACCAACAGAAATTACATGATCAATGATCATCACTGTCGAGCTGGGTTGATGTAATGCAAACAGTCGATCAGTATTTCAAAGACTCCTGCATTCTATTCTATTCTATTTGCGTCGTGGGTGCGTGCAATCATTCGTTTCTTTACATACATAGTATCTGTTCAATATTTTTTCTCTTTCTTTGCACTGAGAGCATCTTCAATATGATAGATTTATATTTAAGATAAAGATCAAGATAAAAATAAATATTTGAAATTATACTATCACTTTATCAATTCGATGAAATTTTTATCACAATTTTTTATTTTACAATGTCTCGATATCATCGATCTAATTTAATGTAATGCTGATAAAATAATAAAGTAAATTTAGTTAATCCAAATAAAGGCTTATACTTCTCATCGCAAAGAAAATACGCGTGAATTACCTTATCGCCTGTAAGAATTTATAAAGAAACAATTTTTTTTTTTTCTTTAATCCAGTATTTAATGTTTTGCTTATTTCGACTACGTAATGCATGAATTATTTCACGAATAATAGTTTTTCTTAATCGAAGGCTGAATTACAGGCATTAAAAATCGTAATATGGAAACGCTTGAGTGAGATGTCGAGGCCGAGACATTATTTGTCAACATTATTAAATTTATAATACATATATCTGGATGTAATAAATAATTTCATCAATTATTGCTTGATTTTGAGAAAAAATACCTACCATTGTAAGCACTGTCACAACAACAATGATCATTAATAACACTTCCGTCTTTGCAGTAGGTCATCTCTTCGTTCGTGCATGCTTTACATCCAGGTATGGTACCTGAAAAAAATATATTTTATTACTTACATTATTACTTAAACATGTCCTTCGTTGATTTGTTCAAATGAAATAAAATATTTCATAATATTTTATACAATCAACTATAAATATATATCTAATAAATTTTATATAATTAACATAAACATTAATTACAGAAATTTAGTTCCAACTGAAATAATGCATGCATCCAAGTTAATTAAAGTATCTAACGATTGCGTAACTTCTATGTAATAATATAAAGACTAAAGTTATAATAGAGTAATAGATAGCAAAACTATAGAATAGTGTTTGTAAGGACGATCACCTTTTTTCATCCTATCCTTGTGATCATTATTGTCAGAACGAATGAAAGAAGGCGTCGTATTATCTTGACCGTAGCAACACGTGATACTTGATACGTGATTCGAGAACAAGACGAGCATTTACATGGTCCCTTATACTCCAGACTCGACATTTTTTATTTTTATTCTCAAAGATAAGGTGACAACAAAAGACTTAGCAGGTAAAGTCTCAGAAAAAAATTATTTTCGTCAAAGTATTTAAAACATATTTTTTTTGCACAATTTACCTGTTGGAATAGTGAGATTTTTAGCCATTGCAATGGCTTTGTAGTAAGACACCTCGTGCTCGACAACATAATCATCATCTGGGTAATGATCAAAAGTAGTAACTGCCTGAAGAATATCCAAGATCAGCAGAAAGACACAAATTTCTTTCGCAATATTTTTAATCATGCTAGCTGCGAGTCTTCGTTATTCTTCATCCTTGATTTTGATATCGCTGTTATTACATTTGCCTTTTATGATGTACTCTATTGTTTATCATGCATAAAACTGCTCGTTCATTAAAATGCTTCTTCTTTATCTGAAAAAACAATAAATTAGTAAGTAAATAAATAACAATAGAATGGAAATTGCAATAGCGCTTGCGAGAAATTGAATCGCGTAAATAGAATAATAAAAAAAAAGTAAGCACAAAATGTTAAATAAATCTGGTGGAATTATCGGTAGACCTGGCAAGAAAACCACCAACGTCATATCGATCCAGACGCTTTTTATTGCGATGATTCATCCCACCCTCAAGTTTTGATACAATCTACCCTACATACTCTATCATTATGTAAGCCTTTCAAGCAAAACCCCGAAAAGAGGAGCAATAATAAAAGAAATCCATCTCATTTTAGTTATTCTACTTTTGTAATTTTCATTTTTTTCATGTTAAATTATACAGGAAATCAGGTCGCGTGTATATACTTTAAAATATACATTTTCTGTCAATAAAGACGTAAGGCTTGCAATGTTTAAAATTCCGCTATTTTATTCACAGTTTCAATGGTTAGTTTTATTTTGTAAATAAATATACCAGCAAGTATAGACAGCCTTAAAATAACTTATTTCGCGGTAGTTAATATAATCTTTCATACATTCGATCGCTGTCTGTTTATTTTCTCATACTATTTGTATTTTTTTTTTTTTCTTTTAGAAAAAAACTGTTCTCAGTAAAACTATTACTGCTTTTAACTAAAAGTATTATTTTAATAAAAATAATTTTTAATCTTTACAGTATTCTCGACATACTAATACTAGTGATGACTCACGTGAATTACCAGTATACTTGGGTGATCAGTAATTAAGCTCAATTAAAGACATAAACGATGAAACTTAAGCTTCCGTTGTTATCAACAAAATACAAAGAACTGAAAAAATGAAAAAAAAAAAAAAAAATTAACGATAGTTATTACACTTTTTTCTAATAAAATTTTCTTGGGCAATTACTTTTGTTAATTTATTTCACTCAGAGTTAGAAAAAATATTAATCTAATTAATTAATCTAAGTACTTTTAAATTAACGTAAAAGAGACACTTACAAAAGAGGAAATATCTTATAAAATAATGTTACAAGTAATCCAGAGTCCGAAGCATTTTAAGCAGATAAATTAACTAAAATACTGAGAAAAATAAACTTTTACGAGCTTACTTTTAATCATTTTATAAAAAGTGTAAGTAAAAAACTTGAAAACATATCAGAAGTGTGAATCGTTTCTTATCTTCACCCGCTAACCCTTGACCCGCTCGCTGGTAAATACTCGGTACTTTTTGTTAAAAATATAAATGTATACCTCGACACACTTTCATCAATTTAAATTCAATTTAATTTGTATACGAGCAAATTAATTCAATTTATAAGAGAATAATTTAATAGAGATAATGTAAAAAAATTACCTTTGAGTGTGAAGAATCCATTCAAATATTTATCACATTAATTGACTAAACAATATAATGAAGCAATAATTTATTAGCACAATAAATAACAGTATAAATACTAACTCTGGATTTGAAAAATAATTTAAAATTAAATTAAATAAATAATCATAATAAAGCCGTCAAATGTCAACGATAATACGAGCCGCGTGACACGTGCATCAACCGCCGAAGACTACGAACTGAGTGAAACTGCGCGAGGGGCTGAAAAGAGCGTTACTGAACAGTACATTTGTATATATATATATATATATATAGATATATAAATACATATATACGTGTAGTCATATATACAGTATATATTGTTATGCCAAGACCCACCACCTCAGACCAGAAAGACTCAGAGTCTATTCAGCGTTTGTATAGACTGCACGCTTGCAACCAGCTAAGTAAAATTCGTGTCACCTTTTTTGTAATCTTCCACAAACTTGATCATACTTTTTTTCTCATTAGAGATAATAATGAAACTTATTATTATTATTACCATTATTATCTTGACAGTATGTCAAAATTTTCCATTCCATTCAAATCAAATCGATAGCCTGAAGGTCAATTTCCAAACTTTGGTATCCATATCTAATTAGAACAGTACCACAAAAAATAATTTAAATAAAATAATGCGTTGGCAATTAAATACTTATACTTATTGTAATTCTAATATCACTCGCAGGAAGTCAAAACGCATAACGACATACGTGCAATATAAATTTATTGACGATTCACGTAACGAGATCCTCTATATATTACTCATATCCCTTTGTTCGCCGGACTATTTCAGTATATCCACTGCATGCAATATAGCTGAAAGAAAAAAAGAATTATTTTTCCTTTATAAATCCCCCGTATAATAATTTTTTTCCTCCTTACTATAACTTACTTTTTTTTTTTCTTCATTTCATCACAGAAGCGGGTAAATGAATAAGACAACCATGATATGCGATGAATTGGGTCTTATTCCATCACTTTTTCTTTCTTTTTTTCTTTTATGTATTAAGTATATACCTATACACACACACATCCATCAACAAATACATATTTCTTCTTTATCACAACGGACCCTCTTCAGCTCCATTCATCTGTAGGGCACACGCGTGTGACCATGCGGAACATTTACCTTCTACCCTTGAAGGTATTCATCCGCAGCTGACGTTTTTGAAGCTTCAATTGTATATATATTATATCATCGAATTACTTCTTAGTTTCGTTATGTTCTTATTTATACACAAGTACTTACTCTCATATATGTATTGGCCTTTTTTAATTCTATGCATACCTGGGAGCATCAGTCGTCAACGAAGCCGTACCGGATAAATTGGTATTTTGGTTTCATAGGCACACAACTCTTATATGTGTCTTAAATCCTTGATATCAATGTGTCTAACCATCTATGATAGTATGTGCAGTTAATACCTTAGTATGTGTTCATATACATGAGCAGATTAAACAAAATAAAGGAATGGAAGCCCTTGCGCACATGAATTTGTGGTTTTATATGTAAGACTGCATACAAATCCCAACCAAAAACGAAATCTATATAATAGAATTGTATGTGTTGTAGTACTATACAGTTCTCGACCGGTTAGAACCGAGCCACTATGGACTAATGCAAGAAGGGTCTTGAATCCTGATTATGTCGTATATTGATCCAGTGGACGAGATATAAATCCACCAAGCAATGTTATGTAGAGGGTTCAAATTTTTCTCTGCCGTGTTTTCATACGCAGTAACTGCGTCACCAAAATGTCCTTGAACAGAAAAAAAAAATTTATACGTTTCTGGGTTACATCTTAGACTCTACGTACCTACTATTTTAACATTTTTATAAGATTATCGCTCTTGTCGATGACATGGGCACCCGCATGATTACTAAACTATTAACATAGATAGGTGATTGACCCTGTTTTTTCTATAATTATCATAAATTTTTTTTCATGATAGAATAATTATGAAGAAACATATGAAGCAGTATGGTAATGACTAACACTGATAATGATAACAAGTGCTGCTTAAGTCCATGCTGAGATTTATTGTTTTAGTTTTATGTGAGTGATGGATTACTTATTTTATTTAAAAAAAGAAGATTAAAAGTACTTCTGATAGCTTGTTTTGAACATTAATTTTATTAGAGGACACTCCTGGATCCTTTATTTATATCATAGGTGCGTTTTGGGCTTGGCGTTATCGTAACGCTTCACATATTCTTCTCTGTACACACCTTGTTATAAATATATAGGTTTTTATTTATTCTATTATTGATATTTATAACTCCCCTATCTTCAGTATTGACCCTTTGTTTTCTTCTTCTTGACCCTCTTTTTAGTCTTTCAATTAATCATAATTGTAACTTCTGAAAAGCAAGAAGATTTTATTATTTTTTATGAATTATTCCAAATATTAGTTTATTTTTTAATCTATGTATCATTGCAATGCATATCTTTTATGCTAATTATCAGCATATCTAGAAGATGTTCTAAATTCTTTTTGATGATTACAATTTTTTATATTTTTATAACAATTAAATTATTACAAAAATAAATTTTGTAAAAAAAAAAAATATTTTTTTCATCATAATAAATTTGTTATAAAAATTTCAAAAATTGTCAGATGCTGATTTCAGTATTATAAAAAAATAATTACATTTTTATTTCTTCATAATTTATTATTTGTTTTAACAGATACTAAAGTTGACTTTGAAGCTGATAAATTTATTGTAGATGAATTTTCTTGTTACATTGGAGCAGCAATTTTTTTTTTATTACTAACATATAATTGTTCCCTTTGTAATCAAGAACAATAGTATTAAGATAATAATTATCGAAATTGTGTAACAGATCAATTATTATTTTGTTACAACAAAACTCATTATACGCAACATTATTGAAGCTGTTATTCTTCAACGCGCATTTACATCTCAATGTAAAAAAAAAAAAAAAAAAATAATTTTTGCCTTTGCAAGAATTTTAATCAACAATTGGTAAGACTGCTTTTGACAGTTGATAATAAAGAAATTTATCTATAATATATTATCAAAAGTATAGGTTAATTCTAGGTGTGTGAGACTTGTAGAAAATAATATTACAGATTACACTATTCAACGTCACTGCTGTAAATAGAAATTTAGTAGCAAGTGTAAATGTGAACGAGTAAGACGCAGGACGTCTTGCCATAAATTTTGTGTAAAATTGTGCAAAAAACACTGCAGTATTCCAATATATAATCTTGAATGAAAAGATAATCAACCCACTTCCAGCAGAATATATATTTAGATTAATATAAAAAAAATCATGTCATCGCCAATATTTAATCCGGTAAGTTTAATTTAAACTTTTTAGTAAATTTAGCTTCAAGATAATGAGTAGCGATAATAATAATGACAACCGTAGAATTTATATACGGAAAAATAATAAAATGACTGCCGAGTGTCGGCAGCAATATTTATATACCGTTACAAGTATCTTTATTAACTGAATACCAATGTCATGATGTTTAATTGAAGTTTCTAGAACGAATTCTCACTGTACTATCAATATACTAATTAAAAAAGTATAACAATGAAGATTAATCAAAAGAGATTGTATCATATTAATTTAATGGATAATTAAATGACATTATTATGCAGGAAATTCCATATGTTGGTGAAGTACCAGGAGGGTTATCACCAGGCAAGATGTTGAAGGTCCACGGATCAATACCTCCAGACGCTGTGCGATTTGCGATCAATTATCAACTAGGTCCAAATATAAACCCACGGGATGATATTGCTATTCATTTATCACCGCGATTTGGTGATGGTATAATCACAAGAAATCACATAAATTCAATGTCCTGGGGGCCTGAAGAGAACAGCGGAGGTATGTGGCTCCAACCAGGCCAAGCATTTGAAATAATTATTCTCTGTGAGCCACTGCAGTACAAAATAGCCATCAACGGTAGACATTACACGGAATTTGCACACCGATTGCCTTACCAGAAAGTAACACACTTGGTAATAGACGGTGATGTTGAGATAAAATCAATTGTATTTGAGTCGATTGGTGGTCCACCATCTGCTAGAGTTGCTTCTGCTCCTGATATACCTGCTCCTGATTTTGCACCACCTGGTATAGCTTAATTAATAATTTTATCATTTTTCACTTAAGATATTTTTTATTAAAATCGGATTAATTATTTTTTAGGTCCAGGAGGATTGTATCCTAATTTAAAACCAGATGCTGGCGGCTATGGACCTCCTGGTGGCTACGGCCCACCTCCAAATGCTTATGGAGGTCCAGCAGGTTACAATCCACCTATGCCATATGGCAGTCAACCGGGTTACGCAGAGCCTGAAGAAAAAGAGGCCTTTGGTGGTTGCTTAGATAAAGTTGGTCTTGCTGTCGGAGGATTAATTGCTGCTGGAGGAGTGGCTGCTGCTATGCACGCATATAACGTACGACTATTGAAATTATTGTCAATTACTTTCAGTCTTTTAATTGATTAAAAAGTACTATTTATTAATTATTCATCATTTTATTTAAATTACAGAAAAAGAAGCATGAGCACGAAGAGCCAGAGCATGAGAAAACAGAGTCTTCCAAAAATGAAAGCGAAAGTGGATTCAATTTAGGCGCTCTTGGTGCTGCGTTGGCTAGCGGTCTAGCTGCTAACGCTCTTCAAGGTGACATGGGGCGTGGACAGTCTCACGGATATCCTGGGCAAGACACTGGAGGCGGTGGAATGCTTGGATCTCTTCTTGGAGCACTTGGTACGTTTTAGAGATTATCAAAATCAGAAATAATGATGACAGTTAATAAAATTAATTGGAAAATTGTCTAACTAATTTAAGAATGTGAAAATGACGTAATACTAAAGAAATTGCAATTGTAAATCTGTCCAAGGACTTTCTTAACTGCGACTGATGGCTAATCTTCGACTATACACGTCATTATCACTTCTTATTATGATAATTACGAATATCATTCTTGTTATTGGATATTTATAGCGGATAAATAATATATAAAAATATTTTCGTGATAAAAGGCGGAGGAGGTCATCAACCAGCTCATCAGCCAGCTCAACTTCCACCATTACCAGCTGACCCGATGGGGGGTCTAGGATCGTTTTTAGGCGGTGTTCTAGGTGGTGGTGGTGGTGGTGGTATTGGTGGTCATCACCAGCCTTCTGGAGGATACCAACCTAGTGGCGGTTATGGAGCCCCTAACCAGGGATCAGGAGGAGGAGGGGACTTATTGAGCACTCTTGGGTCATCTTTGTTCAGCTCGGCTCTGGACAGTTTCAGTAAGAATGTGAGTACTAAGTCCAAGAAAAAAAAGCAAAAATAACAATGCTTAATTACCTGTTTTCTTTTATTTTAATTAGATTTTTATTATTTTATTGGCTTTATGTTTCTACTTACATTATTTATCTCTTATTGCTTATTGCATTAATTATCTCTTGTATAACTTTGGAATTACTTTTATCGCTTTTGCGTATTTTTATTTATGTTTGATATTTATAATTATTTACTTGAATAAATGCATGATTTTTTATTATTATTTCTTTTTTAAACACTTTTTTTCTTCCTTTAAAAAATTTATCTAGAAAATGAAAAATAAGTTTTTGTATTTTATAAATATATTCAAAAAATTATCTACTTTATTTAGAAATCGCACGATAATTATCCATCGAACCCACAACCACCACCGCCTGCCTACAATCATAATTACGGTCCTCCGAGGAATGATCCACCGCCACCACCACAACCCCCTTCACGGAGTCCTCCATCTCCACCTGCATCAGGCGGTGGAAAATTATCCGCTGCTGAAATATCCAAAGGACTTGGACTTAGTGATGATGAAGATTAAGAATTAAAAATGTTTTCTTGATTTTTGAAAACATATTATTCTTAATTAATTGTTCAAATTGTGCTTTTATGAATGGCGATAAAATTTTCAATCGTTAATGCAAGCTTCGTAAGTAAACATTTTATCACGAAAATCAAATAGCTAAAAATGAGAATCTCGAATTTTAAAATGATTAATTTACGATATAATTTATACATAGATAATTTTTTTTATGTATTTACTCGGTACACACAAATTATTTATTGCTTACGTAACAAAAATAGGCTTACAAAAAAAAAATGTTGAAGTAAAAGCAGCTAACATATTTTACAGAGTTAGGATTAATAAAAAGTATATCATATTTTTTTGATAGAATAAATATTGTTACTGAGGCCTTTAAAGAATGTTTTGCAAGTTTGTTTTTAAAATATTATATATAGTTTATTATAAATATATTATATATAATAAATACATATAAAAAATATTCAATATTCAAAAAATTGCTAAAGAAATATGTCAATTAATACAAAAAATAAATAAATCAAACTATCGAATATTAACATAAAACTTTTTTTTATTAAAAAAAAATTACAAATATTCTTTATTATATAAATAATCTTTACTAATGATATATTTGTTATCACACTTATTATAGTACTTATACACGCTTGTATAATTTTTAAATATTTTTTTTATCACTTAATAGTTAATTATATATTACACAAAAATATGATTTTTTTTTATTTAAAAATTTTTTAATAGTATTTCTAATTTGTATCGAGGACTTCCATTGATGAATTCATTTCCAGATTTTGATCTTGTCTCTAAAATAATAAATAATTAATTGCAAAAAATAAAAACCTTGATTGAATTTAATAATAAAAATTATAAATCAAAATATACTAACATTATCATCAGCTTTCAAAGCTTCCAGTTCTTCTTTTTTTCTTCGATTGAAGAACCCTATCTTGACTAACACAATAATTAAAATAATCAATAAAATAATACCAAGGACAACAGAAAAAGCTATTATCCAGACAGCAACGGGTTTAGCTATAGGTGACCCGACAAACGTAGTTCCTATCGCTACATGATCTGAATTAATATTATTTATTTGTAGAATGCCTTCTGGTAATGATATGTTAACATGTCCGCTGGACACAAAGTAAACTATATCTTTTTCTTCCAATATATTCTCTACAAATAAAATGAAAGTAATAAACAGTAATTTATTGATACAACTTATTAAATAAATATATTAAGTTACCTCTCAAATTTTTTATTTTCAAGTCCATAGTAAATTTAATTTCTGCAACTGTTGATAAATTCAAGGGTGTCTGTAGTACACAGTAGATAGCCGTACAAATAATTAAAGGATTTGAACAGTTGACATAGAATGTCCGATCATCCGTAAGAACGTTCACAAAATTGTCTTTGATATTAATTTTTTCAATAGAATAATTATTGTACTTAAACTCTGTATGATCTTCAATAGTTCCATTCGAACAAAAAGAATTGTGTCTATTAATAATAGTTTTAGGCAACGATAATTCTGTTCGATTAATCGTCGCTATATCAATCATATTGTCACCGTCCATCAAATGAGTAGGAATCAAAACTTTTAATATTGCTTGTTCAATAGACGTAACGCCAAATTTACGAACTTCATAAATGTGATCAAATCTCATTGTATCTAAGGCGTTTTCTGTATCATTAAAGTATGAATACAAATCTTCTTGTGCTTTTCTGTAAATATAAAAAAATTATTTTATTATGCTAAAAATCATTATTTTTTTTCTCTAATATCTTACCCAGCAACGGCAATATCAACATCAACGTCAAAGAAGATTGTTAAGTTAACGTTACTATTATCATAATTAATATTTTCACTCTGCGTATCTACACTTATCTCTAAGTTTGTTTGTTTTTGGTCACTATTTACCATAACGTCTATTTCCAACAGAACAGTTTGCTAAAAAAAAAAAAAATTTATCATCAAATTTACCAAGTCTTTCTTAGTTATTATTATTATTATACATACGTTATCTTTAAGAGGGTTCCCTATAGAGCAAACAATCAACTCGCCATTATCCTTAGTGTGTTCATCGCAATTAAGAGGAACACTTGCTAAGGTGAGAAATATTGGTAAAAATATATTGAGGTAAGCGTGATAAGCCCCTTCACCATAATTATTAACATTAATTGAAACGTTTATTGCCTGCCGTGTTCCTATTATGTATCTATTGCCCTCAAGGTTAGTGGTTACGTCTAAAGTAATGTTTGAACGACAAACATCATCAGGACCGCAATCTACGGCAAATGGAAGCTTAATAATATCTTCAGTCTTTGAACGCAGTTTATTGATCACTGGACAATTATGACAAAAATTATCCCGCGATTCCGGATTTTGATTATCAATTTCAGGCGTGTCCAAAATAATTGATGCCTTTATCTCGATTGGGTCGAATACATTTATTAAATTTTCCTGTAATAATATTTTAACTCGTTCACAGCGAGTTTTTCCGTAAGATAATTGATCAAAAGCATGATACGATCCATTTATTTTATGAATTGTTTGTAGATATGCACGTCCTTCCATTGGGTCAATAGTCAACTGCTTGATAATTCCTATAAATTTATCATTTTTAAGATAAGAAAAAATTAATTGATAATTATTAAATTTGATTCTTACTTATAGAGTCTGGCGCGCGTATTCCGTCGTAAGAGCAACAAACTTTGATAAAAAATGAAGAACTATTAGTTTCAAGCTTAAAATTATCGTCAAGATCAACATCAATATTAACATGAATGACAGAGTGTGAGCGAAACAAAACTGCCTGGCTGGATTTAAATGAACCAACTGCAAAATCTGGGTACCCGTTACCGTCAACATCTCTGGGTTCGGAAATAGAAATTCCAAAACCTTTGAGTGTCTCAGGAAATTGATCTCCGGTTATCTTCTGACTCCAAGTGGTTGAAAGTCCCTTCTGCTGGCCGTTAAAAATGAATACAGCTCCATGGTCATTTTCATAGGGAGCTCCGACGGCAATGTCTTGATATCCATCGTTGTCTATGTCTCCCAGACACATCACTGACGATCCAAATCTTCCATTTTCTACTGTTCCATCAATGGAAGATGATAATTCCATGTAACTCTAAAATATAAGCCAAAGAAGACATTTATTCGTGGACACTTGACAATTTTTTTATTTTTCTTGTCGAATAGACTAAGTGCAAAAAATTATTTTAAAAAAATTGCATTTATAATTTTTTAGAGCTTCTAAAAAATCGAATTTTTAAAATAAATTTTTCTTTTTATAATTTATTTGTTAAAAAAATTAATCAGATGTCTCTTCACTTCAGTATCATCATAAATTATTATACTATTAAACATATAATTATTTATAATATTCTTACGTAATATCTATTGTGAAAAATATAAATGCGTCCTTCATCACCACTTTTACTCCAAAGCGGTGCTCCGACAATAAGCTCATCATCACCATCACCATCAACATCACAAGAAGTAATTGCTGATCCAAAATACTCTCCGTGTTGAGTTCCAGTTAATATATTTTTGATAATTAATTTTTTTTCATCAACGTCATAGGAAAATACCAACACACGGCCTTTCATATCGTCATTCCGTGGTGCGCCGGCCGCAAAATATCTTCTGGATAGCCCAAAATAATGACCGGATGTTACACTATAACCTGCGATAAGAACCTATTAATCAAATTCTGTGAATAAAAAGTTTTATTTAAACGTGTACCTAAGTATTCGTAATTAGTGATGTCGTAACTTGGAACAACGGATCGAAAAACTCCAGATCTACCTTCAGTAACCACAACAGGTGTTCCATACCAACTGAAAGCTCCAGGACTTCCCAGCATAATATTCCAACTTCCATCAGTGTGGAATTCATGCATAGACATTCCCAATTGTCCCATGCCGTAGTGATAATATACCTGGCCGTTTTTAGCTCTGGACGTTTGTAAATGATAATCCGTCATAGACTTTATCCAGATGTCATTGGTTCGGTTGAATTTATCTGGAGTGTCAATTTTTGAGTAGTAACACAATCCATTCATGTAGACTTCAGTTGACAATTTTATTTTCCATCTTGGAGCACATACCTGCGTAGCAATAATTTATTTTTTATAATCCAACAATTTATATTTTGCAATTTTTAATATTTAATATTTAATATTCTTCTTAGATCAGGAACGAGAGGGCCAACCATGTACATGGTAACTTAATAATCCGAGCCCGGTCTATTGAATCAATTAAATAAGATGAAGAACTACTATTAATGTGTTACTTAATAACATACATATGAAAATGTGATATAAGCCAATTTACATGCTGATTTATTTCTAAGTATTTATGCGCTATTAAATACTCTTTAGTAAATCTGTCTAACTTTTTAAAGTTATTTTTCATAAATTTATAGTTTTAATATTTATTTACCATGCTACTGTTTTACAGAAATATTCTCGAAAAATTGAGTACATTAACACCTCATAAAAATACGTTTACTTTATTGCAATTACTCTGTACATTTTGGCACACCCTAATATATATACTTGCCATTCGGCCTCTGCCTTGGCATTAAATTTAATCAATAAATAAATAAATAAAATAATAAATTATATATAAAAAAAAAAAAAAAAAACTTACCACAACTCTGGGATGTATATGATTTTCTACGGAAATAGTAGCACCCAGCCATGAAAAATCTCTAATCTGACTACCATACATTCCACTTAATCTGCCATTCCTACTATCTTCTACAATCCATTCTCGACATCGTCCATCAAAAGTACACTTAAAAACACTTCCAGGCTCATTGACATACATTGCACTAACATTAGCTCGGGGAGCTCCAACAATCACCGCTGGATTTTGATAAAACTCATCACTGTACAACGCAACAGAGTACCCGAAATAACTTCCCCGATCTCTGGGACGTTTGAATGGGTCTTTGAAGACTATAGCTTCATCAACATTTAAATTATACCCATCACTAATTAAAAATAAATAAATAAATATAATTAATAACTTAAAAACTGGCAGTAGGTTTTTACAGAACATTGTTACAATTCTTTGGTACAATTAGGATTAGAATTCATGCTGAGAAGTGTCGACGTTGAATGACTAGTCTGTAAACTAAGGATGTGGTTTTCTGGAAACCACTTACATCACATATAACTCTATCTGCTTGCCCTAAGACTGAGTGAGTAATCAGCATGAAAAATATTAAATAAACATGTATCGTGGCATCGTGGGACAGTGTCTCATAAATTAATAAATATTGTATTTCCGGTTAAATCATAACTTAAATTTATCTTGTCTTCGTTTATTGATTTTTAATCATAATAAATTTTATTATAGTAAAAAAAAATTGATAATTATTTTTTTTTGAAACTTATCATTTATTTTGTTTTATTAATCAATCAGAAGATATATAAATGTATGATTAAATAACGATATTCAGCAAATGAATATTATAACGTAAAGCAACGACAATTAAATTTATAATTAAAATGTAGTAATGATAAAAACTAAGAAATTATTTTATCTTATGTCATTTTCTCTTTTTTGTTGTAAAACGTGAGATATTTTCAATAAACTCAAACCAGCTCATAGTTTAAAATGACTCACGTTAAACATATATTCATTAACTATGCACAATCAATCGTTTATTTAAATCGACAGTATAATGAATCAGCGTAAAGAATATCAAAAGAAAAAATGTTGAATATATTAATATTTAAAAAAAAATATAATAATTATAATTAAACTTTAATAATAATTTAATATTATGACTTGATGATATATTAATAGCTTTAATGACAGACAAAATATAACGATGATAATTAAAATTTTCAAGAGATGATTTTAAAATATTTGCATTTAAATAAAAATACTTGGGACAATTTACTGTTGAAACCTATTATAAAAATATTCTCGGGCACTTGCACATCCCTATTTTGTGTATAAAAAGGGAAGAAAATTGACAAATATGCTCACATAAATTTTGTTTTTTGTTACTTCGATTACTTCAGTGTTTTATATAATTTGTATTATTTTGTTTTTTACTTTTAATTTATAAGACGACGATCGGAAGATATATTTTACGATTTATAAATTAGTTTGCTGATCTTTTACGGTAACCTTTCCGGGCAGCATCAATTTTTTTCTTAAGACATTCAAGACGTGTAAAAATTCTCTCATGATCAGAATTTTCAACTCCATTGAATGAAGTTTCTGGAGTTGAATCACATTTTTCTACCGTTGATCCACTGCCTGATGAAGCTATACCGCTATCAGGTGTTGGAGGTGGCATTTTACGATTAACTTTTACAGGAGTTGTTAATTCTTCATTTTGCGTATCACTAATATTAATACTACTACTACTACTATTATTATTATTATTATTATTATTATTGTTTATACTTGAATCATTGATATTAATATTATTAATGTGATTATTATTAACACTACTACTATGATTATTTTTAATTTTATCACGACTCGATTTTGATTGTTTACACCTTTCGGGTTTTCGTCTGTATCCTTTGCTAGTAGCTTTCTCGTTGTCAACTTTTAAACAGCGACGTTTTTTCGGAATATCTTCAGTATCATCAGAACTGGCACTAGAGTGATTAGATTCATTAAAATCACTGTCAACTGCTATTGCCTTGGCAGAGTAACGTGAACTACGTGAACTTATTCCAGCACTTGTACTTGGTTGTGCTGTATCAACAGCTAAATTATTATTGTTGTTGTTGTGATGATGATTATTAACATTATTATTATTATTATTATTATTATTACTAGAATTACTTCTTAGTTCCTTAGAACGACTTTTACTTTTGGGAACACACTCTATATCACTTTCAGCATCACTAACTATTCTTAAAACAGTACATTTTCTTCGTACTTTATTTCTAGTTGACATTCGTATCTGTTTTTGTTTCGTACTTTTGACACGTGATTTGGATTTTAATTTACATCTACTCGTATACTTTCCTTTGTTTTCTCGCACCGTCTGATCTGAATCAGAATCGTCGGCTCCTGTTAACGCGCTCGAGGGCTTTAATGTTGAACCGTTTTCTAATGCTGCTAGTTTCATCAATTTGTCACGACAGCTGCCGATTAATCGAGTAATACGATTGGGAGATTCAAATGGTCTCTCGGGTGCAACTCCTCCAGGAAATTTGTGTCGTGCTTCTTTTTTAGCTCCCAGTACACTTCTCATTAATTGCGTGTCAGACGCAGTTGAATCTGTGCGTAATAAAATTTACTTCAGTAATAACATAACAAAGACTTATAAAGAAGAAATAATTAACAATAAGATAAATACAAACCATCAGAATCTGTTGAACTGTACTCAGGAGGAACAATTGTTACATCTTCAGAGTCATCCGGATCACGCTGACCAGATGCTGCATCTGAACTCCATCCTTCAATTTCACGCTGTACTAGTGAGTCGAAGAAAGCCATCATTCGCGGATCTTCCCTTGTTGACTGATGGCTGTAATCGTGGGTCATAAATTGACCACTTCGAAGTATCAATTTTATATACTCATCGTGTGTGTATACTTTACGTTGTCTTTCTAATTTTCCGTCAAATTTCTGCATACAATTAAAATTAATTAATCATATTTTTCATTATTAATTTAAAAATGTACTTACAGTTAAGCTTCCCAAACATCCATTTCCAAGACTAAATGGGCTCCAAACTTTGATAATTTTTTCAACACCCGACGAAGCCAGTATGCTATGTCTCGAATTGTATCTTACGTGATTTACGATTGAGCGATGCCCACGTAGAATCATATGAGCTGATTTAACCCAATTACTATCGTCTTTAGGAATTTTCCACATGTACAGATTGAAATCATCGGAACCTATTCAATTTAAATAACGGAAAAAGTAATTCTATAATTATATTTACAAATATTAAAATTATGAAATAAGAATATGAAAATGAAATCGTTACCTGAGAGAATGTATGATTCATCGTCTCCGGCAAAGCAACAAGACTTCATTGTGCAGCTATTATAATAACCCGGCTGATCAAAATGACACAAGAGTTTCGGCGAATCAACAGCATACAAAACAGGTGGTAAACGACGTTTTAATGCTAACAATCGGGTACCAGCTGAATTAAACCGAACATTCATGCAACTTTGAGATGGGCCTTCAGCTCCATACCGCAGCAAAGATCTATAAATATTTAATTGGAATTAATAAAAAGAAATTTAATAAAGTAGAACTTTAAAATTTAATTTCTGGTGTATGTACTTTAGTGGTTTTCGTATATCCCACATGCTGACTCCTTCCTCAGCATTAGCAGTGGCGAGTTGTCTCGGTTCCACAGGGTTGAACATCACAGAATGAAAGGGAGTTTTGTATTGCGCCAAACATAGCGATTCAGAGCTACTGTGATTTCTTATATCATACACTAAGACTCTTCCGTCGTCGCAGGCACTAGAAAATATATTATCATCGTCTGGATGAACTGACAATCCATAGACTGGCTTTTCATGAAGGAAAAATTCCAATGGATCTCCACTGCAATTGAATAGTTAAATAATTTTCAATTTATTTTATAAAATATAAATTATAAGTAAATAAAAAAAAAAAAATATTAATTACGTTGTCAGATCATGGACAATAACTTGATCGTCATTGCCACCTGAGAATATTTTACTGTTGCTACTATCGTATCCAAGGCAAAAAATATTACTATTATGTTGCGCTTTCATAGCCTTAGGTTTACCCAAACCTTGTAATGCTTGATCAACTTTCCATAAAAGAACTCTTCTGTCATCTCCACCTTTTAAAAGAAAGTAAATAAATATTTATATTTTTGACTTACCATCAACAAATAGAAACATCAATCAATCAATCAATATAACAAACCTGAGACAAGAAGATGACCTTCTTTGGAGAATTCAATTGCGTTGACACAACCATAATGCGACATCAAATCTTTTCGATACAAATTCTCCGAGTTTGAAAATCTTGCGTTGATAAGTTGCTTGCAATAGTTAAAACGGTCGTCAATTTGACGGGACAAAAAACAATGGAGAGGATTGTAATTGCTAGGACGAGCCATTTTTTTATAAATTTTTATTCGTCCTAATCGTTTCACAATCTCTCAGAATCACCTCCGGGTAAAGTGCGTTTTAAAATTTTATTTCTCCCTCCATCTACAACATATACTTCCTATTAATATATTAAGCTATTAAAAAAATAATTATCTACTTAATAAATATTTCCTCGCGATGTGACAAAATAATTTTAGCAGTGATTTTGTTAAATTAAAAAAATAATCTAGAATAAATCAAAACATGACACCTACGTTAAAATGTCTCAATTTTTTCCGACAGCTTTCGTGCTACGTTTTAATTTATATCTTTTAGGTTGAGGTTCGACGCTACGTTTAGTCTTAAATGATGAAAAAAATCTACACAATAGCTGCGACTCAATCAGCTGATTGTTAAACTTCCCACTTCAGTCAGCTTCGATTCCGGTAATATTTAGTGTATATCATAAAGACTTTAACTGATAATTGTCTACATGTAATTATACCCAACTGTTGGTTGTAAATTATTATTATTATCACTTAATGTTTTTTTTTTCCGTTCAATCAACATCGATAATCATGAAGTATGTACAGCAAGCTCTGACATTATGTTCTTTTTGTTGCGTGTTTTTATTTTTGTAAGTAAAAAGATAAATAAGTGAACATATTTTTTAATACTTACGTACGACGTTCACAGCAGATGATATTTTATTAATTAATATTCATATTTAGTATAAATTAAAAAAAAAAATAGATTAGTTTTTTTTTTTTTTATATATATATATATATATTAATATAGATAGATGGTTTCAGGTGATATTATTGTAGAATACAGACATTTAACAGGAGAGAAATAAAACACACACTTTTGGATTATTTTGTTGACTACATTACCACATGTAACAAGATAGAGACAGCAGGACACAACATTGATAATGGATACTTGCGCCACTCAACGGATATCCCGAATACTTTTAACTGGTCCACCAGGTATTTTAAATTTAAATAAATGATATTAATTAATAAAAAAAATATATTAAAAATAACGAACAATTATCTAGGTATTTTCTAATGATACAAAAGTTAGCTGACAACTGTCATTTTTTTAATTTTTATAAACAAATCAATAATAATAAAGAAATGCTTCTAAAAATTTTCATCAAGAATTTTTTTTTATTTTCACATGTGTAATTTTTTTATTAAATTTTTTTCATAATAATTTAAGAAAATTAAGTGAGCCGACATCTAAAAATTTTTAGAATTTTTTTTTATTGAAAAAATTGTTACAAAAAAAATTTTAAAGAAATTTCATTCGTAAAAAACGTAAAAAACTACAAGTGCAATTTTTTAAAAATATTTTTTAGTTCTAATTTAATAAATGAAAAAAAAATGAATAAAAAAATCTAAGAAAATTTCTAATGTTTTTATTAAAATTCTCTATTTTTTATACATAAATTAATTATACTTGTTTATTTATAGGAATTGGCAAGACAACAATATGCAAAAAAATAGTTAAAATATTTGAGAAATACAATTTTAACTATGATGGATTTTATACTGAAGAAATAAGATCCTCGGATAAATCAAGAATAGGATTTGATATTGTCCCGTTGAAAAATTCTGATCAACGAAATTGGCTTGCACGAACTGAGTATATTTAATGATTGATTTCATTTAGGAAATTATAGAACAATAATTAATATTTAATATTTCTAGAGCTGCTTTAGAAGGAAGAAAACCATCAAAAATAAAAGTAGGAAATTATCTAGTCTTTGTTGATAAATTTGAAAGTGTTGCATTACCAAGTCTACAATCAAAATCAGTGAGAAATAATTTTCAATACATGGTATATTATTTTTTTTATAACAAGTGAAATTATTCTTTTATTCTTTCAGGATATTCTGATGATCGACGAAATTGGCAAAATGGAATTATTTAGCAAACAATTTTGTGATTCTGTAGAAAAATTATTTTTAAAAAATTCTTCGAAGACTAAATTCATCGTTGCTACGATTCCTGCAAAAAATAGAGTTCCACAACGCCATCGCAGTTTATTTGAAAAACTTTATCAGAGAAGTAACTGTAAAATTTATGAAGTTAACAGACAAAATCGAGATAAATTACCTGAAGAAATAGAGAGTATAATTAAAGTAATAATGAATTAAAAATAATTTTTGTTTTTTCTTACTATAATATTGTATAAGAAAATGAAAAATAAATGGATTACATTATAAACATTATTTATTATTTAACAAAAAACAAAATATCAAATTGAAATTAATCCGTCAATCGAAAACGCGAATTTGTATAAAAGGTAATTACTATTAATGCGACAGAAGAAACGATTGACGGTTACATTGTACTACATATTTAATTTTTTATACTGAATTCACATACGTATCAAGTATTTTATAATCATAATTAGAATTAATAATAATTTATCCTAATAATGGATAATTACAATCGAATAATATAATTACATGATTCGCTAAAATGAAATAAAAATGATAAAGACATAACATTTGTTTCATCCAATTAATTCTACATGCCTTTTTTTCTTTAGTTACTCAATGAGCCGAATTAGAAAAATAACACATTCAATTTCGTAATATTTCCCTACATTTTAAGATTACATTTAATAACAAGCTCCATTATCGAAACGAACGCTATTTTACAATCGATAAAACGACTTCTAAAAATGAGAAAGCACATTAGCTCCTTATCACGGCATTATTTTGTTCTTTGTTTGTTTTATCACTTAACTACGTTGCGAAAAATTATTCATAGTCTATCATACAAACTGATTTTATATTTCTATTATGAACGTTGATATTTTTTCAATTTTATACTTCATATTTGTAAAAGTTCAAGCGTGTGTTGCTTTCTGTTTCAATTGTATCAAATATATTATGCACACTTTTATTGATCTACTTGAATTTTTTAAAATTATTTTCAATATACTGTTATTGTTACCATTATCATTATTATTAATAATTGAATTAATTCATTGTTCTTACTAATATTAATATTATTGCTATTATAAATTAAACTTTTAATAATAGCGGTTATTTCATTAGATCATGAACTTCATCAACGAAGTTGCGTACTGCATTGGCCTAACATTCGGATGAGGCTAAAAAAATATCAATAATTTAGTAAACTACTTAGTAAAAATTTATTTTTAATAAGTAAGGGATAAAAATTGATTCTTTAAATAATATTTTTCAAATATATAATTAAATGATTCAATTGTAATAATAAAGATATTTAGAATCTGGCGTAAGTCGTTTAATACAAGACTTGAACAGAACTTTGATTGTTTTTTTTTCTTCAACAGTCTATTTTTATAAGTGTTGATTTAATGAGTACTCATTAGGTTGATCGTAAAACTTATTTAGATTGAAGTATAGACAAACTTTTTACACTAAGAAAAAAAAGTAATACTCTTAAGAAAATTTTCTTGTCACAAGAATATATATTCTTGATAATTTTCAAGAATATATTTTCTTATCTCAAGAATTGATCGAATTATTTTTTGTTTAATTCAAGTGAACCTATTCGTTTGTTAATCTATCAAAATTAATGCCAATATTTTATTATCATGATAGATATTGATATTCTTTTGTCAAAAAACTAAAATTTATTTTAAACAATTCTTGAGTCAAGAAATTTTTTTCTGGACAAAAATTTTTTTTTTCTCAGTGTAGAGTTTAATAAAAAGAGATCATTTAAAAAAAAAATAAAAAATCTCAATTTTTAATCCCTTTTAAAAATATTTTATCAAAAATAATTAATATTTTTTCTTACCACTGCTTCGTAAGATGTAAATTGCGGTTTCATGTCTTTGCCGTAAAGTGTAATGAAGGCACCACGGTTACCCATTGTATCGCTACAGTAAAAAATAAAATTTTTAATACAATATAATCAAACAATACAATAGAAATAAATAATAAATGTCAATATATTTACCAATAGTTGGGAGCTGAGAAGACAGTTATACACTTTCCGTCATGACTAACTTCGTAGCCATCATTTTTAACTTCATGGCTTCTGACTATGTAATCAAGACCATTCAGTTTACAGAACTCATGCGTCACATCAGGTCCGAATTGTACTCCAACACCACGTTTGCTTGGTGCTCGACCCATCTGTGGTTGAGGATCAGACCATAGCAATTCACACATAACTCCTTCATCCGGAGGTTGTCGATTTCTGTCAGTTTCTCGGATTTCCTGGAGAGTGACATCGTCTCTTGAGAACAATCCGCCGTGCATTACAAGAACTCGTTTATTTAGACAGTGGGCTAATGGCAACCAATTGTAGACTTCGGTAAACAACGCAGCCATTTGGTTAGTGTACTTAGCCTTCACTTCACCGTCAAATCCGTACATATGATTCATGATTGCAGACTCATGGTTTCCTGATTAAAGTCATCAATTAATATACTTATAATTATGATCATTTATTTGATAAACAATAAAAATTACCTCTAGACATAAAGAAATGGTTTGGATATAATAACTTGAATCCAAACAACGTGAATATACATTCCACTGAGAATGAACCTCGATCTACAAAATCTCCATTGAATAACTGATTAAATTAATTAAGGAAAAAGATAATAATTAATATATGAATTGTATTTTTTTTTATATATATATTTTTAAATATTTTGTAAAATAAAGGATAATTTTGTAGTATCTATAGACCTGTATGCTGGAAATGAATAAATAATATAATCATGATTTATAATACTGAAATGATTTAGTATTGTAGTAGAAAAAAAGGATACGTATGGATTAGTTTCCGATGGCAGACCATTAAGTTCAAAAATATTCAACAGATCATAAAATTGACCATGAATATCACCACAAATAGTAAATTTATTTTCATCAGGTATTGTAACGTCTATCAAACTAGATTGCGCCATGAACCAGTTTTTAACGTCCAAAAGGATTTGGTAGGCATACTTCCTGTGTAATTTACACTCCTCCTTATACCATTTGAGTAAATCTTTCATAAAGTCTAACGTAACTTTACCATTCTCTAATTTTGGTCCATTATAATCATCGTCAATTGCTGTGTAAAATTAAAAAAAAAAAAAATGATTAATCATGCTACCAATTACTTAGATAAAAACAATGATAAATTTAATAACTAACCCATTGAATCTAAGTTTATAGAATCAGCAATGTTTTTTTTATTATCATCAATTGAAATGGCTTTTTCGAATGCCAACTTTTTGACAATTTTAAAACACTCAGTGTACTTAAGTTTAGCATCTTGGTCGTGAGGTCGAGCCTTTGTGACTGTTTCAAAATCTTTTAGAGCTAATTTAAATTTACTTAATGACATGTAAGCTGCAGCACGTCGCCAGTAACCCTTAACATAGTTTTTGTCCAATTCAATCGCTTTGGAGGCATCGTTTAACGCATAACCAAAACACTCCGTTTTAAGATATGCAAAACTTCGATTTCCATAGTACGATGCCATGTATGGGTTTAATTCTATCGCTTTGGTGTAATTCTCGATGGCCTCATCGTAACTCTGTACTGTAAAAGTAAATGAATAAATAAATTATCCAAGACATTAAGTATTATTTAAGAGTAATTAAATAATAAGTATATTTAAATAGAATCACATGGTGGGGTTAGAATATAACCAAACACGTGACTATGAAATAACTAGGAAAATTGATAATTATGAAAACATGCAATTTGGACTAATAACTTGTTTTATTAATAAGTAATTAAAAATATAATAAATTATTAACATACTTTTGAAATATACATTCGCCGATTCTTTGAATTTTTCCGCCTCTGCGGCTTGTTCAGGCGATACAACTTTTTCTTTTACCGAATTATCACTCATATTGCTGATATTTTAATACTATACCACCGTAAAAGTGGATATTGAGTATTAATTATAAATAATATTTTAATATATTCACTAAATAAGGCATTAAATTAAAATACGCGTGATGGATATATATGTATATATATATATTTTTTTACTCTATACAGAAATGTGATTCAATTTACAGGCGTCCATTTACTTTGAAGTTACTCACTTGTCACTACTTGATCGACCGATCGACCTAAATACCGCTTTTGACTGCAAATGCAAATTAGAGCTAAATTCATACATAAGAGAAATTCGAGATCGATATATCGATTTATTTTAAAATCAAATACTGCAGTAGTAGTAATTTTTATTTATTCGCTCAATTTTGTAATTTTGTGTGAAAGTGTCAGTTGAGAAAATTCTTTTTTTAATTTTTATTAAAACAAAATAATTTATTTCTTGATTTTCTGAGGACTCAATTAGAACGTTTGAGTGAAATAATTTGATTTTTAAAATTCTTTTGCAAAGTATACTTATATTGTGGTGTGTCAACAATTCTACTGCTTAGTTTTAAATCAAAGGTTCTTTTTTCTTGAAACTTGGCATTTTCCGAAGTCAGGGACTCTTCTAATGTTTTTTTGAAGTGCAGATCGTAAAAATTATATACAAGGTACGTAGTAAAACTCTCCTGTCACATGTTTTCTATTTCCTTTTGATCTCAAAAAATTTAAAAAAAATTTGCGACAGTAAATCATATCTAATATTACAATTTTATTATTATTACTTTTTTTTTTTAAATATCCTTATATTTAATAATTTGATAAAATTTAATAACTTGATAATTTCTTTAAATAAATAAATTTACTCCAAAAAATTATTTAAAAAAAATTGCATTTATAATTTTTTAAAATTTCTACATGTCAATTTTTTGTTCTCATTTTTTTTGCTATAATTTATTTGTTAAAAAAATTCTAAAAATTGTTAAATATCTGCTAAATTGATTCTCATATATTTACTAACTATGAATCATATTTTATAATTGTTTTCTTTTATTCCTTAAGTATAAACTAAAATAATCATAATTTTAAAAGTAATTTTAACTTAAGTTAAAATTGACAGGTTGAATAAATAATTTTTGAATAATTTATTTAAATATTACATTATTTAAAACAATACTATAAGTAATTAATTAATAGAATAACAATAAATACATAAAATTTAGATATTAAAAATAATAACGATTACTCCAGTGGAATTTCTTTTTGCACTACCTGAAAATAAATCAATATTAATTCAAAATGTCACAGATATAAATTAAATATCATTAGTTACAGAAAGCAGATTATTTACATCATGCATATTAGTAAGTAAGCGGTGTTATCCAGAAGAGGATTAAACTAAGGAGCGTGTGTGAATCAGTCACCTGAATACACGTCCTGAGGTAATCCTGCTCGGACATTTCTTGTGCTTTGATAGGCGGGACTTTTCCCCGGCGGCGCAACTCCTGCTTCGTCTCGTTCAAATCAAATATCGTCACAGGGTCCAGTTTTGATTTGAGTACCAGGCCTGCCAAGTACTCAACGTAGTGCTGCCTGCGGGGAAAAGTGCCTTTTTTTAATTTAACTCATGTTATAACTTGTAAATTTACCTCCGCGAGATCACGACGATAATCCTCAGGATCACGTCGATACCAATTTGCGGGTAAATTTAACCCAGCACGTTTAATACAAGTTTCTAGATCATCAATACTAAATAACGATAGTGGTTCCAATTTTGATAAACGAATTTTTCTGACTAGATACTCGATATAATGAATCCTAGATAATACAATTTTTTTATAAACCACAAACAATAATAATCTTCCAAATACTTGCAAAATATTTTTTATTTTTTAAATTTTTTATTCAAGATAATCAACAATACTATTTTTTAATTACCTGCATAGCCCGGCGTGATTTTCCACAACGTCTGAGTTACAAACGGCATCTATAACTCCAGTTGGTGTTTCTTTTTGCAGTTGAACCTTGCATTTGCGATCTCCTGATGAATTTTCGGTGTTAAATTCAATGCCGTGGCCTTTCAAAAGACTTTGGAGTTGAGCTGGTTCTTTGTCACGAAGATAGAAAAGACAATTTCGTGGGTGATGAGAATGAAGACCAAGTTTTGCGCAATAGGGACTGACTGTACACTTGGCACCCATCATAAAAGCTTTTCCACAGCCACAGCAAAATTCATACTTACATTGATTACACGTGAAATGCATACAACCTTTAAAATTACAAACGTATTTATACTTTAACATTTGATCAAGCAATAAACTACTTGATTTAAATTATTATATGCAAAATATAATTTACCTCCGCGTGATAAGGAATAACGGAATTTACATTTAGGACAATCAATTCCATTGTCTGCTAAATGCTTAGCTAATCCTATTGCTTGATTATCAGGATCATTTTCATTTTTCCATTCTTCGAATTGTTCGCATGTAATACCTTCATGCTGTTTTTCCCACTATAATTCAGTGCATTTATGTCAAATATTAAAAAAACAATTACTCAATTGCATACAAAGTAAAAGACTCAGTTATTGACACTGGCCTGGTTGTTTAAGACTTGTAATATTATTCTAATTAAAAATAAAATAAAATGTTCTCAAAAAACCAATTATCTTAAAATTTATAATTCAAAAATTATGTATTTTTTTTTAATTAAAATAAAATTGCAAGTGCAAATAACTAGGCCAGTGTCGATAACTGGGTCTTTTACCTTAAACAACCACAGAGTTGTTCTCGTTTTTTCTTTTCTTTAATTAATTTCTAATTAATCTTCTTAAATTAATGTTAATTTTAAATAATTTATATTGATTTATATTGCCGATAGGCGTATGTTGATTAATAAATAAATAAACGAATAATTAAATACAGCAAAATAAAAAATTAAATTATAATCTTATTTAACAAAATTAAATTAATTATTTACCGGCTTTCGACAAAATGCACAAGTAACAGATCGACAATCAGGACATATCAATCGTTTCTGATTTGGATTTGCATAAAATCCACTAGAACACTGAAAAAAAAAAATTTTTTCATCAATAATTGCTTTTAATTAATAAATTTTTTCTACAATTACCTGAGCACACCACTTAAAATTAGGATCTTGCATCAAAGTTCTATCTCTCAGCTTCCTTTGAAATAGCTCGTGGATCGGTGGATCTAATAGTGACTTTAATTGAATATCTAAAATACTAAAGTACTCAAGAACTTCATCTTCTGTAGCATCTTTCAAGTCGGGCTCCTTGCAGAATGGACACACGGCGTCCATTATATTGCGGTCGCTTATCTGAATGGTGAAATAATTTTTTGCGCAGTCATTACAGCATCGATGAATGCACTTAAGCATTGAGATCATCTGGCTGACAGCAAAACGACCAGTACAGAGTTCACATTCTTGCTGAAGAAACGCTATTGCAGATTCAACGCTTGTGCATTCTTGAGCAGCATGAATCGCCTCATCATCTTGGAACTTGAGACCAATTAAACTTGCTGCTATCTCGGCCTCGTCGTAGCTGGACACTCGTCCTTCTGCTAGTAAGCGCCTTGCTGTTCTCTGTGAAATAAATTAGACATTTCTTCTTAAATTTTTCATTCGCTATTTTTCTATATTGAAACAATAATTAGAATTTAAATTAAATTAGTAAAATTTTTTACCAATGTCTAAAAACGAACTTAATAACTGATGATTTTTTTACTGATAGAATAAGCGGATGCTTGATAATGAACTGCAGAAAGCATTGATGATAGATCATAAATACCTACCAATTAATTAATTAGAATAATTAAAATTTTTTTATTCATATTCTTTACTATAATTAATCTCGCTAATTATGAATTTTTAATTAAAGAAAGTAAAGGTTTCAAGTCGTTTGTAGAAATTGGTGTTTACTCGATGTACTATCAATGTAGTATTTATTTAATTACGTTCAGTAGACAAAATTCCTATGAAGAAGATATACGTTTAATAACTCGACACGTCTACTGACCTCCCTCTCGTTAACGGGTGATTGGTCTCGTGTAATCTTGAGACTTTCCTGTTGTTTAGTTTTCGAATTCCTCCTCTCATGATTTAAAGAATCACCTTCAAACTGCTGAACATATTCGGCGACTATAGAAAACCGTTTACGTGACTCTTTTTTTTTATGTACAACTACCTCAGGCTCAGTAACGCGTACTTTTAATACTTTTGAGTCTTTTAGTCTTATTGTTTTAGACGTACTTTGAGTGACTGCATTCTCTTCGCCTTCTATTTCAGTAGATTTTCTTTTAGGCAGAGTTAACACAATCGTAGATTCTACATCGACGTCATTTTTTGTAGTACTTAGTTCAATAGGATCTTCTGGCAAGTCATTTGCTTCAGATAACTCAGCTTCATCACTCCCTTCAGACTTTTGAGAGTTAGAACTTATTTCTTCATATTCTGAATCAGATATCTCTGCTTTAATATTATCTAATGTTTTCTTCAACATTAATTCTGCGTTAGTAAGTTCTTCAGTTGAATTTATTCGACGCATAATTACTGAACTTTTTGTATTTGTGTCAGTTGTTTCGGAGTCACTTAATTCTTCTTCTTTTTCTTCGATTTCTTCTTCATCACTAATTTCTTCGGAACTTTCTTCATCTTCAATTTCTATTTCTTCAATCTCCTCAAATTCTTCTTCTTCTTCATCATCATCATCGACTTCTTCTTCATCATCACTTACATCTACACTTGCTTCAGAAGAATATTTATTAAATTCATCTTTAAAATCAATTTCAGGATTAACGGATTCATTAATCTTGGATTTATCAATACCTGAAGTATCGTTTTCATCTTTAATAAAAGTCAACCCTCGAATTATATTTTTTGAACTATTTTTACTCTGAGCAGTCTCATTATTCGTCAATAATTTTCCATCATCTCTCAATTTAGAAATACAATTTTTATTTTCTTTTTCACTTTGTACTTTACCATTAACATTTTTGCTCACTTCATTACTTTGATTTCCACCATTCTGATTTTTATTATCAGCTGGAGGTCCAACTAACGGCTGCAAGACAGGAATAGTTCGTCGTGGGACATTAAAACTCGAATTGGTAGGCTTCAAAACATTAACTTCTATTATTTTTTGACTAGCTACAGAAATCGTTTGCCCCGCAACCCACGGCTTCTTCTGGAAAATCGGGATCCTCGAAGGTAATTTACTTTTCGGAGTAGGTTTATTAATAAAGTTTTTATCTATTTTTTGACTAGACAAATTCATTTTTTTTTCTCTTTCAACTTTTTCTGTCTGAGAAACTAATTCTTGTTTTTTATCACACTCACCCTTTCGATTCACATCAACAACCTCAGCTTTCTTAACTTGATTCACACTTCGACTAGACATCAATGACTTGGCCGCAATTTTATCAGCGCATTCTTTAGCTCTGGTCAACGCAGTGTCTTTTGGTACTCCTCCAAAATTAAAACTTCTTTTTGTTCCGACAAAGCACTTACGAGCGGGTAACTTTCTCAACACAAATGACCTCTTCACCGGTGATTTAGACCTTCCTTTCGGCTTGGGAATGAAATAATTAGTCTGGACGCTGTCAGTTTTAACCGCAGATTCGTTTATTTCAATTGACGTTTCTATCTTCGAGCTTGCGGAGAAAATTTCTGGGAGCTCAGCTTCTAAAGGTGACAGGGGTCCTGTTGATTCATTTTCTAATATTTCTTGACTAGCGAACTGAAGCATTTCAGTCGTCAATTCCTTCATATCAGAAAATTGTGATAAATTGATTGTTAACGAGCCTCGAACTACCGCAGGGTTTTCTACAGGCGCAGCATCATTAACAATCAACAAAGGAGCCTCTGTAATTTTCAGCTCAAACGTTTCAGGTGAACTAGAGGCGTCAACGAACAAGTCATCTTTATCTCCAGATTCATTAACAATATCTACTTCCATGTTATTTTCATTACTATCAATTTTTTCAAAATTATTATACTCCATCACATTATCTACTTCTTGATAAATTTGTAAGTTTTTATAATTATTTTCAGTTTCTGTCATTTTTATTTTCAAATCTTGATCTTTTAGCTTATGATTTTCTTCATTAACTTCTACATCTACAGTTGCTACTACTTCTACATTATTTTTAACATAGTCTTCATTTTTTTTATCTTTACTAACCATCAAAGGTTCAATATACATAGTACTACGTTTAATATCCCGAGATTCTGGATTACTCAGAGTATTCTGAAAAAATACAGACGACTCGTACTCTTTTGTATTATTTTTTAAAACTGCTTGATCGTCAGAAGAAGAAGCTGAGTTAATAGTTTCATTATATTTATTAATACCATTAATCTTTTGGACAACCTCTTTGTTTGTGGGTGTAATGGTAGCAGATGATATAAATGTTTTCAAATGATTTTGAGTTGAAGCGCAATCAAGTGAAATAATGTCGTCATTTAATTTATCAGTATTATTATGATTATTAATTCCATTAGAAGCGTGTTGGTTAATATTGTTAATAATTAAATTAGGATGAGAATAAAGCGATGAATCCATTGATTCTTTGTAATTAACTTGATTGATTCCCATTGACTCTGGTTTCTCATAACTGAGTTTCATAGATGGAAATTTAGATATCATACTCGTCAATCGATTTTTCAATGATTTTAGGGCAGTCATGCGTGATGGAGGCGCAGATAACACGGTCGGCGTTGCTTGATTTAGTTTTTCTTGGCTCTCAAATTTTATTTCTGATTCAGAAATACGTACCGCTTTATCAAATACTTCCTCGTCTTTATTTTTGGTAATATTAAGAATGTCCGATTTATCAACTTCACTTACACTACCTACAATTATTTCTTCTTTTACAGGACTATTAGTTTCTACAACAGTTTCTTCAGTTTCTAAAAGTTTTTTTGATTCACTAGAAGCATCAATAGATAACTTAACATCTTCTTTAATAGGTTTTTCTTCAATTACTTCTTGTTCTATTTTAACTACTTCTTCAGAAGAAATTTTAACGGGCAAATTTACTTCTAATTTATTTTCTTCCTTTACTACTTCTTTATCAACGATTTCGGATGCTTGTGTAGACACTTGAGGAGTTTCAATTGGTACATTTAATATTTCATCAATTTTATCATTAGAAACAACTTTTGGTTCCAATTTAGCCGAAAATTCTTCAATAGGAACTTGTTCAGACAATTTCGTTGCTAATAATAAATTTTCAACAGCTAAATTTTTCGCAGAACTATCTGATTGATTTTTGATTTCTTCAGTCTGCTCTATATCTTTTTCATCTGATTTTTGCTCAGCAGATTCGATTTTATTTCCAATATCTCCATTTTCTTGAAGTAAAATTTTTCCAGATTCTAATTTGTTCAGATCGGTCTTCGAGCTTGGTGAAGTGCAAGGTTTGTCGCTGTCTTTAAAACTGTTGGATAAATCATTAGAATTATTACCAATATTTTTGTCATCCGCCTCCTGAACATTTTTCAACAACTGATCAGTTGGTTTTGTTCTTGTCGAATCCTGCTTACACCCAGCCTGCAACTCTGCTAAATTATCAAGTGAAGGTATTACCTGCTTCAGTGCATCCAAATCCATCGCTCCTCCTACGAGTTCACTCAACCCCGCCACACCAGCTTCATTCGCTGCATCTATACCATATAATTGAATCATTTATCAAATATTTTCAAGAAATTAAAAAAAAAAAAAACAATTAATTTACCCTTACGAGGAGCAGCTTCATCATTTTCCACCCCAGCAGGCGGACCCCATATACGCATTAGAAATGGTTTCAATTGATTTTTTTGTAATTCTAATAACGCTAGCGAGCTGTTACGTCGTGCATCTCAACGACGTCCGGTCTACCAACAAGTTGCTTGAGTTCTGCGACACTGAGACGCGTCAGACGTTTGAGCTTTCGCTTTGACAATTTAGGAGCTCCGTTTTCACCCACAGCTGGATTCTGATGCTGCGGGCCCCCTTCTTCGTCAAAGTCATCAAGCATTGGCACTTTACTGGGCACCATCATCACCGGCGGAGGGTACTGGCCTATAGCTTCACCTTTATCTTTATCGCCAGTTGAGTCCGGCTCAACAATTCGGAACATTTCAAACACTCGAGCAAACTGCCGGTACATTGGTTCCAATTCTGTTATTGTTGGAATTTCCTGGATATACTCGACTTCTGGAGCATCTGAATCTGCAGCTGAATTTTCGGCATTGTTTGTTTTCTCTAAACTAGTAATCTTGGTAGTTTCAGTATGCCTCTTCTTCTTGTTCTTCTTCCTTTTTTTCTTCGCTGTTTTGTTATTACTGGACTTATTATTACTGTCGACTTTTTCAACTACAGCTGTATCGTTTTCCGTGACGAAATCTATTGGTGGTTCCTCGCGGGTGACCAACTCACGCGGTGGAGACGTACCTGGTACGGAAATATCGTTAGGATCGGCTCCAAGTTCTTTAGCGCGTTCATTTTTGAAAGCCAGCGCTTGCTCGAGAGCTGGTGGCAGTTTTACTATTTCATTGTTTTCTTGTTCTTCTACAGATTCTGGCGGTGGTGGAGGTGGTGGTGGTGCCACTTGGTTTTGCTGCATGTCCAAGGGTACTGGTACTTTTAAACTCAGCAAGCTTGGCAGTGGATTTGCCGGATCACTCATCGTGATAAATTATTAATACACTTTAAATCTACAATAAAAAAATATCACTTGTAATTCTAAAAACTTCAATTATTTATTATCAATTCAAAAGACTTACCAATAATTGTGTTATTAAAAATTTACTGAAATGTCATAATCAAGTAATTGAATATGTTTTTTTGTATAAAAGCAACTCAAACGCTATCATCAACGTTTATACTCGCTACGAGGTTATAATTTCATTGGAAACCCCCTTCATTGGAAGCCGAAGAATTCATATCAGAGAACGCATAATGTATATAACTGCACACAGTTGTAGTATAGCCCAAAATTGACTATAGTAAATTTATTGAGTTCTTTTAATTCGCCCGTTGGAACGCGCGGTAGGGCGTTCAACTAGTTCAACTCGCAGTAAATAGATTAAGGCGGGAGAGTAGATTTAAATTCGAATAAGTTGAATTAAATAATATATATAATAAATTTAAAATACTCGGATTATTTTAGTTTAATTTAGATTTGCCTTGCGCGCAAATCTAATCTATTATTTATTATTATTCAATAAATTACAAAATAAAAAATACCGACAATAATTCCGAAAAAGAAAATATTCGCGTGGCGTACTTAAGTCTTGCTTATTGATAAGTGTCTTCTTGTTCCTTTCCTTGGTTTTCGACTTCCCTGGTTGAGATGTTCGTACTTTTAAAGTGGGAGAGCCCCAGAGGGTAGTGAGGGTAGTTGCGCGCGCCTCTGCAGCTCTCATCTTCGGCTAGCATCCCTTCTCGAGTTGGCAAAATGGGACCATGTTGAAATTACGTCACGATGACCCTCGATGTTTCCAGGTCATTTGCAGCCCGCCTGGATATCTGGTTTTTATGACCTAGCCTTGGGTACTCCCAAAGTAATCCCTTTTTTAGCGAACGTTTTGAAAAATAAGCTTCTTAAAAGATTATGACAATAAAAATTAATAATAAGTAAAGATCTCTGGGTTTTCTCTAGTTTCGTAAAGAATATTCCAAAACGTTCGGTATCTTATTCTAAGTGACCATTACAATTACAAGCGTAAGTTTATTTTAACAAAGAAATTTTTCTCAGGATGTCTAGACTAACTGCACGGCACTTAAAAGTTTTTATAAATTTTCCCTTGGGAGTTTCCGGTAATTATAAATTCGTCTATACCCTAAAATTTATGATAGAAAAATTCCCATACTTAACAATAGAATTTAAAATAGAAAGGTTTACGATATTTGAAAGATTTTTATTTCTCTTACTAGTAAGCTGATACTATTTAAATCTTACTGGGTTTTTCCCGCTATTATTTATTCCAGCCATCTTTTTATACGTAATTCTATATTAATATACAGAGAGCGTTGTGATCACCGGATTCACAACACAGTAATAATAATAATATGAATTTGAGTTTCAGCGCCTCTAACGGCTATAAATGGCACATACAAATTTTTTAATCCTGGAATTTGAAAACTAATTTTTGTAATGAAAATTAATTTAGCCGATTTTTGATAATTTTTGTAACAAATAAATTATGGCAAAAAAAATTGACATGTACAAATTTAAAAGCATTAAAAATAATTTTTTGAAGCTGTTTGTTAAGTAAAATTAAAAAATATTGAAGACTCCTAATTTTAATGTCATACTTTGGTAAATATTATTGAAAACTAAAAAGTTAAAAAATATTGAAAATTAAAAATGATTTTTAAATAACTACAATTAAAAAAAAAAAAAAGTCATTAAAAAATTTTTATCAAACTGTAATTATTAAACTTTTTGTTGATAAAATACATTAAATAAAAAAAATATTCATGCATAGGTAGAGTGAAATAAAGGTGGTCACAAAAAAAATTAAAACTATTTAAAATTTACATCTTCATCGCTATTTATATATAATAATAATAATAATAATAATAATAATAATAATTTATAATAAAGTTTACACAATTGGATGGGAATTAACTACAAATTCAAAGAGGGATGAATGAAATACATTCAGAGCGATGCGTATGTTTATTTATTATGGTTACGACGGAAGTCACCAAAATTGAAAATTTAATAAAAATATTCACAAAATGAGCATTCCTCAATATTTCTCTCGCTTTCGTTCTCTCTTCTTTCACTCAATCTATCCTTCTGCACAGTGATGAATTTCTTTCACTTTAATTGTTGACTTATTCAAATTTTTTTCATTAATTTTAATTCTATTTATTCATTTACTTATGTACTAAGTATTTAATTATAATTAACTTTATCTCTCATGTAATTTTAATAAACCATGCATCCATATCATTCACTCGCATTCATTCATTAATTAATTAGAGTAACACATTAAATATGACTCCAAGAGCCACAGAATTGCGTACACGCCAGTGCTATTTGTTTTATTATTTCTTCAATTACAAGTCCATCGAATCAGTAAGAAAAAAATCGTGCTGTTATGTTATGTACTCATCAAAGACACGGTTTCACTTAAAATCGGCTATAGTATAATTATTTATGCGTGTATTTTTTTGTTTTTTGTTACCGTGTCATTAATTTGTTAGTTAATTAAAAATTTTTTTGTCCTTTCCATTTTCATTTTTTTTTCCATTTTTTCATGTTTTTCCTGTTTACTTATATTTCAATTGTTTGCTTTTTTTAAATATGTACATTTAACTAATATTAGTTATAATAATAATTCATAATAATATTAATAATAATAATAATAATAATAATAATAATTATGATTAATAACAACAATAATTAATAATTAATACCGATAAAAAATCATGATTTTCATGGTGAATGACTCGATTTGTTATTCATATGTAACTTTAACATTATTAATTGATTTAATTTCAATCGTCATAATATCGCAATTTCTTGCTTTATTTTAAATTCACCTTAACACGATTAAGATAGTTGTTGCGTGAAAGACATTTCAACAGAAAGTTATGAAATTTTTTTTATCGAAAGATAAATATATTAATAATTCACTACCAAAATTTCAGATCAATTGACCGCACTGTTTTCGAGTAATTAATTTTCGAAATTCCATCTTTTATACGTAGAGGTATAGAGAGATGGTAAAGTTAGTATGAAATCTTCTGTTTATATGGGTGATTCTCTGTAAGGGCGTCTTAAATCTATACAAAGTTGTCCGACTAAATTATTTTTGATTTTATTAGAAAAAAAATTAACAAGGGCTACAAAACTATTAACTTAATTATAATAAATAAACAGCCGAATTAATTTTTGCTTTTTCGATATTTGTGTATCTTGTGCCATGTAACATGACAGGGGACTGTTTTTTTTCTTATCAAATTGAGAAAAATCAAGCAAACTATTTCAATGCATTCAGTTTTTTAAGTTCTCAATGAATGTTTACATTAATTAGAATAATATTAAGACTTATAGATCCATTTTTATAAATAAATTACATATAAAAATAGTTGCCAGGGGACTGAGTTTTGTAGTGGCCCAGACACATATTTCCAGCACAAACGGTGCTTTGACACTAAATAAAATGGCAATAAAGTGCTAACAGCCCTATGGTTATTAACTTAAGGCTAGTTAGATCCTTATAAACTTTACAAAAGGTAAAATAACACGCTGGATTTTTTTATTTTTGGCTTTGAACTTCTGGCAGGGGACTGTACCTAAAATGCCTGGGACAGACTTCAATTTGATGAAATTAATAAAAACAAATTAATTTTCGGTACTTTTCATTGAAGAAGATTGTTAGTTAACTAATTAAGTTTATAAACATTGTGGACCAAATTATATATTATGAACGAATAACTTAAAATTTAATCTTAAATTTTTAATTTGGGGAGTGGGACAGCCCAGGAGACTGTCATTTTGGTGGTTTGGGAATTTATAGCAAAAAAATCAAAATTTATTTCATTTCAATTTTCAATGCTCCAAATAGAAATGTTTTTTTGCTTTCATAATAAATTTTTTTTTAGTAACAAAATAACAATTTTTCTAATAAAACAATGCCTGGGACAGCAAAAAACATCCTTACAGAGAATCACCCATATTTATCTTTCGATAAAAAAAATTTCATAACTTTCTGTTGAAATGCCTTTCACGCTACAACTACCTTAAATGTGATGTGCAATACCAGTGCAACGTACAATTATAATTACAGTAGACAAAATTATCATATTTGAGACATTTCGACAGTTCATTACTATTATTATACTTTATTTTATTTTTAAATCTTCATTCACTATCAATTGCTTTTTTTTTGTTTTCATTTATAATTGAAAATTCTACATTATCTCGTAGTTATTACGATTTCATTTTAATTATTCTCTCTTAACCACAATAGTTTGTTTGTTTTTTTTTTTTTTTTTTATTTATAAAATATTCACTTGAAAAAATCCCCGTCGAACCACGACACACACACTCACACAAAAGTAGACCCATCCCACAGCCCACGACGATTATCGCGAATATCACTCTCAAATTAGTTTATTTTTTTTTTTTATCTTTGAGATTCTTATCGGCAACAATCACCGGCTATTTATTTCTCAAGAATTACATTTATTTTAACTTTAATTTAAAACTTATGACCTGATCCTAATTATCATCGATTGACTGATACGTGGATAGCCCGCTTGTAAAAAAAAGTTTATAGTATATTTATAATATTTATATTTATTTATATATAGTATTTATATATATTATATTTCCCTTGTTTGTTTTATTTTATTCAGTCAAGTATAACGACCATACGTGAATCGTCATTGCGCGTCGTAGGCGCCCTTTGGGGATAAACTGGAACTGACAATTTACGCCATGGTTTGCGTGCAGCTCTTCGTAGCTCCACTGAAGACAAGGATCTTCTCTGTCTTCTGTAATTTATCAACAAAAACAAAATAAAAAAACGAAAAATAATTTTAATAACATGAATTTATTCAAAGATATTATTTCATAATTTATTGCAAAGGAAATTGTAAGTTTCTTACTTAGTAAGATCAGTTGCTCGGAAATAAACATCATCGGGAGCGTCTGACCATGTCATAACTTGTTTACGTGCATTGCTCCTAGATATTGCGACTCCATGAGGAAATGTATGTGGATGCATAGCTCTTCCATTGAGCGGCGGTGCCAAAGGAACGATTGTCTGAGGTGTGTGCTCCAGTACATGTTTAGGGTGTAACTGCTGCGAGTGGTGGGCACGTTTCGCTGGTGGTGGAGCACCTGGTAGCCCTGCATTCAGGGCAATACCTATAAAACCAATTAAAAAAAAAAATTAATCATTGTATCACATCATTAATAATTAATCTTTTAATTTACAATAATAATGAACGAAAAAAAAAAAAAATAATAAATAAACTCGGAATTTAAAAAGGCTTCATCTAAGATTTTACCTTCATCCCAATCGACATCCGAGTAGAAGCCAACAAACAGAGATCACATTCAATATGGAAATACGTAACTGTGATTTTAATAGACATAATTGTGACGATACTTACCATCTGACCCGTTTATTTCTTCAAACGCTGGCCTGCTACGCTTCAAAATAGTCTGTTGTGGCTGGATTGGCGGCTGTGGTTGAGGTGGCGTGGGCGGTAGTCTGTCAACTTCTGGTTTATTTGGTACTCTTTCGTACAAAAGGCTACCATCTGAACAAAATAAATTTTAAATACCATTAATTATTTGATTTTAATTTTCAATAGCATCAAGCTGACTAAATTAATAGAGAAAATGATACATTTTTACGGAAATTAAACTTATTTAAATATTTTCGAGTCAAGTTCAATAAAATTCGTGAAGTTAAAAAGCTAAATGATATTAATTGGGCATTAAACAGACAATTAAAGTGGACTCTCGATAACTCGAACTTTAAGGGAAATGATAAAAACTTCGAGTTAACGAGTTTTCGACTTAACAAGATGTTCGAAATTTGCAAGTAGACCAAAAATTAAGAAAACACTTGATTTCTGTTATATGAAGCATATTTTTTTTTTTATATTATGAATTATTAATAAGGTAAAAAATATTACATAGTCTATTATTTTTTTCTGAAATAAAGAATTATCAAATTTGTTATTAATTAATTTCTCGAGCTTAAATAATGAATCAAATACATGATCTTCAGTGTCCACAAACAAGAATATAAGAAACATTGAACATTCCTATAGGAATTTAGATTTGATCGCTATAAGTTTGGACAGTTCCGAGAAAAACATCTTTATATTTTACTAACTTCGACTTATAGAGTTTCACTTTTAAAATTCGAGTTATAGAGTATAAATATTTCATATCGATACTGCAAGGGAAACGATACCAACTTCAAGTTAAATAATTAGAGTCTACATAATTCGAGATATCGCGTATTTAAGAGTTTAGCGCAAGGGAATAAAAATTTTTTTCGAGTTACTAAGGATTTTGACTTAACAAGGTTTAAGTTACTGAGAATCCACTGTATCAAGATCCTCCATCAATAGCGCTGATGCTGTGTCTATCTATCTTTTGCAGTTAAACAAAAGATATAAGGAATAACTAACTAGTACCCACCAGGTGCTTTAGGTGGTCTTGGAAACGAAACACGGTCAGGTTGTTTACGCTGTGCGGGTGAGGTGAGAATAAGCCAATCCCAATCGCCGGGTTGTCGGGGTACGGGATGATCTCCCAGTCTCGTGGCAATGTCAGTGACACGCGGACGTGGCCGTGGTCTCACAGCGCGTGCCAACAGTTTCAATTCAGCGGCACTCTTTGTGGCAAGTTGCGGTGATGCACAGAGGTGTCGCAACGGCGCCGCATTTACTGGTTGATGTGGAGCACGCGCAGCGTGACGGGTGCGCAATTGCGCGGCGCAAAGTCTTCGGGCTGCACGCGCTAATGCCGATGTACGCAGGTAAAACGCCGAGCGTGTCTTCATGACAGGTCGTGGTGATCCGCTACCACCGCCGATACCTAGGGTACCGATTTATTAAGTTTTTTTTTTTTTTTTTTTTTTTTTTTTTTTTTTTTTTTTTTTTTCCCAGTTAGCTAGTAAGATTTTTATCTAACTAGCAGGTTTGATAAAAATCTAATCTAACTAGGTTTGATAAAAACCCTAACACTAACAATTATTACATTAACAATCTAAAATATAAGCGTTTATTATTGATAAGCGTTATTGGCATCAGCTGCTTCAATCAAAGAGACTAAGGGCCAAAAACACCTACAATATTATAGAAAAACTCGTATGGCTATTTTTAAATTTTCATTTGCAGTCTGTAATATGTAATAAGGTAGAAGTACCGTTTTTGGCCAATTGATTTTCAAATTATTGTATAAATATTTCTATATGCGCAAGACTATGAATTCAATTCGTATAAATCAAAGTCTTCGGGCTGCACGCGCTATGCCGATGTACGCAGGTAAAAACGCCGAGCGTGTCTTCATGACAGGTCGTGGTGATCCGCTACCACCGCCGATACCTAGGGTACCGATTTATTAAGTTATTTTTTTTTTTTTTTTTTTTTTTTGGTTTTTTTTTTTTTTTTTTTCCCAGTTAGCTAGTAAGATTTTTATCTAACTAGCAGGTTTGATAAAAATCTAATCTAACTAGGTTTGATAAAAACCCTAACACTAACAATTATTACATTAACAATCTAAAATATAAGCGTTTATTATTGATAAGCGTTATTGGCATCAGCTGCTTCAATCAAAGAGACTAAGGGCCAAAAACACCTACAATATTATAGAAAAACTCGTATGGCTATTTTTAAATTTTCATTTGCAGTCTGTAATATGTAATAAGGTAGAAGTACCGTTTTTGGCCAATTGATTTTCAAATTATTGTATAAATATTTCTATATGCGCAAGACTATGAATTCAATTCGTATAAATGTACTAATTCATGAATTCTATAAAAATTCTACTTGAATAGTTAAATTTTTTACAAATTAACTAAAATATCAAGTGGCCAAAACCTGTACTTTTATCCTACTGAAATATGTAATTTTTTTAGGAAATAAACTATTAAAAAAAAATACCTATGGCACCGCTACCACGTAAGTCTACTCCGTGAGCACTGGCGTAATGACGGCTTAGGTGGGCTTTAAGTTTAAATTCTTTGCCACAGGATGGGATACTACATCGGTGAGGTCGGTGAGCGCCACTCATCCCTTTACTTTCTTCATCCGAGCCGGCGTTACTTCGTTTTCTGTCCGAATCAGAGTCATCGATACGCGATGGAACCTGAATAAATAATAAAAATTTATGTAAATTCAATTCTTGAGTAAACTTTTTCAAATATTCTTACAATGTTAAAATGATAAACATAAAAAAATGAAGTGTACCTTTAATCCACCGTATTTTTTCCAATATGACCAACAGGACTGACATAATCGGCACTGCATGTGCGATGGTCCCCAGGCGTACCACTGTGAACTTTGAGTGCTTTGACAGCTTTCACAAGGTTTACCACCGACTCCCATCATCAAAATCCCACTGTTGTCACCGGTGATGTTACCATTACTACTTCCATTGAGCACACTAACACCTTTTCCATTACTATTATTGCTATTACCCAAAGGTAAAATAGTCGTCCCCGTAGGCGTACTGGCCGGTGTTTTATTGTAGTTTGGTATATAAACTTGTTTAAGTTTACTTTCAGCCTCAACAGCTTTGACTCTCTTTTGCTGGACATAGCGATCTGTCGTTTTCCACATGTAATAATATTCAATAACATTTTTAAGTGTTTTCCAAGGTAGAAAATCTTGACGTATATCCGAAAAGTCTTTTCCATATTTGTCAAGCGCTTCTTCAAATAAATTTGCCTCGGATGCGCTCCATTCTTCCATTTCGTCTCTACACAAGACGGGCCCTGTGCTGGGCACTAATGACGACATTGCTTTTGCGATATCGTAGTTGTGTCGATGTAGTGTGTCCATCGCGTGGAACTGTTTAACAAACGCAATTATGTATTTCATGTCTAGTCATTTTAATAATAACAATAATAATAAAAGTTTATTATACTTACAAGGGTAATGTCTCGAGAGGCAGCAGCCGCAGACATGTGTAACGACGGTTGTTTTACAGAGGAAGAGCAATCAAGTGCTCGGGCAAAGGTTCCCACAGATCTACTGACCACAAGAAATTGATCGATTTGACGATCCGTCAACGAGTGTCGAGGCGTCCACACAAGCGTTTCTAAATCTTGCAGTCTACGTGGATCTGCTTCTTTTTCAGCAGACGTTAAAACAGTCGGTACGATTGAATCAGCCTGATATCTACTCCCGACTCTTATTTCACCTAAAAAAAACCATCAATTAATCAATTGGCACCCTCTTACATCCCATCAATCGTAATGACATTGTTTTTTTTTTTGTTTTTTTTTTTTGGTGTAAGGTGGAGTGTAAAGGGGAAGTAGGTGTAAAAATAATGAATAAGCACCTTTATCGGCGAGTAAGGTACGCTGAGCTGGGTCAAATACTAAACAGTAGAAGAATGAATCCTCTTTGTTGAGATAGCTCAGCAGGGACTCAGTCTCGTTGAGTAGTGTCACGCAGCACTTCCCTCTGATGTGGGTGGCGGGCATCGTTTCGACTTGCCGCGATAGAAACAGCTCCCGGTGTTTCATTTGGTGACGTTGCTTTGTACTTAATTCGGCAACGCCGCCTGCACTGGCAACGCCTTCCTCCATCCCTGTATTTAACAATAAACAATATATATTATTTTTATGTATTACCACATTCGTATCTACAGATTTACTTATTTTCAATTATCTTTATACGATACTTTTTTTTTTTTTTACATAATATTCTAATTAATACAGTACGTGCACTACAGACATGCGTGATATCGATTTTTGATTACAGTAGTGCCGAAATATATTACATTACTTCTATAATAAATAAATAAATAAATATTTTAATTATTTTCATTAATTTCTAAACATAATACGCTAATAAAAATAATATACAACAGTAGCTAATTTAAATCGTCATTGCTGTATAATTACATGCGCCACAGTGAGACGAATATAGTTTTTTTTTTTTTTTTTTTATTTTAAGGTTTTTAACGAAACTAATTAACGAAATGCATTATTAAAAAATAAATAATAAAGTAACGAACGTTACGAAAGTATACGAGCAAAAATAATATTCAATTTACTACCAAAATAGTACCAGTAATTCGTGGGTGGAAAAAGCAAATATATATTTAATAAAAGACACCTCAGATTACTAAAGAATCATCTTTTAGCGCAGTTAGATTAAAAAAAAAAAAAAAAAAGGTTGAATGATGAATGATTTGATGAATTGTGAAAAAAAAAAAAAAAAAAAAAAAAAAAACTACAATGTCAGAGCATAAATAAATGTATTGAATCAAATTAAATAAAAAATGATCCAGTGCAAGTCTAAAGCCAGCATACTGTAGTTTTTGAATGAAATGGAGCAGAAAAAATGTACGGTCTTTAGGCAAGCCTTCTGGCCGTGATCTTTAAGACAGACGTTGGAGCTAAAAAACCGCAATATTATTGTTTCTTTGGCCTTACAGTGAAAGTAAATCAAAACTAATGATAGTCACCAAGATTACAAAGATCTTTAAAAATCTTACTGCTGTGTTCAGTAGCCTTCTATCATCATTGGTGTCTCTATTAATATCACAATATATAAATATAAATGAAGGCTATAAATAATTGCATCGAAATAACAGATAAACCAGCGGCTAAATGAAAACAAATAAATTTATCGACGAATCAGTGGTCAGTGATATATAATAATAAATATAATATATGATGTATATACGTATTAATAAAATAAAACGAAGCGATAAAAAAATAATAATTCCTACATATCAACAAGTACAAGAGCATCATCGCAAGTTCTGATCAATTGACGATCAGGATCACTCACCATGAGGCTCATGTGCCTCTGAAAGTGGCGCTTTAAGCCATCCACCTTTACCAGGACCTTTGTTCATCACTTTATGTCCGATTCCACTATCTTTACTAGTCATTTCCTTAGTTAGATCTGGATTCTCAAGTTTTTGACTCTGCGTGCTCGCAGGGGATTCAGACCTCTGCTGCTCCACGCTCGCCACTGTAATTTTTTTTTCTTTTTTTAATTACAGAATAACAGACTGAAAAAATTCTCTACGGCATGTATTTTTTTTCTCTCAATAATTAATATAAAAAATTCTAATTTTAACTACAATAAATAATAAAAAAAGAACACGTTTCATTTGATAATAATTCAAAAACGCGATTAAAAAAAATGTAATAAATAATTCATAGCAAATAAAATAAAATAAATAACAGATCGCGCGATTATTTCATAAATAAATAATTAAATTACTTTATTTTGGGATAAGATAATAGAACTATTATTACATATAAGGTGAATGACATACCAAAACCAGACGTGGGAGGTATTAATTATTTAAAAAGTTAAAAATTATAAATTATAATAACAATAGTAAGTTAACCGGGGATTAATTCTTAAAATATCTCGAAAGACAATATTAGAGAAAAGTAATATGTATATGGATAGATAGATAGATAGAAAGATATATATTTATACGATAATGGTAATAATAAAATAAATCGTATAATTCGGTGGGACTTCGAAAATAGTCCGAAATGGCGTCCGATTGCGAGAGCAGAGGAAAATAACGTCGCCAACGGCTTTGGACATCGAGACGCCGGTCGATTCTCCAAAACAATAGAGCCTCTCTCTACACCACCCTTTTCTTCTACCACCTATTACTTCTCTGCACCCCACGTATATAAATATACTCATACACATCCGTAGACATATATATATACATATAAACGCTGTCTCTTTTTCTCATTCACTGTTGCTCTTACGTGCTACACACTCTACAAGCGTGCTCTCTTAAACTTGTTTTCCCTGGCATTCCAATCAACATCAAGTATCCTTTGCGCTACGGTGAAATTGATCACGGGCCCCTAAAGAGTGCGAAACTAATTTGTTACATGACTTTGGCTTTATACGTACACATATATAATTCCGGTTTGCAGAGCTGAGTTTCGTTTGATTTGATAGAAAAGTACCATGGGTATATATATCTATATAAAAATATATGAACGGCGAAGGGACGAAAGAGACCTTTACTCCAATTGCGAGAAAATATCGTGAGAGCCGAGCGAAACCGGGCAGCCAGTACAGAGCTCAGTTGGGTTGTTGGGGAGCACCAGCAGGAGGAGGAGGAGGAGGAGGAAAAGGGAGATCGGATGGTCAGAGGCCAGATGAGGAAGAGGAGAATGAGGAGGATGAGGATGAGGTGATGGTGATAGAGAAAGAGAACGAGGATGAGGCAAAGCAAATGCTTAAAATGAAGATGGCTAGTGCGGGGACCCCTTGGAACTCCCTCCCGTTGGGTGGTCACCCTCTGAGCCACCCTTCGGTACCTACCCGGACACATATATATATATATATATGTATAAAATATATATGTATATCTATCTATATAGTACATTATATACAAATACAAACACACATACGTAGCCGTGCGAGTAGTCGTTCTGGCCGGTGGTATCGGGATCGGGAGCGTACACATGAAACGGTTCAGCCGCGTTTGTGTCTTGGTGTACGGTCTCTCGCGCGTTTCTGCTCCAGCTCTAGCTCCACAAGTACGTGTACGTGGGACACACACGCGTGCAGCCCCTGCGTCAGTCATTCATTTAGTTGGGGAGGAATGAGAGGAAGAGCAAAAGGAGCAAGAGCAGGAGCAGGAGCTGGAGGTGGTGGGCTGCTGATGGTGAAGGTAGTCGTGGTGGTGGTGGTGGTGGTGGTGGTGGTGGTAGAACCAGAGCCATCGGAGGTAGAGGCTGGAGAAGGACGAGGGGCCAGAAGAGAGCCAGCTCGCTCTGCTAGAGAGAGATAGAGAGAGAGAGAGAGAGAAAGCCAGAGGTGGTAGAGAGGAGCAGGAGAAAGGGTGGAAGGTTGGAAACTCGGTGGGTGGCGGTGGGTGAAGAGGGCGAGAAGGTGGACTGAAAAGGGAGACTGGGAGTTGGGTGTTGGGTGAGAGAGTGTACCACCCTCTTGGCCACCCCAAGCAGATCGATACAACCCCCTTTCCGCTTTCCACCCACATCCCACCCCCCTAACTTTACTTATTATACGATCCCACCCCCGAATCCTCGCGTCTCATTATCTTTCCCGTTGCAGCTAGAGAGAAAGAGGAAAGAGAGTGCTTTTATATTGCAGACTCATTTCTCCTTCTCAACTTTATATTTATTTATTTATTTTCATCTTTTTTATTTCACTATTTTTTAGTTTTTACTATTTTGCTCTGTGTGTGCGCATAGTTTCTTTTATTTGTTTTTGTTTTAGTTCAGAATTTTTTTTTTTTTTTTTTAATTCTTGTTATATATTCCTTATTGTAGACGAGTGTGTTACATTTATTTTATTTATTTATATCTAGTACTTTTAGTTGGTTATTTATTCAATGGAGAATTTAAACTTGAGCTAAAGACGCCCACGGTGTATATACACGCGCTTACGCGTGAAGAGTATCGCCAAGTCCCGGTGGTGGTTACACGCTGTGTAAGCACACACCGGTCGCGTAACTGAGTGATACCTTTTTTTTTTCTTTGACTTTTTTTTTTCTTTTCAGTATTACTATACGTTTTGTTTCATATATTATTTTCCTCTATTTTTTGTCCCCCCTCTCGTGACTGTTACTCTTCGGCAGTTGCCTCTACCACACTAGCGGTGAAGAAGCTAAGACTCCACTCGGGTTAACTTTTTTCACTCGCTGTCGTTAGTACAGCTAGTCAGAACATACATCCCAGTTTTGGTACAAAAATAAATGTTAAAAAATATATTTGTGTACGTAGTACAGTAAACAAATAATATAATAAAATAAAAACTAACATTGTAAAAGTAAAATAACAAACAAAATAGTGTAACTGGTTTTTTTTTTTTTTTTTTTTTTTTTATATATATATGCGAGACACGAGACGCCACAGTTGAATTCAGAGGCGAGCTCAATTTCCGGGGTAAATATATTTAGGTATTTTTGTGCGCAAGACTGGCAGAATAGATAGATTTGTATGCACGCGTATCTTTCGATTGTGTGAGAATTTGTCGGCGCCATTTTGAGAACTTGAAATAGGTAATCAAAAAAAAAATTATCAATTCATACGACAAAAGATAATATAAATTAAACTAACGGTCGAGTAGTAAATCTTAGCAGCAAATTTCTAGTCTATTGAAACCAAAATTCTGTCGTAGTGACACTGTTGATTGTTAGACCGGATATAAAAGTCCGGCATTTGATTAATGATACACGTACTACCCATACGTACACGTATGCGTATGTATAGTATCTTCAATAATAATAATATTGCTATAGAGTAGGAACTTGAGCTCAAGTTCCTATTTTACAATATTGACATCTTGACGAATAATTTTGGGCTTACTATGATAACGTCATGAACAATATGTAGGTGACACGTTGAGAGTACAACAACATAGGGTTAGATAAATGTTTACTCACACTGGTGCTTGTCTGCAAGCATAATCAAGGTCGAAGGTAAATCCCTCCGCCTGAAGAAGCACATCACTTTTGCTTCCACATTACCGCTGGCCGTCTAAAATTAATAAAAAATATTTTCTCATTAATTTTTCATCGATATCTAAATTATCTTGTAATAGTGAAAGTATTATTATTATTATTATTATTATTGTTATTATTGCTATCAATTATCAATAATTTTACTACGTTCCACTACAACATCAATAATTTAATCTTTTTACTTAAATATTTACTTTATTCAATGAGTAATAATAAAAAAAAAAAAAAAAAAAAAAAAAATGTTATCAAGCTTTTTCTCACCTTGTTCAATTCTTCTATCCTCCGTATTTGATAAGGAGACGTCGATGACGTTTCAAAGTACACATAGTCTGAAACAAAAAGAAGAGGATATAATTAATTTAAGCTTGTAATTAAAAGTTAATTAAATATTTAAAAAAAAACTAGTGCTCTCAGCATCGACTGTAGATAATATTTTTCGGAGACTCAGGTATCACCGAGATGACAAAAGTACGGAATATAGTATAGAGAGTAAGTAAGGAGACAAGGGCGAGAATGCGGGAATGAAAGTGAGACGAAGAATAAGAGAAATAACGTTAAGGGGAAACAGGTCTACAAGGGGAGAGAAGAAGGTTTTATGGGCATAGAAATTCTATCCTTGAATAGAAGCTCTCGCTAGTTCATTTTGTGAGCATGTCCCCGAGCAAATGCAAGGATGTGCAATGCTATGTACGTCCAATAGTCATACTTATATGTACATAATCTTCACCTCATTTTATATATTTATTTTTATTTTTACATATTATACAAATATATAATATGTAATATGCTTACTATGTACATACTTGAAGAGAATATTTTAAAATAAATGAACATTTTTACTAGCCGTTAATATCAAGTACTATCGAGTATGTAATTAATAAAGCTTAAGAAAAAAGTCAAAGCCAATCGTCAGGTAAATGATAACAGAGTTAGCGATGTAATTACAATTACGACTGTGTCCAACTTTATGAGGAGCCGCGATAAGAGTTTGCAGCACACTTGTAATTATTATTATAGTTTCAATAAATTTATTATTATTATTTTTTTTTTTGTCGATACTAGTCTTAAAACAGCAAGTAGTAATTTGGAATAAAAAAAATATTAAGACTCGGATGTTAGACGGTTTGATATCGAGTCATCTCGAGGTCTAAGGTTGATTGTAACGGAATTGGTAGTGACCTCACGGGTTCGAGATAAAACCCCAGAGAATTTAATGACCATAAAGTACAGCAGTGAATTGTTAAAAGATTTAGTTTCTGTATATCTTTGAGTTACATATTTGGTAAAGTGGGATTTGATTATTATAAATGTGTGGATGTATTGTATAGATGTGTATTATGGTTATACGTGTGTTGGATGTAAAAATGAGAAAGTGGTAAAAGATAGTAGCTGTACTGTAGTGTGGTGTCGCCGATCGGTGGAATCCATGGGTATGGATATCGCTCGAAGAATTAGTATGACCTGCCGGGGTAAGAGAGGAACGCGGGAAGTTGTGTGTTGGCCCGATACTACCACGGGGGAGACGGGGGAGCGAGGTGACCTGGGAAAAACGAACAGTCGAGGGAGTAGACGGGGGGGAACTTTTAAAGAGAGAAAGAGATGGAGATAGCTGTACAAGTTAGCGAGCGAGTGTGTATGAGTAAGTGAGCAAGTGAGTGAGTGAGTGAGTGAGTGAGTGAATAAGAGTGTGAGCAGACGTACGGGACGCCAAGAAGGGGGGACCGAGGGGGAAGATCCAGATGAGGAGAGGTAAGAGCTGGGGAACAGTCAGGGGGGAAAAATGGGGACAGGGGACGCCATCGTGATGCCATTTGCAAACATTAATTTCTCAGTGGCTAATTAAAGTTGCCGAGTGGATACTCTAGTCATACAGACGACTGTCCATTGGTAATATGTTTCCCGATCTGTGTACGAGTTTATAATTCACCGGTCCGTCCACGAGGACAACAATACAACAATCCGTTGCAGTTTCTCGGTTTTATAAGCTCAACTCTCAGTATAGTATACTTTATTCGCAAATATGAAAACGAGCTACAATAAATAAAAAAAAAGGAAAATAATTAATTAAAATAAATAATAATTGAGTGGTGAACGTTACCTCCCACCCGATACATGTTGGCCGTCATGTTGCTGGCGTCCTGTGCGGCGGTAGCCGCGAGCCCGAAATTTGCGCTCTCGTGGTTCCCGTGGCTCTCGTGGTATTCCGCCGGCATTGGCATGGGGTATCAGCCCTTATACTTCTTCTTCTTCTTCTTCTTTCTCGTCTTCGTCGTCGTCTTTTAATCTTTTTTTTTAAACTACTGTTATTATAATTACCGCACTTTTTACACTCTTCAGCAACGGTATCAGCACCAACAGTAGTAGTAACAGCAACAGCAGCAGCAACTTTAACAACCAGTATTTGTTTAAAGTTTTCACGCGTCTTCTTCCCGGTGACACGTATCACCTCACGACCGCGGCACTCACAGTCAGAGGTACCGGTCACTTCTCCGACTCTCTTCAGGTTTAAAAAATAAAAAAAATAATAACACGAGGCTAAAAAAAAAAAAAAAAACAAAAACAGTTACAAATACTACTCCGTATTTATACTATGTATACAGTTTAGCGAGAAAAGGAACGCAGGTTATCCAGTAGAATAAAAAAGAGGAGAGAAAAGAAGAAATAAACGTTTAATAAGAGTCAACACTTGACTGTGTCACACTCCATCGTGTTTGTTTGAGGCACATCGAGAGTGCAGCCGTATGATATCAACCGCCAGCGTATTGTGTATTATGTATATCTTACAACACTAAATACTGTACTCCATTTATTGTAAATACTAATTGCCCACAACCCGTCGACGTTGTACTGTCGTCCGAGCACTTTTCCACACTAGTTAATTATATTTTATAAAATATATCAAATATTTAATTAAAATTTTTTAAAAATATTCATCAAACTTAGTGACAAAGTAAATAAATAAATAAATAAATAGTAAATTAAATAAACAAACAATAATGTTTATTTGTTGTTATTATTATTATTATTATTATTAACAACACAGTAGTCTTGCGACCCGCGCACAACCAAAATCATTTGGCTTTACTCCTCTGGGTTACTCTGCTACTACTACTAGTACTACTACAACTACAACTATAAAACTCGCCGCCTTTAAACTACTCTCCTCTTTGTTATTAAACACACGCGTTTATTATTTATTGTTAAAACTTACTATTTGTTATTATTAAATAAACAGTAACGAAAAAAACTATGTATAAACTTACTGTTTAAAATTCACGTGTTTGCCGCGAGCATCGTTTTTAAAAGATATAACTCGTGGTATTTAATAATGTCCACGCGTAGTTAACAGTCGTGTGTTCTACGAGCGTCTGAGTGCTTGCCTCCGACCTCGCTCAACGGAACACCGCCATTTTAATTTCGCACTACAGCGCCGCCGACATGAGAGAAGAGGGACCAAGGGACTGCGGCGGCACCAGCCAGCAGCGACCGACAACGACGACGACGACCAAGATCACCAACCACGACTCGGTTATCCAGTAGATTCTTTCAGGGCTACTTTATGCTTCTATTTATCCACCACTCTATAACTAATTATTGGTTATCAACCTCACGCCGTCTACCTTCTTCCGAAAAATTCTTGTACCGTCAAGCTACCTCAGGATGCCTGACGATAGTGTATCTAAAAAATTCAAAATTTATTTTCCAATTCACTTTCACTTTTTATTTAACTTTTTTCAATATAAATAATTATTTTTTTTTTTTTAATTAAAATAAAACTTTCAGGTATGTTGACTATTCGATGGAAAATAGTATCTAATTCGTTCTATATGTGTGATGGGATGCACACACAATACCCGGTCGCCTCACAAACGCACAAACTAAAACGGCGCACGCAATTGGTCAAGGATTATTTATTCAAAACTAGATAGAACACCGTCCCCGCCATTTTGTTATTGAGCTTACTTTTTTTCACACAAGAGTGCGCGAGTGGCAATTAATATTTGAAAAAACAATTTTTTATTTTTAATTGTTTAACATTTGCTGACAGTAATTAACTTAAATAAATTACTGAATAGTTGATCTTTTATTGAAAGGATTTAATTTTTTAATTATTATATTTTGTTTATTAATAAAAAAAAATAATTGTGATTTCTAGGAAACAAAGTGGTGGTTTTCAATGAACGACGCTTTTAAAGTCATTGCAACTTGACGGATATTTTTTTTTTTTAACAAAACTTTGATGTAAAACAATAATTAAATGATTTTTAATTAACTTTTTATTTAATCGGCCAAATTTATTTTTATACATACTTTGTTGACAAATTATTTATACCGAGAATAAATCGAGTAACTGATGACTCTACGGAGGTATCGTCATTAAACATTCCGAAGGTAAATAATAATTTACATTTGATATTGTTATTTATTAGATAAAAGTATTAAAATATCTATTTTTTACAAAATTATTTATGAAAAATATATTTCATTATTTTTGATGATTTATTTTTAGTGATTATCAGTAATGACATGACTTGTGTTGAATAATATGCAAATATAACCAATCAAGGACTGTCTTGCACAACCACGAACCTTGCAATATTTTTTGATATGTTATTAAAATGTAATTTTTATTTTTTTTTTCAGAGTATAATTTAATTACCGAAAAAAACGAACAAGTGAGGACAAGCAATCATGGCAGTAGGAGTTTTTCCAGCATTTAAATTAGGAGTTTTGTTTTTGAAACAAATAAGTAAACCAATAGCAAAACTTCTTGTTTCACAAGCTAAAAATCATCCAGTATTTAGGACATATTTTATTATTCCACCGGCTCAATGTAATTATTAAAATTAATACCCATGAAACATTTTTAAGAAAACCAAATTTCTATTAAATAATTAAATTATTATTTGCAGTTTATCATTGGGCTGAAGTAAAAGCTAAAATGTATGTGATGAACTTGGGTAAGCCAACGAAGGTTGCTAAGTTAAACGAACAAATGGCAATTGAGCTTGGAGCTAATTTAATGGGTGAAGTTATAATCTTCACTGTTGCTGGAGGATGTATTTTATTTGAGTACAACCGTCAGTCGGTTAAGGAAGCTAAAAAAGAAGCTGACAGACAAGCTCAAGTACAAAAATTCACAGATGACATCCAAGCGTTACATGAAAGCTCTCAAGAGCAGGAGAAACAAATAAAATATTTAACAACTGTCGTAGAAGAACTCGCTAAAAACCCTAAGCAAAAAATTAATTTAGAAAAATTAAAACCTGTTGAGCTAGTACCTAGTAGTGATACAAATAGTCCTGATGACTTGAGCCGTAAAAGTCCTGATGATAAATCAGTTGTTCATCGAGCTCTTGGTTACTACGAGAAGGATGTTAAAGGAACTAGGAGTTAAGAAAATTAATCTCAATTTTTTGGTTATTTATTTCAATAATTAATATTATAAGTACAATAATATGAAATATGAACGTTTTTTATGCTACTAGAAATTTATACGGACAAAAATCTTTGAAATTAATTTTTTTTCTAAAGATTCTAGTCATTGTTTTTTTTTATTTTCTTTTAAGTACTTTTCTTGTATATAACAAACGGTTGTACGATAAGTTTTCAAAAATAATGTTAATTTAATATTAACTGATAATAAATACTATACAATACAATAGTGATACATTTGTTTATGTACATAAACAACAATAAAAATTGAATAGAACATTTCATTAATTTATTTTTAAAGTTCTCAATTTATTTTTATCCTTATAATTTAATTTTTTATAAAAAATTAAATTTTAGTTTAAGTTTTTTCAATTTTTTTTTTGACATTGAAGTTAACAGACACTATAAATTTTTTTTTAATTTTGTAACAATGTAATTATTATGAAAAAAATTTAATAAAAAAATTCCACGTGTGAAAGTTGAAAAAAAATTATTAGTGAAATTTTTTAGAAGCATTTTTTTAATTTTTATAAAAATTAAAAAAAAATGACAGCTTCATTATCAAAATTTTTTAGTAAAAAAAATTCTTATTTTAATTAACAAAAATCTTATAAATATTAATTAGTCTGAATGTGAATGACTATTTTTTTCATGTAAATAAATAATTAATAAAATTCAAAAAATAACAATAATTTATTGTTCGGGTGTCATCGGCAGTATTCGATTTTGTTGCTAAAAGACGTCGGTAATGACGTATAGATAGTCTATGCGTGGCCGTGCTGTCATTAGTGCTAGTGGAGATAAAAGTTTTTTATTATTTTTTAGCTGGAAATGTTATTCTCCAATTATTTACTTCGATAGAAGATACTCAACGAAATAAATCATGTGGTCGCTGTTCTCCCGAGATCCAGCTAAGGATTTTCCCTACGAAATAGGAGAAGTTGTTGATGGATTTGATGGTAAAAGTATTTGGACTCTTTATAGAGCCAAAAAAAAGGTAACCTCTTCTTGTGGTTTATTTATTTGTTAAAAAACAATTACATATTCAATTGTTTTATTTGTTTATACAAATATAAATAATTTATTTATTTTTATTTGCAGGGCACTTCAAATGGAGATGACGTATCTGTATTTGTTTATGACATAAAAGCTGGTGGAGAAGTACAATTGGAGATAGCAAGGAATGCAGTTAAAAGATTGAAAACTCTCAGACATCCAAGTGTACTCACTTACGTCGATAGCCTTGAGGTTTAATCATTTTATATTGATATAATTTAAGCTGTGAAAAAAATTATTCGACAATTGATTTATTATTTAGTAACCATATCAATACACATCTATAAAATAAATTAGAGGACATTTTATAGAAGTTTTTATATCCGTATTATAAAATAATTTATGAATATTATTACTTGTCGATTATTTTCAGTGTCATATCTAAACAATCGATAGCTAAGATTATTGAATCTTGAATAATTAATTGTTTTGTTTATTGATGATTTTTCAGACTGACAAAGTTATCTACTTGGCGACTGAGAGGATAGAGCCACTGCATAGTAGATTATTACGAAAAATAGACATCGGTGAAGGTGTCAAAAAAGAATTATACTTTTCATGGGGAATATTTCAAATAATTGTTTGTATAATTTTTTATTTAAATATTTATTAAATGAAATTTAAGTTAGCCGAGATTTAAAAATTTTTAGAATTTTTTTTATTAAAAAAATTGTTATAAAAAAAATTCTATTCATAGAAAACTTAAAGAACTATAAGTCCAATTTTTAAAAAATATTTTTTAGCTTTAATTTAATAAATGAAAAAAAATTAAAAAAGTTGGCTAACTTAGTATTATAATTATTAAACTGTCTAATTGTAAGTATAAAATTAAATGAAGAAAATTTTCATTTGTTGACAGAGAGCTTTGAGTTTTTTAAATAATGACGGTAATTTAAGACACAACAATGTAAATTTATATTCAGTTTTTGTAAATGAGGAGAGTGGTGAGTGGAAATTAGGATGTGTAGAGTACATGACGACCGTTGATGCGCCATACATGATACTGCCACATGAACTACAAACTTACAGTCCTCCAGAAGTGCGGGAGAACGCAAAACCGACGTCAAAATGGTAATTATTGTAGTCGAAGATTGTTAATAATTTCCGTGGAAAAAAAAATATTTTGGTATATTAAAATATCTAGGTTTTAAAATTGTGATACTGATGAGTAAATATGAACAGCTCAGTCGATATGTGGGGTCTCGGGTGTCTGATCTGGGAGGCTTTCAATGGGCCACTAGGACAGAGAGCCAATCTCAAAAGCATGGAACAGGTTTGATATTTTTACTTCTTTAATTACTCCAAAAGACATTAAATAAAAATAAAAAATATTTATGTTTAGATACCAAAGCAACTGCTGACAGTGTACAAAGAATTGACGAGTTTGAGTCCTGATGGAAGACCTAATCCAGCTGACGTGATAGCACGGTGTCGCAGCAACAGCGGGTTCTTCAAAAACGACCTGGTTGACGCGCTGCTGTTCCTAGAAGAAATTCAGATGAAGGAGAAAGGAGAAAAAGGAAGATTTTTCTCACAACTCGCGAGCCAACTGGACAGTTTCCCTGAAGGTGTTGGAAGACACAAAATTCTACCCCAGTTACTGGCAGCCTTCGAATTTGGAGATGCAGGCAGTGCTGTGTTGCCTCCATTACTGCAACTGGGTAACCAGCTGCCAGACGCGGAGTATCAAAAGCGAGTAGTCCCCTGTGTCGTTAAATTATTCGCATCGAATGACCGTGCTACTAGATTACGACTTTTACAACAGCTTGATCGGTTCGTTAGTCATCTTCAGCCGTCTACTGTTAACGACGCTATCTTCCCTCAGGTATTATTAATTAAATGTACTTTACATAATCTATATTATTAAGAGAATAAGCAAAATTTTGTGGCCAGTGTATTTATATGATAAAATGAGTTTTTATGATTAAATTTGGTATCGTTAAAAAAGTCTTGACCTCGAGTTGTGCCTTTTCATGGTTTTATATTATTGTCATCAATAGTCAATTTATGATGATAAGTATTTAGGCTGCATTCAAAAATTCTCTATCTCTAGGTACATAATTAAGAAATGACCTTGCATTTTGTGAATTATTGACATTTTTGAATATATTAGCTCACCCCGACATTACACTCATTGAGACCTTTCATTCGAGTACCCACATCAATTTTTCATATATTTATATATATTATATATATATGTATATATGAAAAATATATGAAAATGCATATGGGTACTCAAATGAAAGCTCTTGATGAGTGTAACATCGAGATGAGCTTATATCTTTAAAAACATCAATAGTTAAGAAATTACAATGCAATTTAACATAATTAAGAAATGACCTTGCATTATGTGAATTATTGACTTTTTTAAAGATATAAGCTCACCCCGACATTACACTTATTGAGACCTTTCATTTGAGTACCCACATCAATTTTTGATATATTTATATGTATTATATATATATATATATATGTATATATGAAAATTATATCAAAATGCATGTGGGTACTCAAATGAAAGCTCTTGATGAGTGTAACATCGGGATGAGCTTATATCATTAAAAACTTCAATAGTTAAAAAAGTACAGTGCAATTTAACAAAAGTCATTATTTAATAAAGTAAAATTTTATTTATTTATAGTTCGCAAGTTCCGGCAGTCACATAGTGACTGCAAGGTTGCTAATTAATATTAATTAGAGTAACAATAATTACTAAGATAAATTTAATTAACTCCCACAGGTAGCTCGCGGTTTCTTGGATACTAATCCGGCGGTTCGAGAGCAAACAATTAAGTCAGTAGTACACTTAGCACCAAAGCTTGATTACAACAATTTAAATGTTGAGGTGTTGAGATATTTTGCAAAACTTCAATCAAGTGATGAACAAGGTGGAATTAGAACTAATACTACAGTTTGTTTAGGTAAAATAGCTCAACATCTTCATCCTCAAATTCGCCAAAAGGTATATTACTTTGTTTCTTTTTTTTCCAACATAATAAGATATTCTTTTGTACATCTTTTACAACTAAAACAAACATGTATTGATAATTTTTATAGGTACTGATAGGAGCGTTTATTCGCGGAACTCGTGATCCTTTTCCTCCAGCACGAAGTGCGAGTGTATCAGCATTAGCAATCACTCAGCAGTATTATTTACTGCAAGAAGTTGCTAATCGTATTTTACCGGCTTTGTGTACTCTTACCACTGATGCTGATAAGACAGTACGTGACACTGCATTCAGAACGATACGAGGATTTTTATTTAAACTTGAAAAAGTATCAGAAGATCCTGGATTAAGAGAAACAATGGGTAAATATTTTTTATAAATAATCAATAATCAATACTGATTATTGATTTATAAATAACTATTTACTGATGAATAAACTATTTTTTTCAGAGGCTGACGTCAATACTGCAACACCTAGCTTAAGTAATGCAGCAGCAACGTGGGCTGGATGGGCTGTTACAACAATGACTGCTAAATTTTATCGAAGCCAATCAGATACACCAAAGTCTTCCAATCCTCACACTACATCTCGTATTTTACTTAATAAACCAGCATCTCTGGGTATAGTAGCCTCGATACATCTATTCTGATTTTTTTTATTCTAAACGCATAACAATAATGTAATGATATTTGTTTAATTAGAACAAGCAAGTAGCTCACAAAGCAGCGCTAGCACCACAGCTACAACAAGCAGCGCAACTAGTATGACATCTTTGGATCCAGATCATGAGCACGATTCGCAAAACACCGCAAACACTCAGTCTGACTGCGACTGGGATTGGGAAGCTGATAACTGGGGAGACATGGAGCAACAACCCTCGTCAACGACCACGGCACCCGCTAGTACAGTGACACCATCAGCTAATACATCTAAACCAAATGACCACTGGACAAGTTTAGAGGAAGAACCGGTTAGTCTGCTTTCAATGATTTAGTTTTACTTATTTTTTAATCAAGAGTAAATGACAAATTAATTTTATTTTAGGAGCTCGAAGCCGCTGAGAACCTTGCTGATAAAAATGAAGGCTCTGAATCCGGTTGGGATGATCAAGAATTCCAAGTACTGGAAGACTTTCAAACGATAGAGCAACCAGGTATATTTTTTCACCGTTATCAATTAATCAATAATAGGGTAAAAGACCTCATTAGTGGCGAGGACCACATTACTGACACTTTCTTTGATTTTGGTACTTATTCAATTAATGAAATCATTAATTTCAATAATGAATATATTATTTCTAATCTTTAAGACCTTTAGATCAAAAAAATTTTTAATTTTTATTCCAAGTAGAAAATTTTTTAATTGAAAGAAAAAGGGCCACTAATAGGGGTTAAAGGTCCCACTAATAGGATCTTTTATTATTGATTAATTAAAATAACTGATTGATTTATTTTTTAGGAGTCACTGGAACGAATAATAAATTTGACGAGGCACGAAAAAAACGCGAAGAACGTAAACTAGCACGCCAAAAACAAATGGAAGCTAAAAGAGCCACTAAATTACGGACCACTGCTCCGGCTAAGAAAGTTTAATTAATTTTTTTAATCTAATTAACGCAATTTATAATTAATTATTGTATTATAAAACTCGATTTTAGTGAATATGTAAACGAAAGAAAAAAGTTAACTATTATTATTATTATTAACAATAATGATGATAAAAATAAAGATTTACACATATCCAAAAATATCTTATAACAAGTTTTATTAAACGCATAAAAATATACACATTAATTTATTATTACTCATATTGTACAAATATTCATTCCTCTTTATTACGATTGTTTTCATAATTAAGTTATCCCCGAGTATGATTTTTAATTAGAAATAATGAGAGCTATTATCATAAACGAGAGTGCTCGGGGGTTGTCTCAAACCGAATGTTTAAAGAATTAGCGTTACCAACCTCTCGTTGGAATCCAAGACTCTCATAAAATCCAATAAGCCGATCACGACAGTCTAGTGATAATTTATAACACTGTAAACTTCGAGACAATTGCGATATTGTGCTTACTAATAATTTACCGAGGTGTCTACCTCTATACTTTGAATTTACGACTACGTCTTCCAGACGTCCTTTCTAAAAAATTAAAATCCACCATGTCAATAACTCTGCTCCATTTAATTATGTAATATTATTGTACTAAATATCATTTATTGGGTGTATGAATAGTATTGATACTCACCAACGCACAATTATGAATAAATTTTTGCTCTACAACTAACGTTGCACTTCCTACTACCTCTCCACCATTCAAATCCTCGACAATGACAACGTAGTAGCCACCAGCTATTTTCATTTTAAAAAATCTGTCTGAAAAATTATTTTTAATCCAATGGAATCTTCTCTTGATAATTACAAACAGAATTATTTTACCGAACGAATATTACTTACTTAAAAATTGGTCTTTAGTAATATTTCCAACATCTGTTAGTTGTCCTAGCAGTTGTATGAAACCTAGAACAAAGCATGATGAATTATATCAGTTATTATTAACAATAAGACGTAATACTTTATTCTTATCACAACAATCATCAATACTGAGTGCTATAAATATTAATAAAAAATAAAATTACCTTTATCATAGTCTGTAGATCGTAGCGGTCTTACTAAAAGTCCATTTTCTTTTGGCAGATTAGGTAAACGAGTCAGCAAGCTGCTATTGAAAAGCTCCAGCTCATCATCTTTCGCGAAATCACTCTGAAAATTAAAATCATGAGATAAAATTGCAAAAAAATGAGTGATAATATTTAAATATTGACAGCTTTGAAGTTCATTGGTGACATCGTCATAAAAAAAACTTTCATATTTAGTAAAAGTACAAGTATTATCAATGATATAATTACATTATGTAAATACAAAAAATTTTTTATAAATACAAAAGTCATCTTACATTTGATGATGTGTTCATTGTCCGGTTGAGTTGCCAGGAAAACGATTGATTTTTAAATGTCAAGTGTGGTTAGATGTGTATCACGTTATATATTGTTATTATGATTGGTTTATCAGGTATAAAGAGAAAAACTTGTTTGTTCCTTCCCCGTTGCTTGTTGTTGTATTCACTGTTCACGTGTAATGTAACAAGTTGTGAGTAGCCGCTAGCTCACGCTCCCACTTTTCTTGGTTTTATGAACTACTCCAACGCCAGATTCCGCTTTGACATTTCACAATCCGAACTTTCACGTATTTACACTCTTTATGCTAGTTATGTTAATCTATCACTTATAACCTATCGCATAAAACAATTCAATTATAGTTTGATAGTATCATAACTTTTTTTTTACTGTCTAAGTGAGATAAAGTTCTTGGGCAAATTATGAAATTAACCTTATTATTATTACTATTATTTTTCTTAATAAAAAAAAATTTTATTTTATTATTTAAATTATATTAATACAAATTTATGTCTACTAATTAAAAATTTATTTGTAAGTTTATTGATCAGTTAATTTTCATTTTCAACATAAAAATAATTTTAATATTAGTCATAATTTAATTTCAATTTAATGATAAGAATAATTAATAGAAAAAACTTTTTAAATTTTCATGGAATAAATTTTTTTTCTAACAATAAAAATCATGAAATGTCGAACAATTGCTATTTTAGTTATTTATTTTTTATTTTAAGATAAATGATTAAAAAAAAATGCTTACTACTAAATCAAATTAAATAATTAATGATTTATTTTATGACAATATTTATTGAATACATAAAAACATTGTTATAGCAACAAATTTTAATAACAAGTAACAATAATTATAAATTTCTTATAATTAGATAGGATACTTATTAAAAAAGTTGTTTATTTTATTTCAAAACTATGCAAAAAATAATATTTATTACTTCATTTGTTTTTGAACTGTTTAATCAGCAAAAAAATTAATTATTTTCCACTGAATAAATTCTTGCAGTGTTTTGAAATAAAAAATCTTATTTCTAGAAAATCCTTGAATTATAGAATACTCTTTGGTACAAAAATTGTACTTATGGCATTAATACATTAGTTAGAGTCTTTAATTCGGCTTGTACTGAAAGTCGACCTCCTAGGGAGGTTTTTGTTAATATATAAACATGAAAAATAATGTTTTTTTTCGTTGTTACAATGTTATTAATTTTAGTGATATAAATAAGTGTCAATTTTCAGGATTGACTTAAAAATATGATTATTTATAAAATATATAATCAGTTTGAACAATAAAAAGAATCATTAGTATTATTATAGGCACTTTTTTAAATTGATTGAGATCAACATTAATCAAATGAGATCAAGTGCAAATTAATAAGATTGAAGTTTAAAACAAATGCTTGATCAATAAGATGATCTGACGAAGAATTTTTCACCATTAACAACCTACGAACAAAAAAATAGACAAGTCAAAATATCACCTTTACTTATCTTTATTTTTTCGTCTTTAATATTATACTGTTAAATTTAATTGAATCATAGTTAAAAAAAAAAAAAAACTCAATTACAGTTCAATAAATAAAAATAAAATACATTGGATTGCACAATTGATTGAAGCTGCGTGATAAAAAAAAGAAGCAATTTAAAAACATTCATAAAAATCAAAGAATACTATAATTACTTTTTAGTGAATGCAAAATCCTCTGAAGTTAGTTCATAAATAGCATAACGTCTAGGAGTCGTGGTTTTTTTAATACCTCGATATGAAAACTTGAAATCATTGTCTATATCTTTATCTTTATCACGCTTTGTCGTATCACGCAGAACAAAAACATCAGGTTCTTCAGTACTTTGCATCAAATAAGGAATTTCAACGTCTTCATTATTCACATCAATATTGTTTGTGCCCTTACCACTGGATGATGATTCTGATGATGCAATGTCAGCTACTTTTAAACTCGCCAATTTTTTATCCAATAATCCTCTCATTAGTGGATTTCTTTTATAATAATTTTCCTTGCTTTTCTTAGCAATATCTGTGTCTTTACCATCCGCATCAACGGCTTTTTTCCATTTTTTGACTATGCCAGTATCGTCAAGTTTGCCACCATTGATCTGAAAAAATATTTATATCTATATTAAAGATCTATAAAATTAATGAAAATAATTAATAACGTGTTAATCTTATTATTTTAAATACTTCAAGAATTCTTGACCGTATTTCGGATTCCGTCTTCATTTTGACAGGCGTATCAAAATCAGAAATGTCGCTTTCTAGTGATTCATATAACTAAAAAAAAGTTTCAGTTTTAATTAATTTATTTAACAAATAATAAACTCACTTAGGTAAAAATAAACTAATAAAAGCGTAAATAAAACTTACATGTTCATTTCTAGCGTAGCTTTTTACTTTTTTATTATCATCCGATTTCTTGTTTTTCTTTTTTTTATTGGTTTTGAATTGTGGCACCTGAGCTGGTTTTTCTAAAACTAATTTTTTGTTTAATTCTTCGCGAATATCCATTGCTGTGATAAAAAAAAAACTTATAAATATTTCTTCTTGTTAAAAATTAGTCTAAATCTAACCTTAAAATTAAAAATAAATGAAAGTGAAACTCCAAGTATGAAATAAAAATTTTATAATAAATATTTTTATTAATAATTAAGATTTACTCACATTCTAAAGTTTTCTTGATAGTTCATAAAATCCAGTATATATGTTTGTTAGTATCAAAAAGTATTCGCGAGAATTTTATAAATCTAGACTGATCTAGACAAAGGTCTATTCAATACTGAAAACAATTTCTATTCGCTAACTCAATCTCAGCCAGCTGCTTTCCAAAATTTGTTGATGCCGTCAGCTGAAGTATACAAATAAAATGTTTAAATATTAAGGTAGCATTGTGTACCCTATAATACGTTATTCATGAATGACAAATGAATGAGAGAATTTTAAAACTATCCGATAATCTTTTCTCGAATATAATATAAACAAATAACACTTTTAAATTTTTAAATTTGTGTACACATACTTCGTCTATAGGTGTTGATTGCTATTGTTGTGGTGGTTGAGATGCTGGTTATTATAAACACATTAGTATAGAGATTATACACTCTATTGTGTTCTATAATCTATATGTAAACATTGGTAAACTTTTGAAATTTTTATAACTAATTAATTAAGATAAAACAAATATTTTTGAAAATTTGCACTTATAATTTTTTTTAATTTTTACATGTGGAATTTTTTCACTTCATTTTTTTCATAATAATTTAATTATCATGAAAATCTAAAAAAAATTGTAAGATGTGCCTGATGGTTACAATATCATACATAAACTATATATGTAGTGTAATTACCGGCTTTTCAAGAGATGGCGTTAGCATAGTTGCAATTTACTTATTGCTTCGTTATTTGTATCTTGGCGATGAAAAAATTTTAATCTACGTTATTTATTACTTAATTAATTGACTGTAATCTTCCTAAGTAATTATGCTCGTTTACTTTTAATGTAATGCAATTTAACAAGCGATTAAAATTAAGTAAAACTACACAATTTTTTTTGCTTTAGTTTTCAAGACATGTATTGTCTTTTTTTTTTTTTTTTCAATTCTACAATTGAAAAATACTACTAATAATGTATAATTCATAATACATGTATTTGTATTAAAAAAAACTTCATTTCTTGTATCTGCTTGTAAAAAAAAAAAATTTAACAAATCTTTACCTTATACAGTTACACTTATCTTCAAGGATAGGCGGTACCGAAGGAATTTCAGAAATTTTGTTTTTTCCTAACTAGCGTAAAAGGCACTCTGCATCAAATAAGCCCATCTGAGTTAAGTATTTTTTTTTTATTTTATTGTTTTTGAAAAATACCTCATAAATTATATGATTGAAATTATTTTCTTACATGTTTCATCTTCTATGTCTGCTAGAGAAAAAAAAATAATTTTCTTAAATCGAATAACTGGCTTAACAATTTTTTAATTTTTTTTTTTATATTAATTTTCAAAATTGTTTCAAATGTCAAGTTAATAAGAAAAAAAATAAATTTGAAATTCAATTTTATGAGCAATGATAAAAATTACATAAATTTGTGTTACAGGTCGGCCATTAAAATATTTCTTCAAGCAAGTCGCATTAATTCAGTGAAATCTTTTCTCAGCCTCGATTCTATTTAATGATTACTCTACTAGGTTAAATACAAAGTAATTCTAATTTAATCTGTTTCGTTCACCCAGAGTGTCTCAAAAGAGAGTCAAGTATACACTATGAATGTCCTAAAGATATCAAACTTGTATATTTATACTAATGTGGTTAAAATAATTAATATAATAATGGTAATATTAGATTAAATTATAAAATAACCGATTATTAATAGAAGTCAAACAGAATAAAAATTAATTAAATATTTACCGATAACATTCTCTACGTAAAATATTTCATAGAAAAAAATATAAAACAGGTAAAACACAAAAAAATTATTTATTATCTTACATTATTACAAAACGTTTATTAATTATAACAAAAATATTATATTTTATTATATGATAGTTATTTAAAAATTATTAAATCGTAAAATCGATGTAACTAGTATCAAAAAGCGGCAACTCTTACCCCATTGACTGTCGATTGTCGCCAACGGTGGTGGAGTTACCAATTTTTGACGCTTTGCTATAGAGTATAGTAATTATTTTTTTTTGTTTTCAATTTCAGTATTCTAATATATTTATCTCGTTGGCCTCATTCCTGGAAATTCAATACTCCTGGAAATATAAATTAACAATTAGTATTATTATCACTCGACGGTTCAGTGAATTTGGTATCATGTTACCATGTAAGGATTCTCCTTATGATGCGTCTGTGTGTACCGCTTGTATAGTACACTTGAGACACCAGATAGAACTGTGTAGTGTGGAACGTGCAAAAAAGAACGCCAATCGTACGACCTTGACCGGAGCCTGCGTGTGTAGCGGCCAGGTAAGGCTGTCTAGCGAATCTTAAGGATTCTTTGTACATTTTTTACGCGCTATATACTTTCATTTATACCATAATCACATTAAATCATTTTTGTCACAATATTGTTGCAGGAAAATACGAAAGTATTGTCGTAATAATGAAAAAGAAGAAATAAATTGTTCAATTACCAGTTTGCAGTTTTTTTGTTTAAAAAAAAAAAAAAAAAAATAAACTTAATTATTTTTTATTGAAAAATATTAATTTTAAGAAGAATATAGTATAAATGAAATTACTGACGAATTTGTTATGGAACGCTAAACATTTGAATGGTTGAGTAAATAATGAAGATTACGATAAGTATAATAAGGATGCGAAAATATAGTCTTCGCTTTCCATTTAAAATTTTCACTTTCGTACAACCTTGATCTGAAAGTCAGAATAAAGGTTCTTATTTGAAATCTATTAATTATAAATTATAATTATATTTTTATATTTAAAATATAATTATTTTATAATTTATACTTAAAAATTTAAAATAATTTTACAGCTATAAAATAATTAAGGTGTTTCAAGTGCAGTAATTTGTTTGAAACTTACCGAGATGAAGAATTTTATTTCACATTAAAACACGTATTGCGAAATTATATACGTACGTTAGCACAATAATTATAGATGTAATTAGAATGATGGTGGTATTGTATTCAAATAATAGCAAGTAAAAGTAGTATTAAGTACGTATTAATGATGGATAAAGTTTAAATTGTTGGATGTGTATTTGAAGTGTAGAAGGTGAAGCTTAGCACTGACGACGATCGCGAACTCGTGTGAGGGCTGCGAGCGACCAGGGTAGAAAAGGAAGCCGGCGTCGTGGCGGTCAGAACAAGAAGAAGGAGATACAAGGGAAAAAGAAGAAGAAGAATAATAATAATAAGAAATAAGAAGAAGAAGGAAACCATTGGAGCCCTTGAAAGGAGAATTGGAAAGTATGCCGGCAAAATTCATGCGAGCGACCTTGACTACATTTTTCCCCTTGACTTCTTGGATACTCCGTGCTTTCCGTCTGGTTGATTTCCAGCCAACCAAATGTAAGCTTTTTTTCTTCCACTTAAAATATACTTAACGTACAACTGCATTATTATATTCATGTATTGCTTTAAGTATTTATGATAAGGATATGTTTTAATTAATTATCGACCGGCAGGATGGTAGTCAAGCATATAAATTGATAAGTTGAATAAGTTAAACAAAGGAATAAAGTCAAGAACAATAGTCGGTACATCTTCTTAAAGAATCTATTGGTGGTGGCGAAAAATGGCCGCCCTCAGCGACTACATTGTAGTTTGAAAGGATAAATAAAATTAATAGAATAAAAGAAGAAAATAATAAAAAAGTTAAAAAAGTAAAATGCAGGAACCGGTTTCACAGAGGGCAGTTCCAGCCTCTCGGCAAAATCATCTGTCTGGCTAACTTCTGTGAGTCCTGAATTCTTCTATATACAATCATCCATCATTTTATTTACTTCAGATATGAAAGGAAAATTATTTTTTGTTATTACTTTTGCATTTTATCAAAATATTTATTCAATTTATTCTGCAAGCCATTAAATTGAAAAAATAATTACTTACGATTTAATATTGTTCTATTTTTCTATCTTTTGTGATTCATATTCTTCTTATAGCTTTGTACTCCGTAGACTTCAAATCATAACTTCACATTTTTATCCTCGCAATAATTGAACATAAAATTAATATTCATCGAAAAATGATATTTTCTGGTATCATTATGAAACAGAGAAATTTTTATTGATTAACATATATTTTAAATAGAAAGGATTAGCGCATCAACAAGAAGATGATTTAACCATAAATAATTTATTATTCAGGATGATAATAAATTAAAAAAAAAAATAAAAATTCTACGCGATTAAAAATAAATTATTTAGTTTTATATCGTATGATTACAAAACACCTGGAGCATTATCCGCATGACAATTAATATAAAGTTTATAATATATATATATATATATATAAAACAAAGAACCCCTCGCATTTAAAATATATGTTACTGAAATATTTCTCACAATTCAATTCTACTTCCAATTCAATACAAAGTTAGGTGGATACAAAAACTATATCTTAAGTTTTTAAATAAAAGAACGTTTTGATATTACGAATGCTAGAAAAAAAATTAATAAAACTGAAAAAATAAAAAACTAAATGTAGAAACAGAACGCCACACCTGCTAATAAGATCCTAGTTCACACACTGTTCCCATCAAAGTTTTATGCACTCTCTCATACTCGTTGTTAATTTTGTCAGGTTTAGTTGTAACGACTATACTTGTGGCAGGTGAGACAAAATAGTATCCGCAAAACGGCCAACTGCACTTGTTCTTTCCCCCTTGCTTACAAATACGCTTTTATATCTATATATCTATATTCACCGGTAGAAAAAAAAACCCGCAGACACGTGGAATATACTCAATATCGCAGGCAATTCACTAAACAATGGATAATAAAAATATAGCTTCTTTACTTCTATTTAAATAAAAAACTCTAAAATTTAAACAATGTTGCATCGTTGTTACATTATACTCTAAATAAATCTGTCGACGCACTAAAAATATGATTAATCTATAATGAAATTTTTATTATTATTAATAAACTTTCTCTAAGGTTTATTACGTCGATCTCTATAATGTCAACCGATTGGAATTGATTACACTGAAACACTTACTCCAATAATCGTGTATTATAAATGACGCACTTATTATGCAATTTATTAAAAGGCGAGAATTGGTTATAACAATTAATAAAACATAAAAGGATTTAATTTTCAGATAAATTGTAATAGTAGACCAAATAGTTGATATTTGATCCAAGGAATTAAACTGTATCATTATTTGAAGTACTTTTCTAATAAATTTGACCTTCACGGTAATATAAATGATCAATATTACAGATGAAATTATTTTTATTGAAGTTATTTTTACATTTACTATTTAATTGCTAATTGTAGTTATTTTGTCTTTGTAGGTATGAAAATAACTCTGCGAGAGAAGCCACGGTGTAATAAAGAGATATAATCACGGAGCTCAAGACAATTACCGCGAGGATCGTGAGTGACCTTGATATGACATTGAGATGGTAAGAGAAGAAATGAGACTATTTCTTCGAGGCCTTTTGTCTGTCATTTCACCGCAAATTAATATAATTCAAGTATTGCATGTACAGCCTACACATTACTATTGTTGGTGACCGCATTAAGGTAATCTTGCGGTTTTAAAAAATGGTTAATGGAGGTTAATAGTTATGTTGCGTCGACAGGACATGAAGCATGATGTGAGAGACAAGAGATATATGGAGTCGGAAAGCATCCTCGGGGGCTTGACACCTTGCGGCTAAAAAGACTGCAACTCCTTACTCTTGTTCTTGCGCTCTGGTTTTCATACATCTTACCAGAGTGTTATTGAGTCTCTCAAGCTGAATAGACTGAATAGATCTTTAAAGAGCTGCTTAAAATATAAATAAATCATAAAAGATTTTAAATAGTTAAATTTTGAGGTATTTGTTTAAATTCTCAAGCTACAAAACATCAAAAGTAGGATATAACAGTATAAAGTCTTTTTTAACTGGTTAACATAAATGTATATAAGTGAATGATTGTTATTCTTGCGGACGATTTACTTAAAAACTCTGCAGCACGCATCGTGCGATACAAATATTCTTGTATCGAAGGAAAGTTGGACGGACTCTACAACAACATCGACTGCTTTAGCAATTTAACGGGGATATAGGTATAAGAACACGGACACGAGGAGTTGCTCGAGATAGTTCGGTATAATACACCACACCCAGTCTTACACCGTGTTTTAAAGATATGGCTGTGCTTTTAAAACTGCTTGTAAGTATTTTATAATTACGTTTTTTTTTTTTTTTTTTTTTTTTTTTTTTTTTTTTTTCATAATTAATAATTATGGTAACATGCATGACAATAGTTACGAAAGTTGAGTAATGAATATCAAAACCAGAATTACTTAATTGGTAATCAGTAAATTGTTTTGTTTTAACAAAAAGGTCAAGTTAATCGCAATTTAATTATTAATTAGAGTTAATCTGATATTTATACGTTTAAATAATTAACTTAGTTTACTTTTTTTTTTTTTCTAGATATTAGAAAATGTACTAACAAAAGAGATTAGAGCAATAGTGCTCCGAGATATGTATCCATGCAATTAATTGAGATTGCAAGAGACACGTCGCTGTAAACTAGATCGTGATGTAATTTAAAAGTAATTAAAAAAGTACGGCAAAAAGAGTAATTTTCATTCACATAAATGGCATATAAGTCGTATGAAAATTATAAAATTGTCATATATTTTGAAACATTTGTTTACGAAAGAAGTTAACTGCGTGAAGCTACTGAGATTACACTTGCTACATGAGCAGATCGAGAATATACTTGATGCATAAAGCAAAATGAATTAAAAAAAATAAAACTTGCGTATTTATTGCGTGACCACAACGTAGAGAAAGAGAAAGTGTAACTTTTCACATCTCACCAATGAATATTAAATTCGGTTAATGTCTCACTGGGTCTTTAGATCGATATGTAATTTTTCCTTTAAAAATGACCAAAAAAATTTTTTTATAAATTATATATTAATCCATTTGCTGATCATTGTTCATTACATAATTGTAATGCAATGGTTCATTAAATAGATAAATTAATAATAATTATGGTACATGTTATGTATAATTCATGAGAAAATTCTTATCAAGTATGTTCATTGGCTCGATGCAGGTAGTCGATGAAAGAACAAGAGCGTTGGAAGTCGAGTAAAGTAGTGATAGTGGAATGTGGCGTGGTCGGTCACCACTAAATTGAATGTTTTAGAATCAACGTAAGAGAGTTTAAGAGAAAGTAATGTAAATTTTTCTCAGCACGTGCCATATATTTTATGGTTAACATGTTTATATAGAAATTTAAAACCTTTGATACATACAAAAGAAAGTCTTCTTATGAATAATTACCATAACAATATCACCACTCTGTAATTTCCATCAATCAATCAACAACAACACTATTAGTTATTCTCATTACTTTAATTAATAGTTAATTTATTTATATTTTCATTTTTTAGCTACTTATTTGTACAGTGGAAATAGCGAGAGCTCAATTTCCAGATGGTGATAGAGGAAATGCACCAACACGTCGACTACCTACTATGAGGACATCGGTACGTTTTCTTCCTCGACAAGCTGCTCGATCTAGTGCAGTAACACCGACTATTGTACCTAATCCACGTTTACGTCGTCCAATACCATTAAAGTAATTATTTATTGCTAGTTAGATTGCACTATATTTAATTTAAAAATCTCATAATTCAATTGCACTACAACAACAACAACAACAACAATAATAATAATAATTTTATGAATGAATAGATCACGACCGACATCGGAAGCGAATGAAATCCAGCAAGTAACATTACCACGTGCCAAGCCTACATTTCTTCCAACGTTGAAATCGGAGAATCTATCAACTCCGCCTCCTCAATTGCTGCAACAAGACCAGCCGATAAAACCAGTAAGCGAGGAAGCCAGAGAGGAAGAGGAAGATATTAACCAATCTTTCATTAAGCAACTAAATTCATTACATGCATTTCCTCAACCGACCGGTAGTTTATTCTCAAGTCCTTTAACGCCAAAACCAGAACCCATATTCCAATATCGTCCGGGTTTCAACTCGCCGGTTTTCATTCCAAGACAAATTCAGTACCAGCAACAACAACAACAACAACAACAACAACAACAACAGCACCACCAATCATCTCCAACTCCAACGCCAACTCCGTCTCCAACACCAACCCCATCTCCAGTGACGCAAACGACACTAGCTCAACATCTTCATGAAGAAATAATTGCTCCAGTACAATATCGGCCGCCAAAGCCAGTCAAATTCCGCAAACCCATTGATGAAGAAGAAACTCGTGCTCCCGTAAAACAACACCGAAAACAACAACAGCATCAGCATCAGCATCAACAGCAGCAAAATTCACAATCTGAAGTTATATCTGAACCACAGCAATATCGGCCACAAGCAGACCAGTGGCGACAACAACCAGTTAACAAACAATCAAGCAAGAAGGCGCAGTATCGTGAGAAGAAACCTGTTGCGCAGGTTGTTAGACGATGGCGAGAAGACAATTCTGACGGGTCAATAACATGGGGATATGAGAACGATGACGGTTCTTATAAAGAAGAGGTAATTGGTGTTGATTGTATAACACGTGGTAAGTATGGTTACATTGATCTAGATGGTATCAAGAGAGAGTACACATACGTGACTGGTATCAAGTGCGATGAACAAGAACACGAGGAGCTACAGGATGATCTAAATGGATTTGTCGATTATCAAGAGAACAAGCTAGTCTTCCCCAACGGCAAAACCATCGACTTGTCTAGTATGGGCAAAAAACAATCACGTAGACCGCAGCATGTTTACAGAAATTAAACATTTGTTTTATTCTATTGCTTATTGTTACATTTATTAATATTTTAGTTTAGAAATAAGACAATTACCTCCCTCAGGCTAATTCCATTATTTTTTATTTTCATCTGTCATTGCTATAATGCATACATGTTCGTTTGTTTATTATTATTATTATTATTATTATATTTTAAATTATTTCATCATCATACAAGGCAACGTGTCAATATAATGTTGTTCATTATTATATTATCATTGTGTGTTATCAATATATATATATAATAATTAGTAGATTACTACATATAATAATGTATTGCTTGTAATATTAGGGATTCTAGCTAAATCTTTTGGTCCATTGAAATTACCGTACGTTAAGAGTACGCGAATAAAAAAAAAGGTAAATTGTAAATATTAGTATTATTTATCGGCTTTCTTTAGGTAAGTATATATAGTGCATCCATTTTTTTATAGTTTACACTACATACATGTATTTTTTAATTAAGCAAATATGACGAAAATAGCAGTAAGCAATAAAAAAAAATAAACTGAGTGCAAATTTATAAAAAAGAAAACACTGATTGGAATATTAAATAGATTAATAGCTTAGATTCCAATTTATAAATTAATAATTAGTAAAACAATTATATATAAAAAGAAATTGATGATAACGCTAAAAACATAAATCTGTGTAACATTTGAAATATATTACTTTAAACTTTTTTTTTAATACTTTTGAATTGATTAACGAGAATAAGATGAACAATGATTAATGATATGAAACATAAATGATGTGTAAATAATCATACAATACCTCTAAATGATTAACAACTATACACAATTTTATAAAAAATAAATTATAGAAAAATACTATTGTATTTAAACGAAGCAAGTATTGTCATAAATAAGCATGTATTCAATGAAACGCGTCCAAAAATAGTTATTTTAAATGAAATGAAAAAGTGCACATAATAATATACAAATATGTACATAATATTAAATAAATATTTATATTTAATACTTGCTTTAATTATGATAAATATTTTTCTTTAAATTAATTTTGAATTACTTTTACTTTATCATCTACTTTAAAATTTTTATAACGGACAATTATCAACAGCACGCAAAATAAAATTTCATAAAAGTAACTGCTATAATTCATAATTATCAATCTGTAGTTAATGTAATTAACAATTAACGTTAACAATAAACTTGCTATTACGCAACATTTCATGAATTTGATTATGCAATGTTCTAATAAGTAGAGGTAGGTATAATATATCGTTGTGTATATGATGAACTTTAATGAATCAACTCTTTCGGCCTGTTGATTCTCGATAAATTAATGAAATAACAATTCTAGCTTTGCAAAATCAACAATTAATAAGCCGGGCTTGTTACTGTCGACACTTGTTTTTGGGATTCATGTTGACCTTGAGCTGGAATTCCACTTCGGCGAGCTCGAAATTTGAGCCAAGCGTCATAACCATAGCATAGCATAGCGCAAAATCCAAAAAACTAAAACAAAACATACTAAATGTAGAATTATTCAAATTTTTTTTTTTTTTTTTTCAAATTCATTCAATTAATAAAAATCTTACGGCTGCAGCTCGGAATCCTTCAATAGCTCGTCCTGAGTCAGCAGCCAGAGATGCTGCTAGTAGGTAACACGGGGTCATTATAGCGCAGAAAATTAATTCCTGTGGAAGAAATGATGGTATTATAATTTTACTTATTAAAAATAATTATCAAAATATCAAACACGAGCATATAAAAATCGATAAGAACGTTCTAAACAACCGCTAGTGTGCATAAGTATGAATTTTTTGAAACATGTTTACTTCTATGTAAAATAAAATATTTTATGTCTTAATTAAACTCAAATAATTTTTTTTATTATACTAATTGTAAGCTATAGGCATACTTAAAATTTGGTGCGTGATACTACTGTTTTAAGTGTAACATTCAGTTAAATTTATTACTAAAGTAAAGGATAAATAATTGCACACCTCATAACGCGATGCGTTTGAAGTAGTGCTTTAATTTCAACACGTCAAAGTCAAGCAATTTTCAACGTTTCACTAACTAAATAAATGATTCATAGTATAAAATTGAATAAATTATATTACTATAAATGAGAAGTATAATTTAATATCTAGTTTATTAAATAAAATCAATAACAGGAAATTAAAAATTAATACCGGAAATGTCGAGGACTTACATACCTGACTGTTACTATTCGTATCCTTACTGTTAAAACCAGTGGAAAAATAAATTGTTTATGAAAATGATTATAGTGTAATGACAGCATTTATTTAAAAAAATTTATAAGTATTTTGTGTAATGAAGTCAAGTGTTTTAGAAACATAGAAACACGAAAGTGAATACAAAAAAATTATAGTTAAATATTTTTATAGAATTCGATACTCACAATAGTGGTCCATGGTATCTTGTGGAATTTTTCAATTACGTGGAATATGAAAAGAGCTAAAAGAGTTCCAGTACACCAAAATCCTATCATTGCAACTGTATTAAACCATGCTCCACGACTTGATTGTACGTAACTGGAAACTGATACACATATGAATCCCAATAAATCCAATACCTGAATTACACGAATAATTAAATCATTAATAATAATTATTTAAAAATTTATATATTAAAAATGATTACCATTCGTCCAATTTTTAACATTCCAGGGAATGTTCTTATATATGAAAGATCCATTCTCAAATTTTGCTGAAACGTTGACGTACTCGTCGTCGTCGTTGTTGTAGTGTGTTGTCCAGGAAACCCTTGCTCCATTTTTATTTTATTTTGTATTCTTTTACCTATAAAAATAAATTTTATAAATTACTTAATAGAAATGAATTTTAAATTTAAATAGTGATAGCTTTAGAAATGAAGTAATTCTATAAAACGAATAATGAATTCAATTCATGGTAAATTACAATGCGTGTGGGCGTTAGCATCAAACATCATGTCATTAAATATCGATTATCTCGGTCATAAAAACCTCAAAAATTAATATAATAAAAGAATTCGGTATTACAAAACTAAAATTAGAAATAATTATTTGTTAATCAATAACTGATACATAAACGTCAGTCAATTAATCAAGAAATATACTTATCAATCAAATTGTCATCTTACTACGTACAATGTGAAAAGAACACGTCAAATTAATGGTAACAATAACTTTGATAAGAATTAATATAAATATATCGATGATTAAATATGACTGTCAAGATATTCAGAGTAAATAATAAATATGAGATACTATAAATAAATTATTGAAAAGCAAAATAACATTTTTTAAATAATTTTACAATTAAATTGATGGTTAATAAATAGTGACGTTATTTATAAATATAAAATGAATAAATTAATTAATAGTAAGTTTACGTTGAGTATAATCTCTGAATGATCTTAGCAGGAGATATTAAAAAAAAAAAAACTCATGAGAATTACTACCAACAGAGATGCTGCAATACTACAATGGTGATGACCTAATACACAGTATTTTTAAATTATTGCATTTAATATATAATAAAAAAAAAAAAAATTAAACTTTCTCACATATATGACAATAGTTAAAAAAAATTCCAGTATAATTACAGTACAATAATTACAATGTAGACAATACATACAAAAAACTTAAAAACAAAAAAAAATTTACCAAACACAAAAATATAATAGTAGGCGGATTATTTAAATATTCCACATATAACAGAAATGTAATGTAATATTTTATATCGATCTGATTAAAATCGATGTTTATACATAAAATGGATTTGAGACGACGCCGTTTACTAACTCAATTCTAATGTTTCACTAGAATGTATTTATAATTTTAGTTTACAGTTATATATTATTTTTCCATGCGTACAAGTTTATAGGACAGTAAACAGATTATTTGTGTCAATACTCAGTAATGTTAGTTGGTTAATAGTACCTTTACTGGAGACTACACACAGTAAACCGAACTTTTATGGCTCAAGAACATTAAAAACGTTGAACGCTCACTAAAACTAAAACTATTCGAGTCGGTAACAAACTTTTACAACATTTCCCACCACGAATTTTTCTCTTAGATTAAAACCTGGTACTCGAGCGACACCACTGGCCAAAGTATGAATTAGAACATTTGAAAATAATTTTATTAACATGGAGTTTGGTCACTTGTCTAGTCTCCATAATGCCTTATTATTGGATTTATTTAATTTTTAATTAATTTAATTTTAAAATATTTATAAAATAATAATTATTAGTTAATAATTACTGCGCTGTACTGTGTTATTGATTGGTGGTGACATTTCTTACTATATCAGCAATTCTACTGGTAACTTATCGATTTACTAATTTTTTTTTGTTGTTTATTTTTTGTTATGATGGAAATATTTCAAATGTCAAAATATTTTGATAATTATTGAAAAAATATGACAATTTAAGATAAATAAAGAAATTTGGATCTTTTAAAAATCTATTTTGTGCTTGCATTATCTTCAAGATACTTTTTTTCAAAAACTCATCTGAATGAAGATCATATTGGTATTAATTGAAAAAAAGAAGAAATAAAAATATATGCGGATAAAAAATAAAAAAAAACTAACAATTTAACAATTATTATGTTTCAGGCCTTCAGGTAAATTAATTCTACGAAAAACAATTAAAAATTTTAAATTTTATTTGAAATTAAAACTGGACATGTACTACCAGCTTGTATGTATACCTAGACATCCATTTTTATAATAATAAGTTTATTTTTAATAGACAGAGTGAGAAAAAAAAGTCTTCTGACACTTCCGGGTGATTATAAAGACCCCGATATATTTACAAGATCGCGGATACTCGGCAGAAAGTGGCAGCAATCCAAGCTTTTCGAATCCCAAAATAGAATGGCTACATTAGCTGCTGGTTGAGGTTTGCAGCAGTGCAGCAGACGTTTGTCGCGGCTTAGAAGCCCCGAAGAAGTTTTGTGAACCGAGAAGAGACCGGTCGAAAAATATTTTCTCCATCGGTTGCAGTCGGGATAAATTTCTCGAGTTTCACCGCCATCCTGGACACTTTTCCTGGATCACATGAGCGTAAGTTTTATAATAAAACTCCTAACTCCTACTAGATTTTTTTCTAATTCTTTAAATCCCATCCCGAGTAACACTTATAAAAACTAAAATACCTCTTATTCATATATATATATATATATATATCAAGCTCGATTTATTTTTGATACTGTTTTATTGGATCTTTTGCATTAAAAATGGATATAAATCTGTGTGTGTTTATTATTTTTTATTTTATTATTCAATAAGTTAACGTGTTGAAAAATGTATTGAGACTATAAACTAAGATGTGATCTGTTTGTTGACTGAAGAAACATTGCCATAAGCTAGATCTCAACGAGTGAATGTGTAGTCACGATGCTTAGTTTATTTTTGGCTGAGAGCAATGCTTTTTCCTTAGTTTCACAAATAGATTCTGATCATCTCATCCTGTTCTGTCGCTATAATACTCTCCCACATCTTATTATAAAATACGTACAACAATCATCGTCATTCTTTTATAATAATTCATAGTTATTTTATTAATAACAGTACTTAATTCAACGCAATTATATATATATAATGTAACATGTTTTTAAAATTACCAGATACTGTCTTTTGATTTTAATTGTTCAAACAGAAGTCAGGAGCAGAAAAGTGGCGGCCAATGGCCATTTCTAATCCATCAACACGCTTAAGAATGGCGCGTTCAATGCCTCATTGGGTTATGGTATTTTTTATTACATATTTATCAGCCGTAGAATTTAAATAATCAAAAATTAAATGATGATAAAAATGATTGATTTTTGTTCAAAAGGCACAAGAACAATCAAAATCAGCAGAAAAATTACGACGACCGCCAACACCACCTAAAATCCCGCCACCATCTCTAACCGGGGACTGCGGCGATCCCGACTACGAAGTAATCGAGTTCACAGGAAACCCCCAGCAGACTTCGAGGACTAATAATAACGGAAAAGCATTAGAACTTACAAGAATAACATCAACAAACAACAATAATAATGTCAATAAATGTGCTCTGTGCGGCGCGCATAATTTATTCGCAAGATGTGACGCGTGCAATGAAAATTTTTGTGAGACTTGCGACGACATGAATCATAAACATCCCAAACGACGTGGTCATGTACGCAGACGAATTGTAACTGATCATAACCAAATGAATTTTCGTACTAGACCACCATTACCACCCAAAGGCGAAACTCCACTGAATCCTCCAGTACCACCGCCGAGAAGAAATCGTAGAAATACTCAGGTAGGATGCGCTCTATCCTGATCACTTAGATCCTTTGAAGTCTAATTGTATATGTAAATATTATATTTTTGTACGAAATTCTGCATTATTTATTTTATTTATTTATTTATTTATTTATTGAAAGTGTGCTTAAATTAATTTATGTGAAAATTATTTATTTAAAGAAGAAATTTTATTTTTTATAAATTACGCAGAGTTTCGTTATTTAGTCGAGTCACTACAACGATGATAAATATTAATAATTCTATGTCACACCGAGGCGACAATTGTTTATTTATTGATTGTACAAATAATTTATGTAATCAAGTCGACTTGAAAGGACATTACAGGGCTAATAGTTATCACAAATAGTTGCTTTAATTCCTGAACCTCAAACCCTTTTATATATAAAAATTTATATTACAAACAATAAACATAAATAAATTTAAATAATCATCGACACGAAGAATCACAACCAAATGAGTGTAAATGTAAATGTTGGCGATCATTATCAATTTTTTGGCTTTCACACTTTTGAAAATTAAGATTAATTATGATTATCAAGATCCCTCAGCTATTAAATGTAAGGTTTACGCGCCTAGGCAAGGCCGTCGGTTAATCAGGATCCAGGAGGCATCTCGTTTTCCGATAAAGTTGGAAGTTTGAAAAGAAACAGCATCAATGTCCAAGGAAGACCGTTGCCGTCTGCGCCAGAATCATCGTTAATTGCATCTAAGTCCGTCCAGTCGCTTAATACTTCTAATAATGCTAATGATCCCAATGGAGCTGGCATGGATAAAATGTCAACACTTCAGGTTTAATTTATTTCTTATATATTTATCATAAAATATTAGCTTTATTTAAATTATAAGTTAAATTTATTTGATAGGAGAGATATAGAAAGTATCAGGAAGCTATGAGAGCTCAGGATGCAAATAGAAGAAGAATTCCCACACCAGAAACTCCTAGAGAAGCTCCAAGTCCTAGACCAGTGAGTCTTGGTAGTTCCAGAGGTAATTTGATGGTACCTCCACCACCTCCAAGAACTGGAATGATGCAATCGTCGAGTGTTTGTGACTTGTCTTCTCAGAATTTATGGAACCCAGCAATGCAACAGGTAATTCATCAATCATTTTCATGTAAATTTTTTAATTTTATAAATAAACTTATTCCATTTAATACTAATTAGAATAAAAAATGGTGGGTCAGAAAATTTTCATTAGTTTTCAAAATTTAATCAAAATAATATAATTTTAGGCTCAGTCGATGGCTCATCTGACTCAGCGTATGCCGATGATGTGGTACCCACCACCAGGAAGTCCCTGGGACAATCCAATCAGTGGTTCCACGATGAGTTTGAATCATCCAGCAATGTGGGGTTATCCGATGGGTTATAATCAAGCAATGTTACCTCCTCATTATCCGTCGGCTAATGTATCCAGGTGCCCTAGTCCAGCGAGAAGCTACAAGTCTGGCAGACGCAGTAGAGCTGCTTCGCCGTCGTTCAGCCAAAAGTCTAGAAAATCTGTAGTGTCGAGAGTAAGGCGGTCACCAAATTCGACCGACGCGAGTTCTGAAGAATCTGATGACTCTGATTTCGATGATCAGTTGTCCAGAAGCTCGAGAAATCTTCGGAGGGGCAATGTATCCTCGAGGCGAATCACGGGATATCATGATGTTGATGACAATAGGTCGACAATGTCTCGAAGTCGTAGAGGGTAGGTTTTGATTTTAATTTTAATTTAATGTAGATTTTATTTTTAATTATTTAATATTAATATTTTTAATTTTTTCACAGAAACTGGAGATCTGAGGATAGAATTAACGGAATGAATTCTTCATCATCACGAAATTTGGACTATGAAGATTTAGAGTTTCGTTCTGTGTCTTCTAGACAGCAGTCAGAGAATGACGATATTCGCAGAAGAAGAAATACAATGGATCATTATTTATCTTCGCGACAAAATTCCGAAACTGATGATAGCCGTGGCCGTAAACGTACTGAGCCTACAAATGTTAATCCAGACTCACGATCGCGTTTAATGTCCTCTCGGCATAACTCAGAGACTGAAGATGATCATAGGTTGCGACGCAAAACAGAATCTTTTAATAATGATGAGAAACTGATGAAAAATAATGGGACATTACGGAGTCGTCGAAAGTCTAATGCTGAATACGAACGTGAAGTTTTAAACAAAAAAACGAATTCAAATACTACGCGAAACAGATTTGCCAATTCGTCTGATAGTACTGGCGAATTAATTACGACTAATAATAATAATAATAGTAATAATAAACGCGCTGAATCAGTTGTTAGGGAAATAAAAAAATCTCCATTGAGAGAAGTAAGAAAGTCAGTTGAAAGAGAAGTTATCAGGGAACCAACTCCTAAAGAATCAATAAAAGAACCAACTCCAGAGAAAAATCATAAAGTACAGCCTGATGAAAATATTAAACAAGATAAAATTAATGAAGCGAAATCTTCGGCATCTCAGATTAAAAAAACTTCTCAACAACCAGCAGCAGAAGAAAAGACTGAAGAAGATAAAGAATGGGCATGTGAACATTGTACGTTTATAAATGAAGCTAAAGAACGGGTTTGTATTGTTTGCTGCAAAACAAAGCGGAGTGCACTCCCTCCCAATCCGGAGAATACTCCAGAATCTTCAGAAAACGTTCAAGAATCCACACCTGAACCCGCAACAAAGGTTTCCAGCATAAAAATGTCCAATGGCGAAGAAAGCGGGGACAGCACTGCGACTACCCAAAGCAAAGGTAGAACGAGACGAAAAATAAGCTTTTCTTTTGGTACTAAAGTATTTAAATAGTTTAGAACGAGTTAACTATTTTAAAAATATCAGAAGATTAACTATTAATATATATATTTAAATTTCATAATTTATTTTAAAAATTCTTAAACATTTCATTTTATTTATAAAAGCTATGTAGTAACGTGTCTTGAATGAATAATAAAGAAATATTCGAATAAAAATTGAAACATAAAGAAAATTTCTTTTTTTTTTTTATTATTCATTCAAGTAATTCCTATCCTACATTTGACGATATTTTCCTTTACCAATTTATTTATTTTATTGCAGATGTAGAAATAGTAAAAAATGACCAAGAATTAAATTCAAACATTGTTGAAGACAATCAAACAAATAAGTTAGAGTCGGTATTAAATTCATCGCTTCGTGAAAACATAAAAACTCATGCTTCAATATCTACATCCACTTCTCCTATTAAGGAGTTGGAAGAAACTACTTCTGAAGTTATAAAAACTCAAGATAATGTCCCTCCACCAGTTCCTACTGTGTTGTCGCCAACTCCTATTCGAGCTTCAGAAACTCCTGACGTTGGACCTTCACCCGTCCCTTCGATTGCTTCAATAGAAAGGGGGACATCACCTCCACCTCAAAGTATCGCTACTCAGGTTTGTATTACTTCGGTTGATTTATTCATTGAAATTATATTAATAAAGCGATATAATTATATCTAATCGTATGAATTTTTTTTTTAATATTTTAGACTTATGAAGTACCACCTAAAAATAATGGAGTTGGAAAAAAATCCAAAGAATATCGCGATCAAAAAGGGATTTATCAAGATGAAAGTGATGGCGAGGTACGTTTATTGAAATAAGTAATTTAAAAAGTACATACTATTTGCAATATTTATAATTGATATTGGAAGTGAGATTTTATTATAGGAAATAAGATACACAAATAGTCCAGATTTGTATCCTCGAGTCCATTATCAGCATATTAATCAACCAACTTCGTCTCATGGAACAAGAAGAAATTCTATTGATTCAACGCATCTTTATTTTCATTCTAGGGTAAAAAATTAACTGTGACCTTTTTTTCCTTAACTATAATTCCTCTTTTTCCTTTTTTTGTTTATATTATTTTAATAATTTATTTATTTTTTATTTATAATCCAGAAGTAGATGCTTTTTTATATTTTTGTTTATTGTTTGTACTTGATTTAATTGCGTAGCCTCGGTGTGATCATAGAATAATTACAATAACTTTAAATTGATTTAAAAGAATTTATTTTGCGTTTGTAAATGTAAAGTAGTATTCTAAATTAAATAAAACAAAACTGTTACAGGACATTAATCAATCGAGATATCATCAAGACTCGCCAACAATTGGACCGGTGTCTCCAAGTGTATCGACTCTGACTCGTCAAGGCTTGGAGATTGTTGAACTTTTACGTGAAGCTGAACGTCAAGGATTTTCAGCTGATGACATTCAAGTGGCACTGGCACAAGGCGCTGTTAATCCTATTGATTGGCTTATAAATCAGTGGCCACATCTCATTGAAACTGTTCAAATTCTCGTTTCGACGAGGGGAAAAGAAATGCCTGATTGTAAAAATGACATTGGATTTTTATCGATTGTTGAAGCGAAAGAAGTTTTGCGCGCCTGTAAAGGCGATGTTTGGACGAGTGTCACTCGTGCTATTCAACTCAGGCAACAAAAGGTTTGCTAAAAAAAAAAGATGATTATAATTTGAAATTAATAGTAAAATTTAAAATACTAAAAAAAATTTTTTTTAATGATTTAGGTCGCCGAAATAAAAGCTAAAGGTAATTTTTCATTAGTTGATGTTGTTCGAGCACTTGATAATAATGCAGGCAATGAAGATCGATCCTAAGCTTTTAGTCCAACTTAAAGCACACAGAAATACTGTACCTGTACCACGTCATTGGTGCTTCAAGAGAAAGTACTTGCAGGGAAAGAGAGGTATTGAAAAGCCTCCGTTTGATCTTCCTGACTTTATTAAACGGACTGGTATCACTGAAATGCGGGCAAGTCTTCAAGAGCGTGATGACGGGCGTACTCTCAAGGCCAAAATGCGGGAAAGAGCTCGGCCTAAGTTGGGTAAAATTGATATTGATTATCAAAAGCTTCATGATGCTTTTTTCAAGTGGCAAACAAAGCCGCGTATGACCATTCACGGGGATTTGTATTACGAAGGCAAAGAATTTGAGACTAGATTGAAAGAAAAGAAACCTGGTGAGCTGTCTGATGAATTGAGGACTGCTTTAGGTATGCCGGTTGGTCCTAATTGCCATAAAGTTCCTCCGCCATGGTTGATCGCTATGCAGCGATACGGACCACCGCCAAGTTATCCAAACTTGAAAATTCCAGGATTAAACGCACCTATTCCAGAAGGATGTGCCTTTGGGTATCACGCTGGTGGATGGGGTAAGCCTCCGGTTGACGAGACTGGTAGACCGCTCTACGGAGACGTTTTCGGCGTCGCCAGACCTCTTGGTGGTGACATTATGGACGAAGAAGTCGATCGTGGAATGTGGGGAGAGCCGGAGTCTGAATCTTCTGGTGAAGAAGACGAGGATGAAGATGGCGAGGAGGAAGGTGATGCTGATGGCAAAGACGTCGATGGTGATGGTAGTGGTCTGATTACTCCTGGAGCCGAGGGACTTATCACTCCAAGTGGTATTGCTTCTATTCCAGCGGGTCTTGAAACTCCAGAAACTATTGAGCTGAGAAAGAAGAAAATTGAGAGTGAAATGGAGGGTGGTGATACTCCGGCACTGTACACGGTGCTACAAGAAAGGCGCACTGAAGGGCTGGGTGCTAGCATGATGGGCAGTACTCATGTGTATGATATGACTGGAGCCGGTGGGCAAGCCCCGCCGTCTGTCATCGCTGCGGCTCGACGAGGCATGAGTGGCTCGGCTTCTGAGTCGAGGGTCGAGAAAGATGGTACTGTCGAAGTGGCTCTAGATCCTAGTGAGCTTGATCTCGACTCAGAAGCCATGGCTTCGAGGTATGAAGAAACTATGCGCTCCAGGCAGGCTCATTTGCGGCGCGAAGACTTGTCTGACATGCTGCAAGATCATGTCCAACGACAAAAGGTATTTTGTTTATTATTTTTATTTTTACTAGCAACCTTGCAGTCACTATGTAACTTCCGTGACTTATGAACTATGAATAAGTAAAATTTTGCTTTATTAAATAATGACTTTTGTTAAATTGCACTGTACTTTTTTTTAATTATTGAAGTTTTTAAAGATATAAGCTCATCCCGATGTTACACTCATCAAGAGCTTTCATTTGAGTACCCACATGCATTTTGATATATTTTTCATATATATACATATATATATATATATATGAAAAATTGATGTGGGTACTCAAATGAAAGGTCTCAGTGAGTGCAATGTCGGGGTGAGCTTATATTTTTATAAATGTCAATAATTCACAAAATGCAAGGTCATTTCTTAATTATGTTAAATTGCACTGTAATTTTTTAACTATTGGTGTTTTTAAAGATATAAGCTCATCCCGATGTTACACTCGTCGAGAGCTTTCATTTGAGTACCCACATGCATTTTCATATATTTTTCATATATACATATATATAAATATATGAAAAATTGATGTGGGTACTTAAATGAAAGGTCCTGATGAGTGTAACATAGGGATGAGCTTATATCTTTAAAAATGTCATAATAATATAGATAAAATTTTTTGAGCTGTTTTGAGCTATATCATTAATTTTATTGGTTATTTTTGTTACAGAGCAAACGGAAGCGCCAGCAAGGACAATCTGAGGCGAAATCATCCAAAAAATACAAGGAATTTAAATTTTAATTCAGACTTATATGTGTTTGTCGACAATTATTTATCGTGTAATAAGTTCTATTATTGGATTAGAAAAAAAAAAAAAAATAAAATTGAAAAAAAAAAACAATAAAAAATAAAATTTTTAGGGGATTTATTAATGTAAAAAATTAAACTAGATGTTTTTTCAGCGTTTTTCGTGATGAGAAGTCAACAGTCATTAGCGGACTCGAAAGATGGTAGAGGACTAAAAAGAGACATGGAAGTGTTACTGCGATAGCGTAACGGCTTATTGCAGTGCCGATGTCTAGCCAGCTGCCTTGAGGCGTTACGGTAAATATCAGCGGCAATGACAGACAGTCACCTAGCAGCAAAACGGCTAAGAATATTGAAGATGACGCCAGCACACGGCTCGCACATCCGACTAGAATCAATGGAATCGCTAGTTTTAATAAAATCAATGCTGACATCGTGAAAGGTGAAAAGAGTGTGATGAAATGTTTGGTCCACATCGGGTCAAATGAACTTATGCTCGCCATGTTTCCTGTTCCGAAAAATGACAGAAGTATGTACAGCATCTGAGAGATAAAATTAAGGATTAATATTTTTCTGACTTTAAAGAAGAAAATAAAATTCTTGATTGAAAAATTTAAATTAAATTAAATGAGTCTTTAAAAAGGATACAAAGTACGCAGCTGTAACGAGATCAGATGGGCTCAATGATCTTCTGCAATGTCCAGTTGATTTTAATTCCTCATCATTATTGTCGTTATCCAGCAGTGTCATTAAATGAATAGCAAGCAGTAAATAAACTTGAGGCTCATAAGAAGCTGAGAGTAATACTAATGGGCAAAATAGGCCGTAAGTTACCCCAGTTAATCTCTTTTTTACATCATCTGCGGGGTGTAGAAATATACTGATTGGACTAGAAGCTAAAATAATCCACGATAGTCCTGTTCTACCGTCTATATCACCAGTCAATATTAAGGTTGTCAGAGCTAGGCGTAACAACTCAATTATCAATATATGGGATGGCAAATTGTGTATCACCAAAGCCACCGCTGCTACAGCCACACTTATCAGTCTGTAATATTAAATCGGTCATTGAATTTGTTGATTAAAAAATAATCGAACGATTTAAAATAATTATTTTTACATACACTATTCCAGTCTGAGGATCTGGTTTCACAGTAGGCAATGCCGGATAAATAGCAAGCGCTAAAGCCGTTAAGATTAATAGTTTATCAGGCTTTTTAATTGTCAACTTCTGCATTATAGCCGTTATTACCATTGCCAAGCTAAAGAATAATTTGTTAAATAAACCAGCAGACATGGTTAATAACAATAGAACTGTACCGCCGATTATTATTCTTATTGGTTCATTTTTTTTGACATGATACACTGGAACTAATACCAACGGGGCACAAAATCCAAGCCACACAAATATAAGCGCTGCTATGCCGTAATATATAACTCTAGAGTCTTTTCTACCTGAAACTAAATTTCAAAGAAATTAATTAGTAATTTTTGTACTATTGTATTATTGTAATTTTAAAAAAAATAAAATTGATATTTACAAAAGTGTTCAGTAATCAATGTTACTAAAGCGATCAAAAATGATAAATTAAGTAGAGTATGATATGCACTTTTGACTTTGTAAGTATTGTTTAAGTGACTTCGTGGAGTCCCAGTTATTTTTAGTACCAACAAAACAATCCATCCAAGCCACATCAAAGTTAAATAAACAATTAATTGATTTTTTTGATACTGTCGATAGTAATATAAATAACTTTTACATTTTTCAATAGTTTCTTCCGCTACTCTTATAGCTTCGACTACTTTATTGTCATGTAATAGTTTTTCAACTTTATCTATCATTTTTTCTAATTCACGTTCTCGCCAGTTTGAATATGAAGAACCTTCGCCACTCGCAGTCAAACGATTTCCTTTTACTTGGTTCAATAATTGTTTTATATTGTTCAATAGAGCACGTGCTCCGTATTCCTGATTACCAGATTGCAAGTATAATCTTGGTAAAACTCCCTGTTATTAATTAAAAAAAAAAAAAAAAAAAAAAAATCAGTAATTAAAAATTTATTTTCATAGTAATTAATTTTAATGGTAAAATGGTAAGTCATACTTCGCTATTGACAGGAATAGAAATTCCAAGAAGCGATGCAACAAGAGGTGCAATGTCTGCTTGCTCAATATCACGACGACCTGACAGATGACTAACCCCAGCACCCCAAGCGATAAAAGGTGTCTCAGTTTCGTCATCGGAGCCACTACCATGCGAACCCCAGTCCGTCATTCCATGGTCAGCAGTGAATATGTAAGCAGTGCGACTGTCTCCAAAAAATTTGTCGACACTTTTCACCACTTCTTTAATCTTCTGGTCGACAAATTTCAAGCTCTCTTTGTACTCTCTGAATCCAAAGCACAACATAGTCTGTGATGATAAAAATTAAATACATCTAGCTAATTGGTAATAAATAATTACAGCTTTACGTACTTTGAATGGGGTTTGCTGGCGTGACCTGCAGTATCGCAACCAAGTAAATGGAAAAATAGAAGAACTCCTTTTCTACTTTTTATCTTTATTGCATCTCTATCCAGCCATTCAAAATACTTTTTGAAAACCCATGAGTCTAGAGTTATTGGAGAATTGGAAGCTTTGTCAAAATCCTGCCACTCTGCTGGATAGCTGTCACCGCGTACGTTTAAATGACTCCCTTTATTTGGAAATTATTTTATAAAATTAGAATCATTAATTTTTATTTAATTAAAAAAATTTCAAAAATTTTGACAAGTATTTTAAATAAATAAGAAAAAATTAATTTTTTTTTAATTGAAATATTTTTTATCAAAGTTATTTTATTATTTCTTTTCGGAAAATAATCAATCAAGTTATGACACTGAATTTAACAGACATCTAACAATTTTTTAGATTATAACAATTAAATTACAATGAAAAAAATTCCACATGTAAAAATTTCAAACAATTATTGGTGCGAATTTTTTAAAATATGTTTTTTATAATAATTGATTGGTTATAAAAATTCCAAAAATTATCAAACGTCTGTTAATTATGAAAATAAAATTAGCAGACAGCTGACAATTTTCAGAATTTTTTTTATTAATAAAAGTATCACAAAAAAATTAAAAGAAAAAATTTCACATGTAAAAAATTTGAAAAATCATATGTGCAATTTTTTAAAAATATTTTTTTATTGCAAATTCAATTAGTAAAAAATTATCGGCTAATTTTAGTTTCATCTGTTAATTTCAGTATCATATCAAGTTTTCAAGTAATGTCAAAATTTTTCAGATTCTTTAATTATAAAAAAATAGTAAAATACCTTTGACAAACATTGGAATAATATCAGGACTTCCCCAAGCCCATGCCATAGAACTCTGATTGAAAACCGAATCAAAATCAACTGGATTTTCCTTCCAGCCTTTGAATAAAGCACTTGGATCTTCATAAAGGCCAGCAGCTATCGCAACATTCCCAGGTCGTGATTCTGTCGGCATTCTTGTGTGAGATACACCCCATGTTCCTTGTGTCTTAATGATATTCCTAAAAAACCCCAAATAATTAAAAATTTATAATTTTTTAATAAAAATAAAAATAAATACAAGACGTTCAATACTTGAGAAAAGGTGCCGGCTCCGAGCTGAATGTTCTGTACCGCATTCCATCGGCGACAAATAAAAACAAACGTTTGGCTGGTGCTCCTGAGAGAGGTTCAACTACTGGCAAGTCATTTAATACTGGCGAATAAAAATTGGCATCCAATACACCCCATAAAATTACTAAATGCACTATTAGGCCACATATTCCGAATAAATACCCTTCTGTAGATTGTTTGTGGCCTGTCATTTTTTTAGTTTAGAACTTGTACTCTTCTAATTCGTTGATTACTTATAAATTGACTACTTAAAGCTTTGGTTATATTTTTTTATTTCTTTAAATACTTTTATATAAATACTCTAATACTAAAATTATAAAATTTTTTTTCGATACTCGGAATTTTGTTTACATCTATAAAAAATTAATTTAGTCTACTGAACTCTTTCAAGATGACTCTTCCATCGTAATTATTTTTTTATTTTCATAACTTTGGAGCTTAAATAGCCGTAATATCAACATTACTGATATTATTAATTGATAAAAAACTTATTTCAATGATAATTAGTCATCATTTTAAAAAAAAATCGTTTGAAAATAACTAAGTAAGGTTATTTTGACTAACGTTGTACACTTTTTAAAATTCTTGCTTTTTTAATTATTAAAAAATTAATTATATGTCTTAAATTTCTTAAAATTATTATAAATAATTATTTTAATTATTTATTTATTACATAATTAATTAATAAATTAACAATAATACTATAAAAAAAATTTTTTTTGTACCATAATTTAAAAAAATATTCAAAACACAATACTTGACACTGTTAAATAATGATAACAATTAAAAATAATATTATTACAATTAAAATAATTGTAATAATAATAAAAAATAATTTTAATTGATTAACGTAGTGTTAAACGTGGAATAAGTTGGCCGACGTAAACATTTTCACGTGTCAACGCGATTGCGCTTACGTTTGCGCAGATTTAGACGTATGTAGAGAAACGTCACTACAGCAGAATACTGTTATATTTGTGACACCACCACATCTCGATATATAAAAAATAACACAACGACAAAAATTAATATAAGAATTTGTAAAAGCCGATAAGTGGGTAAAGAGTAAGGAACAATCAGTTGCCGTAGATACGGGTGTACATATTTAATTGGTTCTATTGACCATACGACACGCGAGTGTTTAATTTATCAATCTATTGATTAATATTAAACGCTAATTTATTTTATTAAAATTATAATGGCACCTAAACAAAGAATGCGCATTGCTAATGAAAAAGCAACCAAGAACATTACTTTGCGTGGTAATGTTCCTAAATCATCGGTGAGTAACTATTTTTAATGTGTGTAATAAGGAAGTCTAGTTTTTATAATATCATACTCAACAGCTGGTTGTCATGTGCTCTTATCAAAATTTACTTTTTTGACTTTTTATAATTATTTATTGTTATTTATTATGTGCACATGCTTTATATATATATATTTTTTGTTATTTATAATTTTTTTTTCATTCATTTCGGTTTTTTAAAAGTTAGGTTAAAACGTTTGAACTTTTTGATTTTTTAGTAACAATATTTATTTATTATAATTATTAATTTTTGTAACTTTTAAAATTAGCTAAAATTTTTTTTTTTATCGAGTCAATTTTCAGTAAATAATTTTATGTTGATAAATTATTGGAGTATGTATTCATTTATATATTTTATTTGGCAGAAACCACAAGAAGAAGGATCACCAGTGGGACCTTGGCTACTTGCTCTTTTCATTTTTGTTGTCTGTGGATCAGGTAATATTTATTTAAATATAAATAAAATGGGTCATTTAAAATTAAATATTTTTACAAAGTATTTGTGCATAAATAAAAAATTCATTTTTTTACGTGTACTCCAAAGTTGTGAATACTTAGAAAAATTTAATTGGCTTAATTAAAAATTTCCAAATTTTTAATAAAAAATCTAAATTATTCATTTTCTTCTGAAGCATTGATCATCATTGCTTTTTTTATTATCAGAAATGCATTTAAAGTGATCACTTTTAAATTTTATCAATGTTGTAAATATTTATATATCTGTACAAATAGTTTGTTTAAAATGACCAACAATATAAATATATAATACTGTTTATTCATGTGATTCAATAGAAAAAATAATTTTTTTAAAAAACAAATATTCATTTTCAAAATGAGATATAAATCTTCCAAGATTTGATATTATGCAATTCCACTTTTGTGATGTTTTATGTATTCATTGAAACTTAACTATATTACAATTACAAATAGATTTATTGACCTAAAATTTTAAAGCACGGGATCAATAAAATAAACAATTAAATTTAAACTTCGATGGTCGATTAAATTTGGAGTTATAATTATCGTATGACCTCAGTGATTAATTTTCAATTATGTAGCTTCTGATTAGATAGTTTTCTTGTCTTTAAAATATTTAGTGAAAAAAATTTTGTATTAATATTTAATTTTTTTAAATACTAATAATTTATTTATGATCATTATTATTGTTATTGTTGTCAAGTTTACAAGTTGAATAAAATGCCTTTATTTATTTTTCAGCTATATTCCAAATTATACAGAGTATCCGGATGGCATAAATAAATTATAAATAAAAAAAAAAAATGACGAGCCAACATCGATATTAACAACTTATAATATTGCAGAAAAGAAAAACTGAAATAATTATTAATTACCTCATTGTAACTCACAATTGACTGGAATCTAGAAATAATATTCATCAATTTTTTACGATTATCAAATTAAGGCTCGTACGATATTTTACTACCTACAAAATTACTGTATTTTTTTATTTTATTTGTTTATTGCTAATAAGCTCAAAGATTTATTTATGAAAAACCTAGCATTTATAAGCGTTTAAATATTTAAATTTTGATGAATTGTCTATAAATTTTTTTATCAATGGGAGAAGTAAAGGAGTTTTTTAAATTTATCGAAATGTTTAATTAAATCGAAATTAACATTGAATTTTCTTTTACTTGATTTTAAATGTCTTTGATTCAATGGAATGTGCGGGTTTTTACGAATACATATAAATTACATCATATATCTCTGTGCTAATAATTATTAAAATAATAATATTCATAATAATAATAATAATAATAATAATAATAATAATAATAAAACAATAATTGTTACTATTATGTTCATTATTAAGCTCTTCCATTGATTATTACAGCACATTTGTAAATATAAGTATTAATTATTTTTAACAATCCCAAGCATTCCATTTTAAATAAAGAAATTCATGTATTAACTACTGTGTGTTTATAATTTATTCAACAACATTTCTTTTCGCAATTTACTTTATAGTTATTTAAAGTAAGTAATTATGCTGACTATGTATTATTAAATAAATTATCATTATTACAAAAGAATATTTTGTGTTTCAATTATTTCTTGTCTCACTAGTTATAATAATGCTTGCAATTAATTTTGGTAAATTTTGTACAAAAATTAACTGTTGAAATTTACAGAGAAATTTATTTTTGCATCAGTTTGAAAGCACAGAAAACTTTTCTATCGATTACCGAGTTCAAGCTTCTGATGTCATAAAAGGGAGCTAAAAATATTTTACTCAATCTCTACATTTACAAAAAATGATATAAATTTATTGATTGGTTATTATTTAATAAACTTTCATTGATTATAAATGAAGAATATAAAAATTTCAATTATAAATGAATAATTTTAAATTCAATTCTAAGATAATTGGAATAATAAAAGATATAAATTTGATTTATTTATTATTATCCTCCTAAAATTATTCATATTAAAATAAATATTCTATTTTTTGTTTGACCTTTTTGTGAATAATATATAGATCGCAATAATCCAAGATGAGATTTTACTACAATCTTTATAGAGACATAAAAAAATGAATAAAATTTTATTGATACAAGGGAGAATTTTATTCCTCTAAAATTCATTTTATCTCTTAAATGTTTTATCATCGTCAATATTCCGCTTAAAATCATATTCATTTACAGATTTATTAATAAAAAATAATAATAACCGATGTGATATTGAAAATAAAATAAAATGGAATTAAACGGAATATATGACAAACAGTAATTGTGTGAGAGGTTCTTGAATCTAAATTAAAATTTATTGTATTGAAAATCACACCAGGACCACTTGAAATTTAAATGCATTGACTATTCGAGTTCCATAATAAAGTGATGATGTAGAGACTGACAGTAGTTGAGGTGATTTTACGGTACGCGAAATAAACGTGTATGAGTGCGAGTCAATCGTCATGAAACCACTACCAGTACCCCACTATTACCACTATGACATTCATTTGCAGTGTAGTGGTCAGGTGAATATATCTGTTATCGACATCCAATCCTCTCTTGATCATTGTTTTGTTCTAGCATGACCTATTATGAGAAGGGCCTCTCTGTCAGTGTGACACGTTGACTTCCAATCGTCGTTCGTTGTTATATCTCGTCTACATTCAATGGGGCTTCCTTTTGTAACACTTCAACTAGAGAACCCATCTGGAAGTGACCACAAGGGCTTCATACTTGCTCTGCTAATGGACTTACGATTAAGATTTCAGACTGATAAAAGTTACATATAGAGTTTTAATCTTTCAGAGAAAACTTTATTAATTTTTGCTCTATTTTATTTTATTATTTTTTCATTTTTATTGTTCATTCCGAAGACAAGTTGATATAAGTCCATAATTCTGGTCATAAGTTTAACAAACTTCAAAGATATAAGCGTCTTTTAAACTTTTAACACTTACTGAGTAAACTCACAAATTATGGAAGATTCTTTAACTAACAACTCCTCCATTACATACTTATGTAATTTTAGATTTTTCATCAACTTTTTTTTTATTTTTTATAGTAAAAAAAATTTTCCAGCAAAAATTATAAATATTTAAAATCAAAAACTGATAAGTTGAATAAAATTTGTAAGATTTTTTTACAAATTTTATAATAAAAATATTTAGAAAAAAAAAAACTCACATTAAGGGTTTGAAAGTCTATAAATAGTTTTTTTTTTAATATTTTTCAAGTAATGATTTATTTGTTAATTATAACTAAGAAATTATCAAATGTTGGTCAATTTTCATTTCAAAATTTTTAAGTTTTTTTTTATTTATTTAATTATAACAAAAAAACATTTTTAAAAAATTGCACTTATAGTTTTCTAAGTTTTTTATAAATGAAATTTTTTTTTATAATAATTTTTTCAATATAATAAAATTCTAAAAATTTTTAGATGCCGGCTAACTTAATTTTCATTCAGAATTGATAATAATAAAGTTAGCCGACATTTTTTATTTTGCATAATTTATTAATTTTTGAAGTTTTTAACAAATGAAAAAATTTTTTTTTATTTTTTTGTAATAATTTTTTAATAAAAAAAATCATAAAAATTTTCATTCAGAATTGAGGTATCTAGTATGATGGAACAATAGAACTGAACTCAACTGTCAATTGTTCTTTTACACATAGCTGTACAACCAACAATATATACTTACATTGTTGATAAGTAATCTATAATATATTAATTATTTTCTTTACTTACAGTGATTTTTGTCCCATATATACTTCCAATAATAATTAATTCCAAAAAGAGTACCCTAGATTGTAAATATCATCGTAAAATTGTAAACATAAACAAATCTGCAAATTATTCTATAGCTAAAAAAAAAAAAAAAAAATTAATTAGCAAAAATAAATTAACTCAAAGACTAAAACAAATAATAATAAAATAATAAAACAACAGACTCCAGTATTTTGATGAGAATAATAATATAACAGCGAAAAAAATAATAAAATTACGGAGCTTAAAGGATTTATTGTATTGAGAAGTATTATGACAGTCAACATAAACACAGCGAACTTTGTCGTCTAAAAACCTAAAATGAGTAAAAAAAAATTGCGCAGGTTGAGTGCGCATTGATACATCCGTTTTAATGCAACTCCCTTTCTTAATCCGGGCACCCGTTCCCCCTAAAACCTGCGCCCTCTGACAGTACGCAGGCGTCAACCCTTGCGACAGCCAGCTTAACTTGAGTACGCTGCTCACCACCGCAGTTACGCGCTCGCGCTCCACCAGTGACTAATCTTTTGTAATTTTCTCTCTCAGCGTCATTGTCACGCGATATTACGGCAGCTCAAGCCGGTCGTTTGTTTGTTTAGTTTTTTCGCCGTAGTAATAGTAGTAATACAGACTAACAAATAGCTTTCACTCGTGTTCCAAGTGTTGTGAGTAGTGACTGTTTTTTCTCTGTACTAGTGTAATACACAAGACGTCGAGTTTTGTTTTTTATATTTTAAGTTTTTTCCTTCTATCAATTTTATTCCAGTTTTAAAAGTTCAACATTTTAGTGGGATAACTATCGTCACGAGCTCTAGTGGTAAGTTTTTATATTTTATTCACAATTATCTTTCTCGATATTTAATTTTATTTTTTGTCTCCAACTTCCCGCGTTTTTTAATCAACAAAATGGCGGACGTTTTTGCAACAGTCGACGGAGTTGTAATTATGTTTCCTTTTATTGCGAGTTAGCAGACATATTATTTTTCAGTAATGAAAATTAATTTAGCAAATATTTGATAATTTTAGGAATTTTTTTAACCAATAAATCATGGCAAAAAAAATTGACATGTAAAAATTTTAAAAAATTAAAAATGTAATTTTTTTAAAATAAATTTTTTGGAACACATTTGTTTGTTAAAGAAAGTTAAAA